CCCCCTCCCTGTACGCACGCGGACTTTTTACCCCCCTCCCCCCACTTGCGTACGGACGCTTGACCCCCCCCCCACCCAAATCCTATAGAACGGCCGATATTTAATCCACGCAGAAACGGTCAAGGATCAACAATATGAACGTGTTTAAGCAAACAGATAGTCCACCGCCGGCTGCATTGAAGAATTAAGTCGCGTGCCTTGGCCACTGATGTTGCTGAGCTGCGTGATAGCTGCAGTCAGGGGCACGGTGGCACACAGAGAGTGACACCTCTCCCACGGCCCCGCCTCTCCCACGCCCCCACCTCTCCCGACAGGACTTGTTGTCTCACAACTGAAGACACTGAACTGTGGCTCATTTGAAGGTCAACGTAGACAAATTATTATCGAGGGTTCACCCCCCCCCCCCGTTTCCGATGCGTACATTGTCAGTAGACCCCCCAAACGCAAGCTACGCATTTGGGTTAACCTCCCCCCTCCATGCGTACGGACTGAATGGATGGCCCCCAAGGCTGCGATGGCTGCGTCATGTAGCCCGCATGCCCAGCCACCGCATGCCCAAGCAGCTTCTGTTTGGCTGCATTGAGGGGGCTAAACGGGCGCGGCACGGGCTAGAGAGGAGATGGAGTGATGTGGTACAGGAGGACGTGGAGCTGAGTGGACTTGTCGATGACTGGAACCAGCGGTGTTAATATCGGCCTCTGTGGAGGAGGCTCGTGAAGGACGCTGCTACTGGGCAGTTAGAGGCAGTCGCCCTCCAGCAACAACGGAGTGCACAGGAGCGATGCTCACAACAACCACCGAAGCGCAAGGCGGATAAAATGTGGCAAATTGGTACAGTAAGAGATACGGCAAGTGCATCGGCCAGTCATCTCAGTCGGGCAACCCGTGGCACCTGCTGGGTCTGTCCCGAGACCTCCTGCACCTAGCCTGGCACAGAAGGAGGTACATCTGGTGGTGCATCTACCGGTCATCTCAGTCGGCCAACCCGTGGTACCTGCTGGGTCTGTTCCGAGACCTCCTGTCAGCAGCGAGCCTTCGACACGTCACGTGGCCTCAAAGTGCACCTGGCCTGGCACGGGTGCCGTGGTGACGTCACCGTCACTTAGTGACGCATGGCGCGGGTATTGGTGCTGGTGTGTGAGGTTCGGTAGTGTAGCGGTTAGCGCGGTTAGTTACGAACCCGGCGATCCATGTTAGATTCCCGCTCACGGCCAACATCAGTGACGATTGTCTGAACCGGTCCAGGGCCTCCCCTAGGTCGACTCAGCCTAAAATGAGTACCTGGTGCGGTGTGTAAACATCGCCACTAGGAAGATAAAGGCGGCCGGATGACGTGCTGACCACCAACCCCCTGTTGTGCCGTGGTGGCCTTCATAGGTGCTCGCTAACAGCCCTTGCCCCAACAGTCTGTTAAGACTACACGGGGGATCTTTGTCTTTAAGTGCCGAAATTCAACATGTCGGCACTGGCTGTGAGCGGCAGGGGGCAGAAAAGGCCCCTGCAGTGACGCGCCCGGAGTGTTCCAGCCACGTGGGCGCGCGAGTTGATCACCATCAGCCACGGTCGATCCACTGCTGGATGAAGGCCTCCCCGAGCCATCGACACCAGCCGCAAGACTCGCATAGAGACCCACAGACTCACATAGAGACCCATAAACTCACACAGAGACCCACACACTAATACAGAGGCCCATAGATTCACGCAGAGACCCACAGACTCACACAGAGACCCACAGACTCACACAGAGACCCACAGACTCACACAGAGACCACAAACACAAACAGGGACCCACAGACTCACACACAGGGACCCACAGACTCACACAGAGACCACAGACTCACACAGAGACCCACAGACCCACACAGAGACCCACAGACTCACACACAGAGACCCACAGACTCACACAGAGACCCATAGACTCACACGCAGGGACCCGCAGACTCACACAGGGACCCACAGACTCACACACAGGGACCCACAGACTCACACATAGACGACAGACTCACACAGAGACACACAGGCTCACACAGAGACCCACAGACTCACACACAGAGACCCACAGACTCACACAGAGACCCACAGACTCACACACAGAGAACCACAGACTCACACACAAAGACCCACAGACTCACGCAGAGACCCACAGACTCACACACAGAGACCCACAGACTCACACAGAGACCTACAGACTCACACGCAGGGACCCACAGACTCACACAGAGACCCACAGACTCACGCAGAGACCCACAGACTCACACACAGAGACCCACAGACCCACACAGAGACCCACAGACTCACACACAGAGACCCACAGACTCACACACAGGGACCCACAGACTCACACAGAGACCCACAGACCCACACAGAGGCCCACAGACTCACACAGAGACCCACATACTCACACACAGGGACCCACAGACTCACACAGAGACCACAGACTCACACAGACACCCACAGACTCACACAGAGACCCACAGACTCACACACAGAGAGCCACAGACTCACACAGAGACCCACAGACTCACACACAGGGACCCACAGACTCACACAGAGACCCACAGACTCACACAGAGACCACAGGCTCACACAGAGACCCACAGACTCACACAGAGACCCACAGACTCACACACAGAGACCACAGGCTCACACAGAGACCCACAGACTCACACAGAGACCCACAGACTCACGCAGAGACCCACAGAATCACTGCTGCTGCCACGCTCCCCTAATTAGCCCGGCCATTAACCACCGCCCCTCCCTCCACAGCGCGTGCCAGCCCGGCTTGTACCACTCAGCCCGTGATGGATAGCCACGCACACAGGGGGGTCGTGGGGGGAGGGTTGGCTCTACTTTTGTGAGTCTGGGTCTCTATGTGTGAGTCTATGGGTCTCTGTGTGATTTGTGGGTCTCTGTGCGAGTCTGTGGCTATCTGTGTGAGCCTGTGGGTCTCTGTGTGAGTCTGTGGGTTTCTGTATGAGTCTGTGGTCTCTGCGTGAGTATGTGGGTCTCTGTGTGAGTCTGTGGGTCTCTGTGTGAGTCTGTGGTCTCTGTGTGAGTCTGTGGTGCCGTCTCTTTCTCTGTGTGAGTCAATGGGTCTCTGTGTGAGTCTGTGGATCTCTGTGTGAGTCAATGGGTCTCTGTGTGAGTCAATGGGTCTCTGTGCGAGTCTATGGGTCTCTGTGCGGGTCTACGGCTGGTGTTGATGGTGATTGCTCGGGGAGGCCTTCATCCAGCAGTGGATCGATCGTGGCTGATGGTGATCAACTCGCGCCTTCACGTGGCGCGCCTCGATAGCGACCTGTTCACAGCTTTTGCGCGCAAAATTTTGGGCGGAACGTTCAACCGGGGAGCGGTGGCGCAACATGTATGTTGAACTTCTTTCACACCGTACCTAGCCACCCGTGCTACTCGTAGGTGTGGCGGGGGGAGGGGTGTGCAGGCTAAGTCAACCTAGGGGTGAGACAAAGATCCTCCAGTATAGCCTCAACAAACGTAACAGACTGTTGGGTCAGGTGCTGTTAGCGAGTAGCTCCTATGAAGGCTGGAACGGCACACGAGGGGGTGGGTGGTCAGCACTACGCCCGGCCGCCTTTGTCTCCCCAGTGGCAATGTTTTTACACGTCGCGCGAGCTACTCATTCGAGGCTGAGTCGACCTAGGGGAGGCACATGACCGGTTCAGATAATCGTCACTGGTTGTCGGCCACGAGCAGGAATCGAACTCGGTTTGCCCGGGTTCGTAGCGCAGCGTAGCGCTAACCGCTGCACCACCGCTCCGTAGCCAACGTTGCTAAGCGGAGGTGCGGCGGGAGGAGGGGGGGGGGTGTGCAGGCCGAGTCAACCTAGGGGTGAGACACTCCCACCTGCACGCACACGCGGCAGTGGACAGCGCGCCGCGCTACGGACACGGCGCGCCTCCCCCACGTGGTGGTGGCGGCGTCGTCTCGACACGTGACTCGACAAGTCTCTCGACACGTCTCTCGACAAGCCTCTCGACACGTCTCTCGACACGTGACTCGACACGTCTCTCGCGGTGTCACGGCAGAGACACCGGGCAGCCGGCACGGGCGGGCAAACTCCCCTCCATACCGTTCAGTGGCCGATTCAGCCCCCCTCCCCCCTCCTTCAGCCCCCTCCTCCACCACCACCTCCCCCCCCTCAGAGCGGTGTGAGTGGGGTGAGTGGAGTGAGCGGTGTGAGTGGGGTGAGTTGGGTTGAGTTGGGTGAGTGGAGTGAGCGGTGTGAGTGGGTTGAGTTGGGTGAGTGGAGTGAGCGGTGTGAGTGGGGTGAGTTGGGTGAGTGGTGTGGGTGAGGTGAGTGGGGTGAGTGAGTGGTGTGAGTGGGGTGAGCAGTGTGAGTGGGGTGAGTGGAGTGGGTGAGTGGGGTGAGCGGTGTGAGTGGGGTGAGCGAGCGGTGTGAGTGGTGTGAGTTGGGTGAGTGGGGTGAGTGGAGTGGGTGAGCGGTGTGAGCGGTGTGAGTGGGGTGAGTGGTGTGAGTGGAGTGAGTGGGGTGAGTTGGGTGAGTGGTATGAGTGGGGTGAGTGGGGTGAGTGGGGTGAGTTGGGTGAGCGGTGTGGGTGAGCGGTGTGAGCGGTGTGAGTGGGGTGAGTGGTGTGAGTGGGGTGAGTGGTGTGAGTGGGGTGAGCAGTGTGAGTGGGGTGAGTGGAGTGGGTGAGTGGAGTGAGTGGGGTGAGTAAGTGGGGTGAGTGAGTGGTGTGAGTGGGGTGAGCGGTGTGAGTGCAGTGACCGTGGAGTGGAGTGAGTGTCGATCAGTCGGCTTTGTTATCTCCCGATGTTTATCTGAATTTGGATTCGAGTTCAGTAAATGCCCCCCCCCCCCCTTCCTGATCTACTTGGGGCCCCTACGCTTTTACTTGGCTTCAGCTGAGCCTGGAACCACCACCACTGACCCCGCCTATAACCCCCCCCCCCCCCAGAAGTAAAACCCTCCCACAATGACCCCCTCCCCCCAAATTGATTTATGCTTTGGGCACCCTCCACCTCCCCCCCACCGCTACCCCATTGGTCTAACGCCACCGCCACCACGACCACCATCCGAGTGGCATCGCCGCAACTTCCCTCACTTCGTCCCCAACTCCGCTACCGCTCTGAGGTCCACTCCGGATTTTTGTTTCCACCCCCCGCGGGCCACCTCGTAGGGAACCTCTCAAGCGTCCTGCTCAGCGATGGAGTTCAACGTGCGGAGGATGGTGTCCGATGCTGGGACCCTGATCACGAGGGCTGTGCAGGTGAGACCTGGGAGGGAGGGAGGGACAGTGAGGGCATGGCTGCGGGTTTTAACTGGATTTAAATTGGGGGCGCCGCGGTAGCTAGATGTTAACTACCTCGCCTGGTATGCAGGAGGTTGTGGCGTCGATCCCGACCCTGACGCATGCTGCTGTATATGTGGAGTTTGCGTGTTCTCCCCATGGTGAGATGTTAACTACCTCGCCTGGTATGCAGGAGGTTGTGGCGTCGATCCCGACCCTGACGCATGCTGCTGTATATGTGGAGTTTGCGTGTTCTCCCCATGGTGAGATGTTAACTACCTCGCCTGGTATGCAGGAGGTCGTGGCGTCGATCCCGACCCTGACGCATACTGCTGTATATGTGGAGTTTGCGTGTTCTCCCCATGGTGAGATGTTAACTACCTCGCCTGGTATGCAGGAGGTCGTGGCGTCGCTCCCGACCCTGACGCATGCTGCTGTATATGTGGAGTTTGCGTGTCTCTCTCTCCCCGCAGTCGCGTGGATTTTTCTCCGGGTCCTTCGGTTTTTTTCCCCTCCACATTTAGAACCATGCGCTTCAAGCATTTTGCTGCTATAAATTTCCACACGACGATGACGGCGAGCCACTTTGTTGAGCTGTCATTTCTGATAGCCAGGTCGCTTCTGGAAAGAGAACTACATGGCTCAGTGGCGGGGGGGGGCGGGGTCGGGGCTTACCTGGTCTAATAAAAATCGTTCAATCGTTGTTTCATTTGATAGATTTGTATGTATGTTGACCTTGTCTCGCGCCGTACGTCGCCAGCCATGCTGATCACTTTGTGTGCAACGCAGTCACTGGTGGACGTTGAAGCTCACGAGTGAGCGCTCCGTGCTGAGGTTCATCCAGCACCCAGTGATTCACTCCACTCGCTCGGTCGCCCGTCGGCGGTCAGTCGCCCCCTCGTCACCCTTCTAACGCTACTAGGACGACTAATGCCGTGGTCAACTATTGCCGCGGACTTCACTCGGCGATTCGTCGACCAACCCAGGTTGAGGACTCGCGGAGCTGACTGCTCCTCTTTGTGAAGCTTTGAATGTCCTCCCCCTGCTGTGCAGAGAGTGAGTGAGCAGTGTGAGCGAGTCAAATGTGTGCTCTCTCCCCTTGGTGTGCAGTGCGAGTGCATGGAGTTTCTACTCCCCCTGCTCTGCCGGGAGTGAGTGTGTGTGAGTGAGTGGAGTTGTTATATTTGTTTTTATCAGTATATATTTATGTTTGGTGGAGCAGCAGCATAACGGCTGGCGCGTCGCGCTACGAACCCGGCGGCCCGAATTCGATTCCCGCTCACGGCCAACACCAATGACGATTTTCTGAACCATTCCTGGGCCTCCCGTAGGTAGACTCAGCTTCAAATGAGTACCCGGTGCGGTGTGTAAACATCGCCACTTGAGAGACAAAGGCGGCCGGGCGTGGTGCTGGCCACCCACACCCTCGTGTGCCGTTCCAGCCTTCACAGGTGCTACTCGCTAACAACACTTGCCCCAACAGTCTGTTCAGGCTACACGGGGGATATTTTGTTCACACATTCTCCCCCTGTTCCGCAGCGAGAGTGGGCGCGTGTTGGGTTTGTATTCCCTCCCCCTGTTCCGCATGGGTTTCCACACACAACAGTGTAGCCAATATCAGCCGAACTACATCCCCCAAAATCAAACAAAATTCTATTGAAACCACTCGATTGGGATCAAACAGCGGCTGCATCAGCAACACCGCCTCCGTCTCCTGCATGAGCTTTGAGACTCGGTGAGGCTTTGAGTAGATTGTCACACCCTGCTGTGTTTCTGTTGTTATACGCCAAAGATGATGATTGTAATGAAGCGTTTTATAAATATATTTTATTTCAGTGACCACCGGTCTGTCCACTTGTAATGAGCGAGGCCACTCACCGTGGGTGAAGCTCCTAGGTGTCAGTGAGCGTGGCTGTGCAAGACTGGGATTTTGGGCCACCCTGTATAACAATAATAGCTCTATGTGTCCTGACTTTTGGGCCACCCTGTATAATAACCCTGTGTCCTAACTTTTGAGCCACCCTGGAAAACAATGACCCTGCATGCACAGCTGTTTCTCTCCGCAACAACATCAGCCGTACCGAGCAGAAGATCCCCAGGTGACCAGTGTTTTACACGATTTGTAAACGTGTGCATGCCGCCGCCGAAATTAATGTAACTTCGCTGCAAATTAACTTCGTGCTGAACGAGGAGGTACCGGCGGTGTCAAGATCGGCCTCCATGGAAGAGGAGGCTCGTGAAGGATTCCACTGGGGAGTTGGGAGGCAGTCGCCCTGCAACAACCAGCAGAGGGCAGAGGAGCGACGCTCACAACAACGAGCGGAGCGCCGGGTGGATAAAATAAGACGAGTTGACACAGCAGGGGGCACAGGTGGTGCATCGGCCAGTCACCTCAGTCAGTCGACCCGTGGCACCTGGGTCTGTCCCGTGACCTCCTGCCAGCGGGCGTTCGACTTTTCACATGGCCTTAACGTGCACCCAGCCTGGCACAAGCGCCGCGGTGACATCACCGTCACTTAGTGGAGAATGGCGGTTCTTGTTGTTGTGGTAGCTCTCCAAAGGTGGGGAGGGGCATGAAGTGCTAGCAGTGGAGTGGGCGTGGCTCTCCGAGAGTGGGTGGGGGCCAAGTGCTAGCAATGGAGTGGGCGTGGCTCTCCGAGAGTGGGCGGGGGCCAAGTGCTAGCAGTTGAGTGGGCGTGGCTCTCCGAGAGTGGGCGGGGGCCAAGTGCTAGCAGTGGAGTGGGCGTGGCTCTCCGAGAGTGGGCGGGGCCCAAGTGCTAGCAGTTGAGTGGGCGTGGCTCTCCGAGAGTGGGCAGGGGCCAAGTGCTAGCAGTGGAGTGGGCGTGGCTCTCCGAGAGTGGGCGGGGGCCAAGTGCTAGCAGTGGAGTGGGCGTGGCTCTCCGAGAGTGGGCGGGGGCCAAGTGCTAGCAGTGGAGTGGGCGTGGCTCTCCGAGAGTGGGCGGGGGTCAAGTGCTAGCAGTTGAGTGGGCGTGGCTCTCCGAGAGTGGGCGGGGGCCAAGTGCTAGCAATGGAGTGGGCGTGGCTCTCCGAGAGTGGGCGGGGGCCAAGTGCTAGCAGTGGAGTGGGCGTGGCTCTCCGAGAGTGGGCGGGGGCCAAGTGCTAGCAATGGAGTGGGCGTGGCTCTCCGAGAGTGGGCGGGGGTCAAGTGCTAGCAGTTGAGTGGGCGTGGCTCTCCGAGAGTGGGCGGGGGCCAAGTGCTAGCAATGGAGTGGGCATGGCTCTCCGAGAGTGGGCGGGGGCCAAGTGCTAGCAGTGGAGTGGGCGTGGCTCTCCGAGAGTGGGCGGGGCCCAAGTGCTAGCAGTTGAGTGGGCGTGGCTCTCCGAGAGTGGGCGGGGGCCAAGTGCTAGCAGTGGAGTGGGCGTGGCTCTCCGAGAGTGGGCGGGGGCCAAGTGCTAGCAATGGAGTGGGCGTGGCTCTCCGAGAGTGGGCGGGGGCCAAGTGCTAGCAGTGGAGTGGGCGTGGCTCTCCGAGAGTGGGCGGGGCCCAGGGCGAGAGGGAAGGATTGACAGGGGGAGGAGCACTCACGACAGCTGGTGTGGAGCCCGCCAGACTCACCAACGGCGTCTCTCTCCACCACCTGCACGTGCGGCGTCGCAGATGGGCAGCGGGGAGCGGCCGCCGGAGCCCGTGGAGAGGGGAGAGGACGGAGCCGTGATGGCCCAGATGATGGAGAGGGTGGAGGTGACGAGGAGACGCAGCGAGGGTCTGGTGCACCACGCGCAGGCCCTGCTGCAGCCGAACCCAAGTGAGGGCCCCCCACACGACCCCCCCCCCCTCCCACCACTCCATCACACTCACAATTGTTTCGCAACGATGATCCACCAACCCTGGCTGCTGCCTCCAGGGCGCTAGATCACGTGCCGCCACGGTGGCTAGGAGATGTTAACTACCTCGCCTGGTGTGCAGGAGGTCGTGGGTTCGACCCCGACCTTGACGACGCCTGCTGCTGCTGTATATTTGGAGTTTGTGTCTCTCTCTCATCATCATCATCACAGTGGCTAGGAGATGTTAACTACCTCGCCTGGTGTGCAGGAGGTCGTGGGTTCGACCCCGAACCTGACGACGCCTGCTGCTGCTGCTGCTGTATATTTGGAGTTTGTGTGTCTCTCTCCCCGTGGGTCGCGTGGGGTTCTCTCCGGGTCCTCCTCGTTTAGAATCAACGTCACAACGCGTTTTAGAGCAATTGGCTGCCGCTATAAATGTCCATGTGATGATGATGATGTTGATAAGCCAATTTCGTTGAGCTATCATTCGTGATGGCCAGGTCGCTTCTGAAAAACATCTCAGTGGCAGCTTAGTGTGGCGCCTTCCCCGGTAACAACAACACTGGTAACAACAACATTGGTAACAACAACACTGGTAACAACAACAACAACACTGGTAACAACAACACTGGTAACAACAACAACACTGGTAACAACAACAACACTGGCAACAACAACACTGGCAACAACAACAACAACACTGGTAACAACAACAACAACACTGGTAACAACAACAACAACAACAACACTGGTAACAACAACAACAATAACAAGACTGGTAACAACAACAACACTGGTAACAACAACACTGGTAACAACAACACTAGTAACAACAACAACAAAACTGGTAACAACAACAACACTGGTAACAACAACAACACTGGTAACAACAACAACACTGGTAACAACAACACTGGTAACAACAACAACAACAACACTGGTAACAACAACAACAACACTGGTAGCAACAACAACACTGGTAACAACAACAACAATACTGGTACCACCACTGGTACCACCACTGGTAACAACAACAACACTGGTAACAACAACAACAACATCAACAACAACACTGGTAACAACCACAACAACACTGGTAACAACAACACTGGTAACAACCACAACAACACTGGTAACAACAACACTGGTACCACCAACACTGGTAACAACAACAACAACACTGGTAACAACAACAACAACACTGGTAACAACAACAACAACACTGGTAACACCACTGGTACCACCACTGGTAACAACAACAACAGCACTGGTAACAACAACAACACTGGTAACAACAACAACCATGGTAACAACAACAACACTGGTAACAACAACAACACTGGTAACAACAACACTGGTAACAACAACAACAACACTGGTAACAACAACAACAACACTGGTAACACCACTGGTACCACCACTGGTAACAACAACAACAACAGCACTGGTAACAACAACACTGGTAACAACAACAACAACCCTGGTAACAACAACAACAACACTGGTAACAACAACAACACTGGTAACAACAACACTGGTAACAACAACGACAACAACACTGGTAACAACAACAACAACACTGGTAACAACAACAACAACACTGGTAACAACAACAACACTGGTAACAACAACAACAACACTGGTAACAACAACAACAACACTGGTAACAACAACAACAACAACACTGGTAACAACAACAACAACACTGGTAACAACAACAACAACAACACTGGTAACAACAACAACACTGGTAACAACAACAACAACACTGGTAACAACAACAACAACACTGGTAACAACAACAACAACAACACTGGTAACAACAACAACACTGGTAACAACAACACTGGTAACAACAACAACAACAACACTGGTAACAACAACAACACTGGTAACAACAACAACAACACTGGTAACAACAACAACACTGGTAACAACAACAACACTGGTAACAACAACAACAACACTGGTAACAACAACAACACTGGTAACAACAACAACAACACTGGTAACAACAACAACACTGGTAACAACAACAACAACACTGGTAACAACAACAACACTGGTAACAACAACAACACTGGTAACAACAACAGCACTGGTAACAACAACAACACTGGTAACAACAACAACCCTGGTAACAACAACAACACTGGTAACAACAACAACAACACTGGTAACACCACTGGTACCACCACTGGTAACAACAACAACAACACTGGTAACAACAACAACACTGGTAACAACAACACTGGTAACAACAACGACAACAACACTGGTAACAACAACAACAACACTGGTAACAACAACAACAACAACACTGGTAACAACAACAACAACACTGGTAACAACAACAACACTGGTAACAACAACACTGGTAACAACAACGACAACAACACTGGTAACAACAACAACACTGGTAACAACAACAACACTGGTAACAACAACACTGGTAACAACAACAACAACAACACTGGTAACAACAACAACACTGGTAACAACAACAACAACACTGGTAACAACAACAACAACACTGGTAACAACAACAACAACACTGGTAACAACAACAACAACACCGGTAACAACAACAACACTGGTAACAACAACAACACTGGTAACAACAACAACAACACTGGTAACAACAACAACACTGGTAACAACAACAACAACACTGGTAACAACAACAACACTGGTAACAACAACAACAACAACACTGGTAACAACAACAACAACAACACTGGTAACAACAACAACAACACTGGTAACAACAACAACACTGGTAACAACAACAACACTGGTAACAACAACAACACTGGTAACAACAACAACAACACTGGTAACAACAACAACACTGATAACAACAACAACACTGGTAACAACAACAACAACAACACTGGTAACAACAACAACACTGGTAACAACAACACTGGTACCACCACTGGTACCACCACTGGTAACAACAACAACAACACTGGTAACAACAACAACACTGGTAACAACAACAACACTGGTAACAACAACAACAACAACACTGGTAACAACAACACTGGTAACAACAACAACACTGGTAACAACAACAACAACAACACTGGTAACAACAACAACACTGGTAACAACAACAACAACAACACTGGTAACAACAACAACAACACTGGTAACAACAACAACACTGGTAACAACAACAACAACAACACTGGTAACAACAACACTGGTAACAACAACAACACTGGTAACAACAACAACACTGGTAACAACAACACTGGTAACAACAACAACAACACTGGTAACAACAACAACAACACTGGTAACAACAACAACAACAACAACACTGGTAACAACAACAACACTGGTAACAACAACAACACTGGTAACAACAACAACAACAACACTGGTAACAACAACAACACTGGTAACAACAACACTGGTAACAACAACACTGGTAACAACAACAACACTGGTAACAACAACAACACTGGTAACAACAACACTGGTAACAACAACACTGGTAACAACAACAACAACAACACTGGTAACAACAACAACACTGGTAACAACAACAACAACAACACTGGTAACAACAACAACAACAACACTGGTAACCACAACAACACTGGTAACAACAACAACAACAACACTGGTAACAACAACACTGGTAACAACAACAACAACACTGGTAACAACAACAACAACAACACTGGTAACAACAACACTGGTAACAACAACAACATTGGTAACAACAACACTGGTAACAACAACAACACTGGTAACAACAACAACACTGGTAACAACAACAACAACACTGGTAACAACAACAACAACAACACTGGTAACCACAACAACACTGGTAACAACAACACTGGTAACAACAACACTGGTAACAACAACAACAACACTGGTAACAACAACAACAACACTAGTAACAACAACAACACTGGTAACAACAACAACAACACTGGTAACAACAACAACACTGGTAACAACAACAACAACACTGGTAACAACAACACTGGTAACAACAACAACAACACTGGTAACAACAACACTGGTAACAACAACAACAACAACACTAGTAACAACAACAACAACAACACTGGTAACAACAACAACAACACTGGTAACAACAACACTGGTAACAACAACAACATTGGTAACAACAACACTGGTAACAACAACAACAACACTGGTAACAACAACAACACTGGTAACAACAACAACAACACTGGTAACAACAACAACAACACTGGTAACAACAACAACAACACTGGTAACCACAACAACACTGGTAACAACAACACTGGTAACAACAACACTGGTAACAACAACAACAACACTGGTAACAACAACAACACTGGTAACCACAACAACACTGGTAACAACAACACTGGTAACAACAACAACACTGGTAACAACAACACTGGTAACAACAACAACACTGGTACCACCACTGGTAACAACAACAACAACACTGGTACCACCACTGGTACCACCAACACTGGTAACCACAACAATGACACTGGTACCACCACTGGTACCACCACCACTGGTAACCACAACAACGACAACACTGGTACCACCACCACTGGTAACAACCACAACCACGACAAGACTGGTACCACCACCACTGGTAACAACCACAACCACGACAACACTGGTGGTGGTGACGTGGTGCTCTCCCTCTTCATGTTTGGCCCAGACCTCAGGCTGGAGGAGTTCTTCCTGGGCAAGTTGGACCGCAAGGCACCAGCTCGCGCCACCGCTCTGGAGCAGCTGGGGCAGGCCATGACGGAGGCTGCCAACGACCTGGGCCCTGCCACTGCCTACGGTGGGGGGGGGCGTGAGTGGGGGGGGGGTCATGAGTGGGGGGGGGGCGTGAGTGGGGGGGGGGGTCATGAGTGGGGTGGGGGTCGTGAGTGGGGGGTCGTGAGTGGGGGGAGTCGTGAGTGGGGGGGGGGGGGGGCGTGAGTGGGGGGGGGACGTGAGTGGGGGGGGGGGGGGTCGTGAGTGGGGGGACGTGAGTGGGGGGGGGGGACGTGAGTGGGGGGGGTCATGAGTGGGGGGGGGGACGTGAGTGGGGGGGTCATGAGTGGGGGGGGGGGGGACGTGAGTGGGGGGGGGGGGGGTGTGAGTGGGGGTCGTGAGTGGGGGGGGGGGGTCGTGAGTGGGGGGGGGGGTGTGAGTGGGGGGGTCGTGAGTGGGTTCGCTGTCTCTCTCTGGCTGTGAAATTATTAAAGGCGCAGCCCCTGCAACTGCCGGATCAAGCTTCTGCTGTCGGAAGGCGGTCTCGCCTTCTTAGAGGCGGAGGCGAGGGGGGGAGGGGTGCATCAATGCCGGACGAAGCTAGCGAGGGGCCTGTGGTATATGTTGTTATAAAAACACTAATTTTTAACTTGCGTAGTAAAGTAATTGTATTTTTTCATTCGCTTTACAGCCAGATAACACGACAAATCGCGATCCTTAAACGCCCAGTCGTTCATAAAAGTTGAAGGCTGTATAGTACTATAGTAATAGAGCAAGTGCAGAATCACTGAACCGGAATTGGTATCTTGAAAGTATTTAGCGCAGGGCCCTTGAAAGTGCGGGGCCGGTATAGTAGTAGTACTACCACAATACGACTACACGTGTAGTAGTAGTACTACACGTGTAGTAGTATAGTAGTACTACTACTACCACACGTGTAGTAGTATAATAGTACTACTACACGTGTAGTAGTATTACTACTATACGTGTAGTAATACTACTATACTACTACACGTGTAGTAGTAGCTACTACTAATATAGTAGTAGTAGTAGCTACTGTAGTGGCTACTTGTGTAGCGACTTGTGCTGCAAGGAAAATGCGGCACTGGTGCAGCCCCTCCGTCTAGAAGAGGGGCGATCTGTGGGCGTCTTGCAAGCGGTGGCAGTCCCCAGGGTCCACACCAACACCACCAGCAGCACCACCACCAGCAGCACCACCACCAGCAGCACCACCACCACCAACACCACCAACACCACCACCACCAACACCACCAACACCACCACCAACACCACCAACAACACCACCGCGTGTGACCTGCCAATAAATTAACATCGAGGTGGTGGCGTGCCACGTGATTGCGTCAGGAGTAGCGGAGTGATGAATCGTCTCCGTGATGATAACGAAATTAAACTCAACAATTGTTTTTGTATTATATGAACTAAACAACTGTACTGAGAGAGACACGCAAACTCCAAATATGCAGCAGCAGCTGGCGTCAGGGTCGAGATCGAACCCGCGACCTCCTGTACACCAGGCGAGGGAGTTAACATCTCCTAGCCACCGTGGGAGGACGACATTGAAGCTCTCTGCCCCGCTCGCCAGCCAGCCGCAGGAGCGAGGCAATTACAGGGGACTGGGCTGGATCGTTCTTTCACGTCCGCATCGTCACCCCCCACCCACCACCCCATTACTCAAGCGGCCGTAGCTCACAATCCCACTGAGTGCCAAACCCTGTTCCGTGTCAGACTCATCACCCTGATTCCTGCCCCTCCCTCCATCCTCCTATTCACCCCCTCCATCCCCCCTCTACCCCCTCCCACCACCCCCCCTCCACCCCCCTCCACCCCCCTCCACCCCCCTCCACCCCCTTCCACCCCCACCAGTCCTGACTTGTTATGAGTGCAGTCGCCAAATGAATTTGACGGCGACTGAATGGGGGGGGGGGCACCTGGGGCGGATGGAGCCGTGGCAGAGAGGAAGCTCTGTGTGCAACACCACACACAGATATATACACAGTCGATTATCGATTATCACAGATATATACACAGTCGATAATCGATTATCACAGATATATACACAGTCGATAATTGATTATCACAGATATATACACAGTCGATAATCGATTATCACAGATATATACACAGTCGATAATCGATTATCACAGATATATACACAGTCGATAATTGATTATCACAGATATATACACAGTCGATAATCGATTATCACACAGATATATACACAGTCGATAATCGATTATCACAGATATATACAGTCGATCATCGATTATCACACGGATATATACAGTCGATAATCGATTATCACACAGATATATACACAGTCGATAATCGATCATCACATAGATATATACACAGTCGATAATCGATTATCACAGATATATACAGTCGATCATCGATTATCACACATAGAGTCGATCATCTATTATCACACAGATATATACAGTCGATAATCGATTGTCACACACATACAATATATACACAGTAGATAATCGATTATCACACAGATATATGCACAGTCGATCATCGATTATATTATCACACACATAATACAGATTCGATCATCGATTATTATAATGTAGTGTATATAGTTAGTTCATAGTTCATTTATTTGGTATAGCCCTGTGAGCCATTCGGCTCTTTAATCGGGTGCAACCACAACAAACAAAAAACATGAACAAGAAAACATCTCAAAGTGATTATGTGACTGTGCAAACAGAAAATCCAGGAAAAAAATATCAAAATATTCATGAAATAGCACCATACACCAACGCTGTGTGCAAAAATCCCATTGGGATGCAAGTCAAATTACAACAACAACAACAACCACAAGACAACTAAGATTAAGGCCATCAGTCTAACTCCGTACTACAATAAACAAAAACATGGCCAAAACAAAAAAAACGTTTTCGAAATCACTGTGACCGAATTTTTAACAATAAACTACGTAAATAAATTATAACACCAAAATCTAGAGCCATATTTTAGGCCACTGAATAGCAGTGGCAGCTAGGGTTGTACAACTCCTCTAGAGCAGTTTTGAGTGAAGATCTCATAGGTAGTGATTCAAGTTGCAGTTTATTGGCAATAGCATTCCAGACCCTCGGGGCATCAATAGCAAAGGCCCTTCCTCCAGTTTTTGTACGGCAATAGGGAATGTGAAGCTGGTAAATGAGCGAAGACCTGAGGTCAAATTTGTTCTTTGAAACAGAGAGGAGATCCAGTAGGTAGTCTGCGGAATTTTTTGTAAGTACATCGTGAATAAATAAGATCTGGTGCACAAGCCGTCGAACATTAAGAGATGTTAAGTTTGACCCAATGTAGAGATCAGTGGTGAGTCCTATATGGGCAGTTCAATGTAAATCTTAAGGCCGAGTGATAGATGAAATCTAGCTTCTTCAGTACAGTACTTGGGGCTGATTTATACACGATGTCACAGTAGTCAAGTAGAGGCAGTATGGTAGCTTTGATCAATTCCAAACGAAACATGGGGGGAAGCAGTGCTTGTGTCGATACAGAACACCAATTTTTATTTTTGTCTTTTTACCAATATAATCAATGTGATCTTCAAAACTAAGTTTTGAATCCAGATCTTGACTTGCTCTATTTGATAATTATTCAAGGAATGTAATTGGGGAAAAATAACTTCCTGCTTTAGTCCCGGAGAGAAGCATAGCACCTTGGTTTTGGAGGTATTCAGGACTAGTTTAAGAGAAACTAGCTGATGTTGTAGTTTGTTGAAATCACCCTGGAGCTTAGCAATCACGTCATCCAGAGAGCGGCCAGCAGTAATCAGTATCGTGTCATCTGCAAAAAGATTTACCCTGGAATGATCCAGTTTAGTGCCCAAGTCATTGACATAAAGAGAGAACAATCAGGCGTAGCTACTGTGCAGTGTATAATGTACCGTATGTAATATTTAACACTAAAATCAGGCATAGCTACTGTGTAGTGTATAATGTACCATATATAATATTTAACACTAAAATCAGGAGTAACTACTACCTGTGCGTTGAACTTCTTTCAAGCCGTACGTTAGCCAACAATGCTGATCGGAGGTGCAGTGTCGAGTCTCTGGGCAGTGTTGAGTCTATGGGCAGTGTTGAGTCTCTAGGCAGTGTTGAGTCTATGGGCAGTGTTGAGTCTATGGGCAGTGTTGAGTTTATGGGCAGTGCTGAGTCTCTGGGCAGTGTTGAGTCTATGGGCAGTGTTGAATCTATGGGCAGTGTTGAGTCTATGGGCAGTGTTCAGTCTCTGGGCAGTGTTGAGTCTATGGGCAGTGTTCAGTCTCTGGGCAGTGTTGAGTCTCTGGGCAGTGTTGAGTCTATGGGCAGTGTTCAGTCTCTGGGCAGTGTTGAGTCTATGGGCAGTGTTGAGTCTCTGGGCAGTGTTGAGTCTATGGGCAGTGTTGAGTCTATGGGCAGTGTTGAGTCTATGGGCAGTGCTGAGTCTCTGGGCAGTGTTGAGTCTATGGGCAGTGTTGAGTCTATGGGCAGTGTTGAGTCTATGGGCAGTGTTGAGTCTCTGGGCAGTGTTGAGTCGATGGGCAGTGTTGAGTCTATGGGCAGTGTTGAGTCTGTGGGCAGTGTTGAGTCTATGGGCAGTATTGAGTCTGTGGGCAGTGTTGAGTCTATGGGCAGTGTTCAGTCTCTGGGCAGTGTTGAGTCTATGGGCAGTGTTGAGTCTATGGGCAGTGTTGAGTCTATGGGCAGTGTTGAGTCTATGGGCAGTGTCGAGTCTCTGGGCAGTGTTGATTCTATGGGCAGTGTTGAGTCTATGGGCAGTGTCGAGTATATGGGTAGTGTTGAGTCTATGGGCAGTGTTGAGTCTATGGGCAGTGTTTTGTCTATGGGCAGTGTTGAGTCTATGGGTAATGTTGAGTCTATGGGCAGTGTTGAGTCTATGGGCAGTGTTGAGTCTATGGGCAGTGTTGAGTCTATGGGCAGTGTTGAGTCTATGGGCAGTGTTTAGTCTATGGGCAGTGTTGAGTCTATGGGTAATGTTGAGTCTATGGGCAGTGTTGAGTCTATGGGCAGTGTTGAGTCTGTGGGCAGTGTTGAGTCTATGGGCAGTGTTGAGTCTATGGGTAGTGTCGAGCATATGGGCAGTGTTGAGTCTATGGGCAGTGTTGAGTATATGGGCAGTGTTGATTCTATGGGCAGTGTTGAGTCTATGGGCAGTGTTGATTATATGGGCAGTGTTGAGTCTATGGACAGTGTTGATTCTATGGGCAGTGTTGATTCTATGGGCAGTGTTGAGTCTATGGGCAGTGTTGAGTCTATGGGCAGTGTTGAGTCTATGGGCAGTGTTGAGTCTATGGGCAGTGTTGAGTCTATGGGCAGTATTGAGTCTATGGGCAGTGTTGAGTCTGTGGGCAGTGTCGAGTATATGGGCAGTGTTGAGTCTATGGGCAGTGTTGAGTATATGGGCAGTGTTGATTCTATGGGCAGTGTTGAGTCTATGGACAGTGTTGAGTCTATGGGCAGTGTTGAGTCTATGGGCAGTGTTGAGTCTATGGGCAGTGTTGAGTCTATGGGCAGTGTTGAGTCTATGGGCAGTGTTGAGTATATGGGCAGTGTTGAGTCTATGGGCAGTGTTGAGTCTATGGGCAGTGTGTATGTGTGTACATTGAACTTCTTTCGCACCGTACGTAGCCAACCGTACTCAGAGTGCGGTCTCAGGACCACCACGGCTCCGTGACGCTCCTCCACGTGGCAGTGATGCATGACCCCCCTCCCCCCGTGACCCCCCTCCCCCCATGACCCCGCGTGACCCCCCTCCCCCCGTGACCCCCCTCCCCCCGTGACCCCCCTCCCCCCGTGACCCTGCGTGACCCCCCTCCCCCGTGACCCCGCGTGGCACGCAGGCCGGGCGCTGCTGCGCTGCGGCGAGACTCAGCAGCGGCTCGGCCTGGCTCAGAGAGACTTCGCGCGAGCCGCCTCCACCACCTTCCTGCGTCCCCTGCAGAGCTTCCTCGACTCCGACTGCCGCGTCATCGCGGCAAGTCGCACTCTCGCGAGACCGGGGTGATGGTGGGAGTGGGGGGCACGGGATTGCACACGGGGTGGGGGGGGGGGCACAGCAGTCTCGTGCGCATATGCTCAACACTGCCCATAGACTCAACACTTCCCATAGACTCAACACTGCCCATAGACTCAACACTGCCCATAGACTCAACACTGCCCATAGACTCAACACTGCCCATAGACTCAACACTGCCCATAGACTCAACACTGCCCATAGACTCAACACTGCCCATAGACTCAACACTGCCCATAGACTCAACACTTCCCATAGACTCAACACTGCCCATAGACTCAACACTGCCCATAGACTCAACACTACCCAAGACTCAGCACTGCCCATAGACTCAACACTTCCCATAGACTCAACACTGCCCATAGAATCAACACTGCCCATAGACTCAACACTGCCCATAGATTATTAAACCTCCTTTGCCAGTACCAAAATGCAAGCAAAAAAACATACTATGATAATATAGTATGTTTGGTCCACACCAAAGACGTCCCTTAGTGTGGGCCAATCAGTTTCAAGAACAATGCATATATTATCATAGTATGTTTTTGTTTGCATTTTGACTGCAAGTATTGTGGTTAATGCAGACATGAATCCTCGTAAAAAGGTTTCAGTTTTGTTGCCAGAAAAAAAGGGGAAAACCATATTATTACTGCCCATAGACTCAACACTGCCCACAGACTGACACTGCCCAGATGATGTGGTGATGAGGTGGTGATGTGTGATGAGTAGGTGATGATGGTGGTGATGAGGTGGTGATGAGGTGGTGATGATGGTGGTGATGATGGTGGTGATGAGGTGGTGATGTGTGATGAGTAGGTGATGATGGTGGTGATGAGGTGGTGATGAGGTGGTGATGATGGTGGTGATGATGGTGGTGATGAGGTGGTGATGTGTGATGAGTAGGTGATGGTGGTGGTGATGAGTAGGTGGTGATGGTGGTGGTGAGGTGGTGATGTGTGATGATGGTGGTGATGAGGTGATGTGTGATGAGTAGGTGGTGATGGTGGTGATGAGGTGGTGATGAGTAGGTGGTGATGGTGATGATGGTGGTGATGAGTAGGTGGTGATGAGTAGGTGGTGATGGTGATGATGGTGGTGATGAGGTGGTGGTGATGGTGGTGATGGTGGTGATGAGGTGGTGATGGTGATGATGGTGGTGATGAGGTGGTGGTGATGGTGGTGATGGTGGTGATGAGTAGGTGGTGATGGTGGTGATGAGGTGGTGGTGATGGTGGTGATGAGGTGGTGGTGGTGATGGTGGTGATGGTGGTGGTGAGTAGGTGATGATGGTGGTGATGGTGTTGAGTAGGTGGTGATGGTGGTGATGAGGTGGTGATGAGGTGGTGGTGATGGTGGTGATGGTGGTGATGAGTAGGTGGTGATGGTGGTGATGGTGATGATGGTGGTGATGAGGTGGTGGTGATGGTGGTGATGAGGTGGTGATGGTGGTGGTGAAGTGGTGATGTGTGATGAGTAGGTGATGATGGTGGTGATGAGGTGATGATGTGTGATGAGTAGGTGATGATGGTGATGGTGGTGATGAGGTGGTGATGAGTAGGTGGTGATGGTGATGATGGTGGTGATGAGTAGGTGGTGATGAGTAGGTGGTGATGGTGATGATGGTGGTGATGAGGTGGTGGTGATGGTGGTGATGGTGGTGATGAGGTGGTGATGGTGATGATGGTGGTGATGAGGTGGTGGTGATGGTGGTGATGGTGGTGATGAGTAGGTGGTGATGGTGGTGATGAGGTGGTGGTGATGGTGGTGATGAGGTGGTGGTGGTGATGGTGGTGATGGTGGTGGTGAGTAGGTGATGATGGTGGTGATGGTGTTGAGTAGGTGGTGATGGTGGTGATGAGGTGGTGATGAGGTGGTGGTGATGGTGGTGATGGTGGTGATGAGTAGGTGGTGATGGTGGTGATGGTGATGATGGTGGTGATGAGGTGGTGGTGATGGTGGTGATGAGTAGGTGGTGATGAGTAGGTGGTGATGGTGATGAGGTGGTGATGAGTAGGTGGTGATGGTGGTGATGAGCTGGTGATGGTGGTGATGGTGGTGATGGTGGTGATGAGGTGGTGATGGTGGTGATGGTGGTGATGGTGATGAGTAGGTGGTGATGGTGGTGATGAGGTGGTGATGAGGTGGTGGTGATGGTGGTGGTGATGGTGGTGATGGTGGTGATGAGTAGGTGATGATGGTGGTGATGGTGGTGATGGTGGTGGTGATGGTGATGAGGTGGTGATGAGTAGGTGGTGATGGTTGTCGGCCCGCAGAGGGAGCGCACGCAGCTGGAGACAAAGAGATCAGCGCTGTCGCTGGCGCTGCGCCGCAGAGGCGGCGCCACGGCGCACGACGCGGCCCGGGTGAGGCGCGCCGAGAGGCCCCGGGCACCGCGCCACGGCCGCCTTTGTCTCTCCCGAGAGCGTGAATGTCCATTGTGAATGTTGTGGATTTGCTCTCCGACGCACAGACGGCGGCGCCGTGCTCGTCGGGAGTCGTCACGTGGCACAAGCTTCCTCATCGGCTGCGTCGGGTGGTGGCGGGTTTCACGACACGTTCACACATTTACGCGATCTCTCCCCCCAAGACGACCCCGCGATCATGCCCGACGTCTTTCGTGCACTGCGCCAGTTACTCATTGTAATCAGCACTTGCCCCTACAGTCTGTTAAGGCTACACGGGGGATCTTTGTCTTTGCGTGGTCTGCACGTTGAACTTCTTTCGCACAGTACGTAGCCACCCCCGCTAATTGGAGGGGCAACACAACTCTGCCCACGTGAACGACACGCGCACGCGCGTGTCATGTAACATGCGACAACATGCGACGCGTGACCCGATTCTCCCCCTCCCCTCCACACCGACGACTGTTCCCCTCCAGGCCGAGCAGCACGAGACTCTGGCGCGGGAGGAGTTCGGCAGGCAGAGCCGCGCCTTCAGGCGGCTCCTGGAGGGCTTAGACGACGCTCACGTGAGGACTCGCACGGCGCACATCGGAGACACGCGTAGCCTGGGGTAGAGTGAGATGAGAGGGGAGAGAGCGTGGAGGGGAGTAGAGTGAGAGGAGAGGGGTAGGAGAGTGCGTGGAGGGGAGTGGAGTGAGATGAGAGGGGAGAGGCAGGAGAGAGCGTGGAGGGGAGTAGAGTGAGAGGAGAGGGGAGAGGCAGGAGAGAGCGTGTAGGGGAGTGGAGTGAGAGGAGAGGGGAGAGGCAGGAGAGAGCGTGGAGGGGAGTGGAGTGAGATGAGAGGGGAGAGGCAGGAGAGAGCGTGTAGGGGAGTGGAGTGAGAGGAGAGGGAGAGGCAGGAGAGAGCGTGGAGGGGAGTGGAGTGAGAGGAGAGGGGAGAGGCAGGAGAGAGCGTGGAGGGGAGTAGAGTGAGAGGAGAGGGGAGAGGCAGGAGAGAGCGTGGAGGGGAGTAGAGTGAGATGAGAGGGGAGAGGCAGGAGAGAGCGTGGAGGGGAGTAGAGTGAGAGGAGAGGGGAGAGGCAGGAGAGAGGGTGGAGGATTCCCCACCGCTGACCCTTGACCCCCCATGCCCCCCCCCCTCCCCCCAGGCCGGACAGCTGCAGGGGCTGTGCGACTTTGTGGAGGCGCAGGCGGCGCTGTTTGCCGTGGGGCACCGCTACCTGGCCGGGCTGCAGAGGCAGCTCCACAGGTGAGCGGCTCCACAGGTGAGCGGCTCCACAGGTGAGCGGCTCCACAGGTGAGCGGCTCCACAGGTGAGCGGCTCCACAGGTGAGCGGCTCCACAGGTGAGCGGCTCCACAGGTGAGCGGCTCCACAGGTGAGCGGCTCCACAGGTGAGCGGCTCCACAGGTGAGCGGCTCCACAGGTGAGCGGCTCCACAGGTGAGCGGCTCCACAGGTGAGCGGCTCCACAGGTGAGCGGCTCCACAGGTGAGCGGCTCCACAGGTGAGCGGCTCCACAGGTGAGCGGCTCCACAGGTGAGCGGCTCCACAGGTGAGCGGCTCCACAGGTGAGCGGCTCCACAGGTGAGCGGCTCCACAGGTGAGCGGCACCGGACACGGCCAGGCACGAGGAGCCGGAGAGCCCTAGGTGTGGGGGGGGGGGTGCGAGCCCCCTGCGATCGCAGACCCCCCCACGTGTCTCTGGGACCTTGTCGGCAGAATCAAATTGATCGGCCAATCCGTTTCAAAGACAATGAATGGGGCGCCACGGTGGCTATGAGATGTTAACTACCTTACTGGGTATACAGGAGGTCGTGGGTTCAATCCCGGTCCCTGCTGTATATTTGGAGTCCGTCTCTCGCTCTCTCCAAATGTTGAAATGTTAACTACCTCGCCGGGTATACAGGAGGTCGTGGGTTCGATCCCGGTCCCTGCTGTATATTTGGAGTGCACCTCTCACTCTCTCCACGTGTTGATGTTAACTACCTCGCCGGGTTTACAGGAGGTTGTCGGTTCGATCCCGGTCCCTGCTGTGTATTTGGGAGTGCGTATCTCGCTTTCTCCACGCGTTGAGATGTTAACTACCTCGCCGTGTATACAGGAGGTCGTGGGTTCGATCCCGGTCCCTGCTGTATATTTGGAGTGCGTCTCTCGCTCTATCCACTTGTTGAGATGTTAACTACCTCGCCGGGTATACAGGAGGTCGTGGGTTCGATCCCGACCCCTGCTATATATGTGGGAGTTTGCGTGTTCTCCCCGTGGTCGCGTGGATTTTTCTCCGACTTTTCATTCCACATTTAGAACCACGCGTTGAGAGCCGCGGTTCTTCACCTTAACTGCAGCCTTGCACCCCTTTGGTTTGCAATCGTTACAAAAATATACAATGTTAATACATCCATAGATTTTGATTAAACAAAGTTGTCGATTATTTACCTTATAAACAAATGTGGCCATGCCTCGCACCCCCAGGTTAAGAAGGACCGCCACTTTAGAGTATTTGGCTGATGCTACACATTTCCACACAAGCCACTTTGTTGAGCTATCATTTTGTGGTGGCCTGGAAGCTTCTGAAAACGAGATGTACAAAGCTCAGTGGGCCTTACCTGCTAAAATAAAAATACACATATCGCTTTAATAGTTGAAGACGTTACACGTGTCGTTTTGCCACAAGTGCGTGTGGCCAGCGCAGACTTTGCTGGCAGCTGTGCGTCCACCTGGCGCTCGAACATTTTGACCCACCTCCTGCTCGCAATGGCAGCAAAAGCCCCCGGCCACGGCTTGCCGCGCCGCACGCGCCGCGCCTGACGGCACAGACGAACCGGGGAGAGCCCTTTTGACGGCGCGGGGTGGTGGGACGGAGGCGGCGGTGGCGGCGGTGGTGGAGGAGAGGGGTTGGATGGGCTTGAGAAAGTCGCGTCCTTGTTTAAACCGCCGTGCCGGGAGATGGAATGGAAGCGGCGAACCTCTGTGCCTGGAAGTCCGCTCGCAGCGCAGCCGAGCGGAGCCATCACAGCAGCCGCCGCCACCTTGCAGTAGCCCGGACCCCACTTGTGTGGAAGGTGATGGATGAAGCTCATTCACCGTGTTGATTTTATACCTCTCCCCTCTCTCTACTCCACTCTCCTACCTCTCCTCTCTCTCTACTCCACTCCGCACACTCCTCTCATCTCCACTCCACTCTCCTACCTCTCCCCTCTCATCTCTCATTACTCCACTCTCCTACCTCTCCTCTCTCTCTACTCCACTCTCCTACCTCTCCTCTCTCTCTACTCCACTCTCCTACCTCTCCCCTCTCATCTCTGTATTTAACGCAGCCTTGAAGGAAGTTAGTAAGTACTTTACGAATATATACACACACGCGCACCAAAGACAAACATCCCCCGTATAGCCTTAACAGACTGAAGGCTGACACGGCACACAAAGGGGTGGGTGGCGAGCAACATGCTAGGCCGCCTTTGTCTCCCTAGTGGCGATGTTTACACACCGCACCAGGTACTGTACTCATTTGATGCCGAGTCGATCTAGGGGAGGCCCACGAACGGTTTAGATGTGTTGGCCGTGAGCGGGAGTCGAACCCGGGTCGCTCAGGGGTTTGTAGCGTAGCGCGCTGACCGCTACACTACCGCCCCCCCACATCACACACCAACACACACACATCACACACCAACACACACACATCACACTACATACGCGCACACACATCACACCACATACGCGCACACACACACACAGGCACTCAAACATAACAATTCACTCGGACGCGTGAGGCGGAGACGGCTGTCAGGCGGAATCGGTGTTCTCTCTACACCACGCGGAGACTCGTTTAGCAATCATCAGGCATGTTCGGTGTGTAACGGCGATAAGAATTTGAACACAGGGGACCGGCATAACGTGGTCGAGTGCAGGCGGTGGGCGTTCGGGAGGCCGTGTCCGGCCGTGCGTCGTTGTTTGAAGGCGGCTCGCATCGTACAAGAAAGCGTTCGTCTGCTTGCGCGCGTCACGCGTTTAACAATCATCCGGCGCGCGCGGCGTGGAGCGTGTCGACTGGTATTCGAATGGGAGGGGTGAATTGGGGAAAACGCGGAGAGACGGAGCGTGGCGGGGGGCGGTGCGTGGCGGGGACTTTGAGTTGGGGAAACCCAACTCCAGTTGGTGTTCAACGCAGGGACACTGGGCGTGCGTGTGTGTGCATGCGTGTGTGTGCATGCGTTGTGTGCATGCGTTGTGTGCATGCGTGTGTGTGCCTGCGTGTGTGTGCCTGCGTGTGTGTGCATGCGTGTGTGTGCCTGCGTGTGTGCCTGCGTGTGTGTGCCTGCGTGTGTGTGCATGCGTGTGTGTGCCTGCGTGTGTGTGCCTGCGTGTGTGTGCCTGCGTGTGTGTGCATGCGTGTGTGTGCCTGCGTGTGTGTGCCTGCGTGTGTGCCTGCGTGTGTGTGCATGTGTGTGGATGCATGTGTGTGTGTGCCTGCGTGTGTGTGCCTGCGTGTGTGTTAACACGGGGACGCTGGGCGTGTTTGCTCGCCGTGTACCCGCTGCATCATCGCAGCGTCACGGCCTCGTTCCAGATGAGCGGCCAGAGCCCGGAGGCCACCGAGGACGACGCCGGCGGCCTCCCGGCACGTCCGGGAGCCGTCGCCCGGAGCGGCGGAGACCAATAACGACAACGACCAATGTCGCCCCACCTCGTCGCCCGACGCTCCGACCTACGTCGCCCCCCTCGTCGCCCCACCTCGTCGCTCGACGCTCCGACCTACGTCGCCCCACCTCGTCGCAACTCCACCTCGTCGCTCCCCGCCGTAGCTACGACCACGTCTCCCACTGGAGCCTCCGAGTCTTCTCCAGCTCCGACACGAAGGCCTGGGCCTCTACGTCGCCCAGGCCGCCGTACGTCGCGGCGATCCACTCGAGGGCGTCCAGCGCTCCCGACGGCATGCTCTTGGAGTTCCTGCGTCACGCACGCACGGGCACGCACGGGCACGCACGCACGGGCATGGTCACACGCACGCACATATGCATGGTTTTTCTTCCTTTTCAATGCATGACGAAACGTGACCCCTAGGGGTTACAGATGCCACGTCGCCCGGCCACGTTACCCGGCAATGTAGAGACAGCCGCCCTTGTCGTGCAGCAGGTGCCACACGAGGGCGCCCTCCTCGCGCATTCTGTGTTGCACAAACACCTTCTCCTCCTGCACACACGGCGGGCACACACACACGGTGGGCACACACACACGGTGGGCACACACACACACGGTGGGTACACACACGGTGGGCACACACACACACACGGTGGGCACACACACACAGTGGGTACACACACACACACGGTGGGCACACACACACACGGTGGGCACACACACACACACACGGTGGGTACACACACACACACACGGTGGGTACACACACACACGGTGGGTACACACACACACACACGGTGGGCACACACACACACACACAGTGGGCACACACACACGGTGGGCACACACACAGTGGGCACACACACACACACACGGTGGGTACACACACACACGGTGGGTACACACACACAGTGGGCACACACACACACGGTGGGCACACACACACACACACGGTGGGCACACACACACACACACGGTGGGTACACACACACACACACGGTGGGTACACACACACACACACGGTGGGTACACACACACACACACGGTGGGCACACACACACACACACGGTGGGCACACACACAGTGGGCACACACACACAGTGGGTACACACACACAGTGGGCACACACACACACACGGTGGGTACATACACACACACAGTGGGTACACACACACACACGGTGGGCACACACACACACACAGTGGGCACACACACACACACGGTGGGTACACATACACACAGGGTGGGTACACACACACACACACGGTGGGTACACACACACGGTGGGCACACACACACAGTGGGCACACACACGGTGGGTACACACACACACACACGGTGGGTACACACATACACACACGGTGGGTACACACACACACACACGGTGGGCACACACAGTGGGTACACACACACACGGTGGGCACACACACACACGGTGGGTACACACACACACACGGTGGGTACACACACACACAGTGGGCACACACACACACAGGGGCGGCAATGAGAGACCTGGGGTCGCCGAGGTGCTGTAACCACGACACTGCCGCTCCCCCATAAACAGGAGGAAACGGAGGAGGAGGGGGGAGGAGGAGGGGTTGGGGGTTGGGGGGGCTGAAAGATGGTGCAGGAAGGAGGAGGAGGAGGGGGTAAGGAGGGGGAAGGAGAAGGGTGGAGGAGGGGAGGGAGGAGGAGGGGGTGGGAGGGTGGTGGGGGTGGGTGGGAGGGTGGTGGGGGCGGGTGGGAGGAGGGAGGAGGAAGGTGGAGGGGGTGAGTTCTAAGGAGGAGGAGGGAGGAGGAGGGGGGTGAGGGGGAGGAGGAAGGAGGAGGAGGGGGGAGGAGGGGGGCGGGTGACCTGGTCACGTGAGAAGGCAGTGATGAGTTGGAGGTCTCCGCGTGACTCCGCCTCCTCCCACTCCTCCCGGAAGTAAAAATCCCCACTACGGTTCCGGCAGCCGAAGAACAGCACGTTACCTGGGCAGGGGGGGCGTGGGCATCAGCGGGGTGCGGAGAGGGTGGCGGTGGTGGCGGTGGTGGCGGTGGCGGTGGTGGCGGTGGTGGCAGTGGTGGCGGTGGCAGTAGCGGTGGTGGCGGTGGCTGCGGTGGCGGCGGCGGTGCTGGCCAACCCGCCCTCCTCACGTGCCCTGCCGGCCTTTCAAGGCTACGTGGGGTACCTCTGTCTTTGTAACGCCTGCCACGAGCGGCGTGGAGACGTCACCGCCGCTCAGCAGCGAACCGCGGTTGCTGTGCGTCTACGTGCACACGTCTATGTGCATGCGCCTATTTGTGTACTTTCGTGCGTCTACGTGCGTCTACGTGTTTACCCGCGTGCGTGTTACCTGCACAGCTCATTAAACAAAACCTTCAAGGACGTCGTTTTTCACCCTCGTCATTCGTTACCCCCCCCGCGTGACCCCCCCGCGTGACCCCCCCACGTGACCCCCCCCCCCCCCCCCGCGCGTCCCGGCTCACCCGCGTGGCCGCCCGCGAAGCGCTCCTGCAGCAAGGCGCGGAACGGCGCCACCCCGGTGCCGGGCGCCACCGCGATGAGCGGCGCCGCGGGCGACGGCGGCGGCAGCGCGCCGCGCTTCACCCACAGCGGCACGCGAGGCGTCTCCTGTCCTGGGGTCACGGGGGGGCGGCAGCGCAGACGTCAGCGCCGACACGCCGGCGACGATTATCTCCCCTGGGTCGACCCGGCCTCAAACGAGTACCCGGCGCGGTGCGCGGTAAACATCGCAACCGGGCGGACGGGGGCGGCCGGGCCTGGTGCCGGCCAACCACCCCGCCTCGGTGTGCCGTGCCGGCCGTCGCTAACGGCACTCGCCCCGACGATCTGCGAAGGCTACGCGGGGGTTGTTGGTCTCTGGGGGGTGGTGGGCGGGGGCGACGGCACCGCACGGGAACCGGAAACCGAGCGGCGCGGCGACACGATGGCCGCCGGCCGCGTCGTGACCTTCGCCGGGGTGGCCGACCTTCGCCGGGGTGGCCGACCTTTGCCGGGGTCCAGGCTGGCGAGCCACGTGGAGCAGAGGCCCCGGCGCGGAGCGAACATTCGCGTGCGGTACGTCACCACCGCCACGAGGATGTGCACCTCGTCCGGGTGAGCCTACGCACGCAAAGACGTCATCGCCGGTCAGCGTCGTCATCGCCGCCGTCATCGTCGTCGTCGTCATCGCCGGTCATCGTCGTCGTCATCGTCATCGCCGTCGTCGTCACGGCCGTGGTGCGGCCGTCCCGCCCCCCGGCTACCTGCGGGGAGTTTGCGATGGAGAAGGCCCGGGGCTGGATGGGCGGCACGAGGTCCAGGAGGTCGTCCAGCGACAGGCGCGCCGCCGTCTCCGGGAAATCCTGCAGCACCTGGGGCAGCGGCAGCGGCAGCAACAGCAGCAACAACAGCAGCAGTAGCAGCGGCAGCAAAGACAACAGCGTAAACAACAGCAGCAACATTAACGGCAACAACATAAACAACAGCAGCAGCAACAACAGTAGCAGCAACAACACCGTAAACAACGGCAACAACAACAACGGCAACAACAACAACAGCAACATCAACAACAACAACAATAACGTAAACAACAGCAGCAGCAGCGTCGGCAACATCAAGGACGGTGGCGGTGACTTCCTGCTGCTCCGACGAGCATCGAGGAGGCATCGTCGGCGCTCCTGTCCTGCCCAATTCTACATCCCGGTGGCGTGCAGGGGGGAATGGACCCCCGGTGGCGTGCAGGGGGGAATGGACCCCCGGTGGCGTGCAGGGGAGAATGGACCCGCGGTGGTGCGGAGGGGGGAATGGACCCCCGGTGGTGCGGAGGGGGGAATGGATCCCCGGTGGCGCGGAGGGGGGAATGGACCCCCGGTGGTGCGGAGGGGGGAATGGACCCGCGGTGGCGTGGAGATGTCAACTCCCTCGCATGGTGTACAGGACCAGAGGGCGCATTTTGGCGCTGTCCTCTGGTCTAACACCGTTTTGAGACGAGGCTCAAAAGAAAGCTGTCTCTGGTGTGGACCAAACAGTTTCAAAGACAATGCCAAATATTATCAGTTTTTTTTGTTTGCATTCTGACTACAAGTATTTGTGGTTAATGCACACATGATCCCTTGCAAAAGGTTTCAGTTTGGTGTTTTAACATCTTAACGCAGCTGTTTTGTTGCAGGAAAAGCGGAGAAAACTTATTCCCATATTACGGTACTGGCAAAGGAGGTGCAATGATGAGGTGTGCAGGAGGTCGTGGCTTCGATCCCGACCCTGACGCCTGCTGCTGCTGCTGCTGTATATTCGGAGTTTGCGTGTCTCTCCGGGTCCTCCGGTTTTTCCCGCCACACTTAGAATCGACGTGCGGTGGTGGCGGTGGTGGCGGTGGTGGCGGTGGCAGCTGCGGTGGCTGCGGCGCCTGTGGGCGGCCATGGCCGTGGCCGCGGCTGCGGCCGTGGCGTTGGCGCCGCACCTCCAGGACGGTGCGGCGTGGCCGGTGGCAGTAGGCGTAGAGGTCGTCGAGGCCGGCGGCGGCGCTCAGCTCGGCCAGGCGCTCGCGCTCCGCCCCGCCGGGCGCCGCTAGGCGCGCCAGCGCGCGGAAAGCGGAGCGGCGCGGCACGGCCGTCACGCACAGGCGGCGTTCCAGCAGGCGGCGCACGGAGCACGGCGACGGCGAGGGCGGCGCGGGAAGGCCTGGGGGCGGCACGACCGCGGGCAAAGATCCCCGTGCGGCCTTCGGGGACCGTCGGGGCGAGCGCCGTTACCGAGCGGCGGAAGCGCCCACGAAGGCCGGCACGGCGCGCGAGGGCGCCGGGGCCGCCCGCGTCTCCCCCGGCGGTTAACGTTCACGCGCCGGGCGCTCGTTTGAGGCTGCCGAGTCGACCCACGGGAGCCCCGGGATCGGTTCGGACGACCGTCGCCGGTGTTTGGCCCCGAGCGCGAATCGAACTCGGGTCGCCGGGCCCGCTGACCGCCACGCCGCCGCTCCCCCCCCCCCCCCCCCCCCCCCCCGCCCCCCCACGCGAGCGGTGCGTGCCGTGGCGCCGCGTACCCGGGTGGTTGGCCGTGACGTAGAAGTGGCGCTCGGGGTCGAGGCGCAGCAGGTGGCAGACGGCTGCCACCGCCTCGCCCGGGGACGGCGGCTGGACCATCGCCACGTCGCCCGCACGGAACCTGAGACACGCGCGGAGTGACTCACGCGGAGAGACTCACGGAGAGACTCGCACGGAGAGACGCGCAAGGAGAGACTCACGGAGAGACTCACGCGGAGAGACTCACGGAGAGACTCACGGAGAGACTCGCACGGAGAGACTCACGGAGAGACTCACGGAGAGACTCACGGAGAGACTCACGCGGAGAGACTCACGGAGAGACTCACGGAGAGACTCGCACGGAGAGACGCGCACGGAGAGGCAGGCACCGAAAGACTCATGTATAGAGACTCGCACGGAGAGACGCACACGGAGAGACTCACGCGGAGAGACTCACACGGAGAGGCAGGCACCGAAAGACTCATGTAGAGAGACTCGCACGGAGAGACTCGCACGAAGTGACTCACGGAGAGTCTCGCACGGAGAGACTCGCGGAGAGACTCGCACGGAGAGGCAGGCACGGAAAGACTCATGTAGAGAGACTCACATAGAGACTCGCACGGAGAGACTCACGGAGAAACTCGCACGGAGAAACTCGCACGGAGTGACTCGCACGGAGAGGCTCGCGCAGAGACTCACTTGGCTCAAAAGATGACAAACGCAGGGAGATGTGGGTGGCGCGGGGGAGGGAGAGGGCGTTACCGCAACCCCGAGCCAGCGACGTCCAATCGGATGAGCCGCACGTCCTGGAAGTGCCCCGCGCTCGTTACGCGCTCGTTGGCGATGACGCGCGCCGGGAACGGGCGGAGGGGCGACGGCCCCGGTACCGCGTCGGCGGCGTCGGCGACACCGTCAGCCGGGGTGTCTCCGCCCGCCCGGGCGTCTCCGTCAGCTTGGGCCTCGCCGCTGGGCTCCACGAAGTCGACTCGGTAGCGGGGCGGTAACCTGGCACGGAGCAGCGGCACGGCTCGCACGGCACTCGGGGCGGGGGGCGGAGGGGAGCCGGCACTCGGCACGCGGGGTCTGGGGCTCCGGCCACGACGATGATGACGATGATGACAATTATTACGATGACGACGATGATGACGATGACGACGATGACGACAATGATGACGATGACGACGATGACGACGATGACGACGATGATGACGATTATGACGATGACGACGATGATGATGATGACGACAATGATGATGATGATGATTATGACGATTATGACGATGACGACGATTATGACGATGATGACGATGATGACGACGACGACGATGATGACGATGATGATTATGACGATTATGACGATGATGACGATTATGACGATGACGACGATGATGACGATGATGACGATGATGATGATGATTATGACGATTATGACGATGATGACGATTATGACGATGATGACGATGACGACGATGACGACGATTATGACGATGATGACGATGATGATTATGACGATTATGACAATGATGACGATTATGACGATGATGACGATGACGACGATGACGACGATGATAATGATGACGATGACGACGATGACGACGATGATGACGATTATAACGATGATGACGATGACGACGATTATGATGATTATGACGATGATGACGATGACGACGATTATGATGATTATGACGATGATAACGATGCCATGCGCAATCCCAATCGAGTGATTTTCGTTTTTTTTTTCTTGGCTGTGTTGGGTTGTGGTTTTGCCGCTAGCGGTTGCATTAAGGGTATGTGTGTGTGAGTGTGTGTGAGTGTGTGTGTGAGTGTGTGTGTGAGCGTGTGTGCGTGTGTGCGAGTGTGTGTGAGTGTGTATGCGAGTGTGTATGCGAGTGTGTGTGTGAGTGTGTGTGAGTGTGTGAGTGTGTGAGAGTGTGTGTGTGAGTGTGTATGTGAATGTTTGTCAGTGTGCCGGGAAAGGTCCTGGCAAGGATTATTCAGTATCGCCTTGCCAGGCACGCTGAGGAGAGGCTTGCGGAGCCCCAATGCGGTTTCAGGAAAGGGCGGTCCTGCACAGATGCCATATTTTCTGTCCATCTGCTACAGCAGAGGTGTAGGGAATTCCAACAAGACCTACATCTCTGCTTTATTGACCTGGTCAAGGCCTATGATACCATCAGTAGGCCTGGGCTCTGGGTCGTTCTTCGTGCTTTTGGAGTACCTGACCCTATGCTCACGATCATTAAGGACCTTCATGATGGTGAGCGGGCCCGGGTAAAACTACGTGGCCGGGAGTCAGAGCCATTCCCTGTACACCTTGGGGTGCGACAGGGATGTCCTCTGGCTCCCACATTATTTAACATCTATTTTGACCACGTAGTTCGTGAAGCCTTCAATAGCTGTACCGGGGGAATCTCCATATGGTACAGATATAATGGGAGGCTGATCGATGCCCGGGTGCGGTCAAGGGATGGCTCCCTATTGCTCAACCACGTTATGTATGCTGATGATTTGGTAATAGCTGCTCAGTCAGAGGAGGAGTTGGAGACGCTGCTGCTGAGACTGGAGCATGCCACTAAGAGGTGGGGCCTTACCATCAGCCCCACCAAAACTAAGCATCTGCCTGGGTATTTTGTACCATCGGACACTCCACCCCCACAACTCCCAATCGGTGATGGGGCAGTTGTGGAGAGAGTGGAGAGTTTCTCATACCTGGGCAGTGTGCTTATGACTGGCTCCAGTTTAACAGCAGAGATCTCACTCCGAATCAGTCGAGCGGCAATATCTTTTCATCGGTTGCGTAACGCTGTGTGGAAGCTACCTGGTCTCTCGCTCCGCACTAAGCTTCAGGTCTTCTCGGCCACGGTCATTCCCTCACTTCTCTACGCTTGCGAAACGTGGACCCCCCTAATGGAACATCTTCGCCGGTTAGAAACATTTAGGCTGGCCTGCCTACGATCCATCCTGGGTTTAACCAGACTGGACTGTGTGAGGAGCTCACAAATCATTGAAAGATATGGGCAAGGTCCCATCGGTTAGCTCCTCCGGCGGGCAAGGCTGCGATGGCTGGGTCATGTAGCCCGCATGCCCAGCCACCGCATGCCAAAACAGCTTTTGTTCGGCCGGATTGAGGGGGCTAAGCGGGCGCGGCACGGGCTAGAGAAGAGATGGAGTGATGTGGTACAGGAGGACGTGGAGCTGAGTGGACATGCCGATGACTGGTACCAGCGGTGTCAAGATCGGCCTCTGTGGAGGAGGCTCGTAAAGGATGCTACTGGGCAGTTGGAGGTAGTCGCCCTCCAACAACAACGGAGAGCGGAGGAGCGACGCTCAGAACAACGAGCGGAGCGCCGGGTGGCTAAAGCACAGCAGGTTGGCACAGTAGGGGGCACAGGTGGTGCATCAGCCAGTCATCTCAGTCAGTCGACCCGTGGCACCTGGGTCTGCCCCGTGACCTCCTGCCAGCGGGCGTTTGACACTTCACGTGGCCTCAAGGTGCACATGGCCTGGCACAAGCGTCGTGGTGACGTCACCGCCACTTAGTGGCGAATGGCGGTTGTTGTTGTTGTGTGAGTGTGTGTGTGAGTGTGAGTATGTGTGTATGTGAGTGTGTGTGAGTGAGCGGTGGTGTAGCGGTTAGCGCGCTGCTCTATGAACCCGGCGACACGGGTTCGATTCCCGCTCACGGCACAACACAGGTGACGATTATCCGAACCGGTCCTGGGCCGCCCCTATGTCGACTCGGCCTCAAACGAGTACCCGGTGCGGTGCGTAAACATCGCCACTGGGGAGACAAAGGCGGCCGGGCGTGGTGCCGCCCACCCACCCCCTCGTGTGTCACAGTGCGCCGGCCTCCGTAGGTGCCGCTGCTCGCTAACAGCACTTGCCCCATAAGCCCGCCAAGGCTACACGGGGGACCTTTGCTGTTGTATTTAGCTGTGGGAGGAAACGGGAGAACGACAGGAGGAGTCCCACAGTCCGGAAGAGTGGGAGAGACGACACAAACCTCCACGCACAAGGCCACCACCACCACCACCCCCGCCCCAGCAGCCCGTGTCACCCCGGTGGTCTCCCTCACCGTGCGTCGTCAGGGATGGCTTCCTCTCCATCCAGCAGCGGAAACTCCCGCAGAACGTCCCTCCAGAGGGCGGACACCCACGGGTCCACCACCGCGTCCGCTCTACGCAGGCCAAGGCAAAGGACCCCCAGGTAAGACTTCGACAGTCCGTCGGGGGCGGGGCGGGGGGGTGAGTGCTGTCAAGCGACCAGCAGCGCCTGTGAAGGCCGTCACCGCGGCACACAGAGGGGGTGGGTGGCCGGCACCACGCACGGCCGCCTTTGTCACCGCAACAGTACACTTTACACTACACTATACACTACACTACTTTAAACTACACTACTTTAAACTACACTACACACTACACTATACACTACACTATACACTACACTACACACTACACTACTTTAAACTACACTATACACTACACTATACACTACACACTATACACTACACTATACACTACTACACTATACACTACACTATACACTACACACTACTACACTATATACTACTATACACTATACACTACACAACACACTACTACACTATACACTACACTCTATACACTATACACTACACTACACACTATTACACTATACACTACACACTATACACTACTACACTATATACTACTATACACTACACACTACACAACACACTACTACACTATAGACTACACTACTTTAAACTACACTACTTTAAACTACACTATATACTACTACACTATATACTACTATACACTACACTATACACTACACACTATATACTACACTACACACTATACACTACACACTACACTACACAACACACTACTACACTATACACTACACACTACACTACACACTACTACACTATACACTACTACACTATATACTACTATACACTACACACTACTATACACTATATACTACTATACACTATATACTACTATACACTACACACTACTATATACTACTATACACTACACACTACACAACACACTACCACACTATACACTACACTACTACACTACACTATACACTACACTACACACTACTACACTACACACTATACACTACACTACTACACTATATACTACTATATACTACACACTACACAACACACTATTACACTATACACTCCACTACTACACTACACTATACACTACACACTACTACACTACACACTACACTATAAACTACTACACTATATACTACTATACACTACACTACACACTACTACACTATATACTACTATACACTACACAACACACTACTACACTATACACTACACTATACACTACACTATACACTACACTACACACTACTACACTATACACTACACACTATACACTACACACTATACACTACTACACTATATACTACTACACTATATACTACTACACTATATACTACTATACAGTACACACTATACACTACTACACTATATACTACTATACACTATATACTACACTATACACTACTACACTATATACTACTATACACTACACACTATACACTACACTACTACACTATATACTACTATACACTACACACTATACACTACTATACACTACACACTACTACACTATACACTACATTGATAACTGATTCCTTTAGAGCTGCTTATTGTGTCCAGTTTGTTGTCCCCCCCCACTCCAATCAGCGCGATTGGCCACGCACGGTGCGAAAGAAGTTCAAATCCAACATGCATCCAACACGCTCAACACACACAACACACACAACACGCTCAACATACGCACAGCACACATCCAACACCCGTACAACACGCTCAACGTACACACAACACACACACAACACGTACAACACGCACAACATGCATCCAACACGCTCAACGTACACACAACACACATCCAACACACATCCAACACGCTCAACGTACACACAACATGCACAACACACGTACAACACGCAAAACACGCATCCAACACGCTCAACACGCATTCAACATGCGTACAACACGCTCAACGTACACACAACACACTTCCAACACATGCAACGTACACACAACACGCATCCAATATGCGCACAACACGCGCAACGTACGCACAACACGCGCACAACACGCGTACAACACGCACAAAGTACGTACAATACGCGTACAACACGCACAATACGCGTACAATACGCACAAAGTACGTACAACACGCATACAACATGCGTACAACACGCGTACAACACGCATAATACGCGTACAACATGCACAAAGTACGTACAACATGCACAACGTACAACACGCACAACGTACAACACGTACAACACGCACAACACGCACAACACACGTACAGCACGCGCACAACGTACGCACAACACGCACAACACGTACAACACGCGTACAACACACGTACAACACGCACAACACACGCACAACACGCACAACATGTACAACAAGTGTACAACACACGCACAATACGCGTACAACACGCGTACAACACGCACAACGTACAACACGCACAACATACAACACGTACAACACGCACAACACGTACAACACGTACAACACGCGTACAACACACGCACAACACGCACAACACGTACAACACACGTACAACACGCACAACACGCACAACACACGTACAACACGCACAACACGTACAACACACGCACAATACGCGTACAACACGCATACAACACGCACAACGTACAACACGCACAACATACAACACGTACAACGTAGTACAACACGTACAACACGCACAACGTACAACACACGTACAACACGTACAACACGTACAACACGCGTACAACACACGTACAACACGCACAACGTACAACACACGTACAACACGTACAACACGCGTACAACACGCGTACAACACGCGTACAACACGCACAACGTACAACACACGTACAACACGTACAACACGCACAACACGCACAACGTACAACACACGTACAACACACGTACAACACGTACAACACGTACAACACGTGTACAACACGTACAACGTACAACACGTACAACACGTACAACACGTACAACACACGTACAACACACGTACAATACGTACAACACACGTACAACACACGTACAATACGTACAACACACGTACAACACGTACAACACGTACAACACACGTACAACACACGTACAACACGTACAACGTAGTACAACACGTACAACACGTACAACACACGTACAACACGTACAACGTAGTACAACACATACAACACACGTACAATACGTACAACACACGTACCCGAGCTCGTGCTGTTCGTCGGCGAGGCCGGGCGACGCGATGGGGCGGCCCCCCAGCTGCAGGAGACGCTTGTGGAGCTTCTTGGCGACGAAGTTGAACCTGCGGCGGAGAAGGGCGGCCGTCCGGGGAGTTGCCGTCGACTTCCGGCGGGCTCGCCGGAGCCGGCCGGCTCGCCGGGGAGGCTCGGGAGCGTTGCTCGCGATGCCAGGCGCGCACCGCGGGAGTCCGGCCGTGCCCGTCGGAGGACAAAGCAACTCTACGGCACGCAGCGGTGGCCAGGCGGGCACGCAGACGCACGGAGACAAAGGTCTCTCCCGTGCGGCCCGAACACACCGCCGGGGCAAGCGCCGTTCGCGAGCGGCCTACGGAGGCCGGCACGGCTAATTTGGGGGGTGGGTGGCAAGCACCGCGCCCGGCCGCCTTTGTCTCCCCAGTGGCGATGTTTACGCACCGCACCAGGTACTCGTTTGAGGCCGAGTCGACCTAGGGGAGGCCCATGACCGGTTTAGATAATCGTCACCGGTGTTGGTGGCCGTGGGCGGGAATCCAACTCGGGTCAATAAGTTCGTAGCGCGGCAGCGTGGCGCTAATCGATGCCCCACCGCTCCCCTCGTATCGTCTAGATTAGAGTTACGGTGACGCCACGGTACACACGGACGGATGGACGAACACGGACGGACAGACACACAGATGGCAAACAACACAGGTCGACAGACAGATATCCGTGTCGGATCATCTCCGTGACCCCCACGGTACCCCCACGCTCCCCAGGGCCGTGGGGCCTCCACTCACTTGGCGTAGGAGGAGTCCCCGAGGCCCAGCACGGCGAACCAGGTGTGAGCCAGCGAGTTCGCAGGCAGGGCCTTGCGGAAGATGAACCTCCAGAACGTCTGTCACGAGAGCGGCAAACATCGTCATCGTCGCCGTCATCGTCGCCGTCATCGTCGTCGTCATCGTCATCATCGTCATCATCGTCGTCGTCGTCATCATCGTTTTCTGGAGGACAGCGCTCCAGCTCCAGCGCTGTCCTCCAGACAGTCTCGTCCCTTCACCTGATGAAGGCCGCTTGTGTTGTGGCCGAAACGTCGTGAGAATTTTATTGTGTTATTTTATTTTATCAATTTATTATTTTATTCTCATTCTACGTGACTTTACCGAAAGAACCAAAGAAGATGAATCCTTGCAGTCACGAAAGCTTTAAATCGAAAGTCATCAACGTCGTAATCGTCGTCATCATCATCATCGTCATCATCATCGTCGTCGTCGCCCGTGGTCCACCCACTGCCAGACGAGACAAAAGACACGCCGCCCCCGCGTGTACGCAAGCGGCGGCGGCGGCTGCCGTTCGCCGAGTGGCGGTGACGTCACCCGCGGCGCTCACGCCAGGCTAGGTGCACTTCGAGGCCGTCGCGTGAAGTGTGGGAGACTCCCTGCTGGAAGGAGGTGGTCACCGGACAGGCCGAGGTGCTATGGGGGTTAACTGCCTGGCAGATGCACGCACACAACAGACAAAGATTCCCTCCCGTGTAGCCTTCACAAGACTGTCGGGGCAAGTGCTGTTTGCGAGCAGAAGCACGGCACACGAGGAGGTGGGTGGTCACCACCGTGCCTGGCCGCCTTTGTCTCCCCCAAAGTTAATGGGCCATTGTATTGAGGGGCTACTACTGTGTGGTGTTACCTTGGTGTGGTCTGGGACTCTTGCTGCTGTTGCTGCTGCCTCCGTCAATCTTGATACTTAATAAATGTTGTATTTATTAACATCGAGTGACTAGCCTGCCATGTGCTGTATGTTGCACTCCTATCGTGGTTAAATTTTGGCATCGTTTGCCGTTGAAACCCGCTGACCCCAGTGCCCCCGACCTGAATCCGAAGAGCTTCATAGCTCTTCAGATTCCTCCTCCTCCCGTCTGAATAAAGATTCCGATTTCCGATGACACACCGCACCAGGTGCTCACTTAAGGCTGAGGGAGGCTGCCCAGGACCGGTTCGGATATCCATCGCCCGGTATTGGCCACGAGCGGGCGGGACGTCGACTGCCGGACATCTGCGAAACTACCGGGCACGCGCGAAAAACACCAGATCCCTCCTGCGGTGTAAATAAAGATTCCGGTTCTGAACCCCTTCGCGATCCAGCGACCGCGGTGAGGACGAGCGACCGAGCGAGCGTGGCGGCGATGGCGTGCCCGGCGTCGTCGGCACACAGAGACGCGGCAACGGACCTTCATGTTGTCGGGAGGGTCTCCGTCTCCAGTGGTGGAGCACACGAAGACCACCAGCGGCTCGTAGACAAGGCCGGCCTGCACACAGCGTCAGCACCAACCGGTCAGCGACGGCGGTACGACGGCGGTACGGCTGGCTCCGCTGAGGGCCGCGCGGTTCATATGTACGTGTGTGCTCACTAACAGCACTTGCCCCAACGGTATGGTAAGGCTATACGGGGGTTCTTTGTCTGTGTCTGTATGCTGAACCGTATGTAGCCAGCCGGCGGGGGAAGGGCAACAGACGCAACAGAAAATGCGGTTCTAAGGAAATTATCTCTCAATGTAGTATAGTGGTGGAGTGCATTAGTGTAGTTTATAGCAGTGTAGTGTATAGTGTAGTATACAGTAGTGTTGTGTGTATTGTATAGTAGTTTGTAAGTATGTTGAAATCCTCTCGCACCGTACATAGCCAACCGTGCTAATCGGAGGTGCGGGGGGAAGGACAAACTAAACACAAATAACAGTTCTAAAGAAACGAGTTTGTCAACCTCTAGATGATTTATAAGTGCATAGCTCCACAGTGGCTTCCTAATATCGGGAGGAAGAGCGTTCCAGACGGCCGCTGCGGCGCTCCTGACCGACGGGCACGTGCCCCGCCCGCCCCTCACCACGGCGTAGTCGTCCAGCGCCGAGAGGTGGCAGTCGAAGCGGCGTCGCCGCGCGTCGCCCCACAGCTGCTCGGCCACGTCCTGCGCCGTGCCGCTCTGGCTGCCGTACAGCACGGCGAGCCGGCGGCGCTGGCGGTGGTCGTTGTCGTGGTCCGCCATTGCCCTACCGTGCGGCACACCGCGGCACGAAGGGAAGGATCAGCACAACGCGGCAAAAATCGCAAGACACCGCGGGACACCGATCACAGGAGCGCTATGTTTTCGATTTCGCTCGTGAATGCAGTTGCTTTTGTTACGATCTATCTTTGCTTCATTGCTGTACTTGTCACCTTGGTGACCTCTGGGTCACTCTTGCAAATGTCTCTAGCGAATGCTTTTACACGTGACTGTCACACAGTTTGAGCACCAGATACGCAAGAAAAATAAATGAGACTGCCACTGTGTTTTTGTATTGTTTGTTGTTGTAACGTTCTTACCCATCCCAACTTGACATCTGTGAAAAGGAGCTTTATAGGTCATCGGATTCCCCCAGTATAAATACATTTTTCTGGCAACAAAACAGGTGTTAAGATGACTCACTCACACATCATACACTGGGAGTGTCGCGCTGCCAGCTATGGCTGCAGTTTTTTTGTCGTGCGTGTTATGTATAGCGTTTATTGTTAAATTTAAATTCACAGTTCCTATGATTACTGTTGTTACATTGTTTTTATAGCTTTATTTTGGTGATTCGAAAACATATGGTTAATCTAAATTGTCTTATGGTTGTTGTTGGCTTGCACTACATTGTGATTTTGTGTGGAATATTTGCTGGTTCATTCCAGGATGTTTCTATTGCACGTTGTCGCTTTAAGATGTTCTGTATTAAAACTTTGTTTGTTGCGGTTGCACCCGACTTAAGAGCCGCATGGCTCACACGGCTATATCTAATAAATTAAACTTGAAAACTAAAATACCAAACTGAAACCTTTCACAATCATGTCTGCATTAACCACAATACTTGTGGTCAGAATGCAAACAAAAACACACTCTGATAATATATGCATTGTCTTTGAACTGATTGGTCCACACCAGAGACAGCTTTCTTTCAAACGCTGTTAGACCAGAGGACGCCAAAAGGCGTGCTCCTCTATCCTATGTGGCAGTGAAGCATCCTGTGTAGCCCCTCCCCCTTCCTCTGTAGGACCCGCCCCTTCCTGCTCAAGCCCCGCCCCTCGCTTTAGGCCCCGCTCCTTCTTGCTCAAGCCCCAGCCCTCGCTTTAGGCCCCGCCACTTCCTGCTCAAGCCCCGCCCCTCACTTTAGGCCGTGCCACTTCCTGCTCAAGCCCCGCCCCTCGCTTTAGGCCCCGTCACTTCCTGCTCAAGCCCCGCCCCTCGCTTTAGGCCCCACCACGTCCTACTAAAGCCCCGCCCCTCGCTTTAGGCCCCACCACTTCCTGCTCAAGCCCCGCCCCTCGCTTTAGGCCCCGCCACTTCCTGCTCAAGCCCCGCCCCTCGCTTTAGGCCCCGCCACTTCCTGCTCAAGCCCCGCCCCTCGCCTCACGAGGAGGATGATGAAAGTCGCTCTTGGGAGCAAGGGAACGTAACGGATGCACGCGGCAGCCGCCGTCACCACCACAGCGCCTGTGCCAGGCTAGGTGCACTTTGAGGCCGGCACGTGAAGTGTCAAAGGCTCTATCATCATTACTACGACTAAACATTGTTTTTATTTTACCAGGTGTAAGGCCCCACCAAGCTACAGAGCGCTTCTTCAGAGGCGCCCTGGCCAACGCAAATGAGAGCTCAACGAAGTGGCTTACCGCCTTCTTTGGTTCTTTAGGTAAAGTCACGTAGAATGAGAATAAAATAATACATTGATAAAATAAAATAACACAACACCGTCGTCATCACGTGGAAGTGTATCGCGGCCACACACGAGAGACGCACGTTGAGTCTCATTGTGCGGAGAAGAAAACCGCCCGGAGAAAAATCGACTCTTACAATGAATCTCATCGGAAGCCACTGGAGCTCTGCAACTTTTATATCTAAATTGAAAAACTCTTTAGTACCGCCTTTTTGCGTTTAAGTTTGTTCTCCTTACCCCGCACTTCCCGATGTTACGTTGCAATTGTCTATATTTTTTGGTGATTTCGAAAACGTTTTTTGGTTTGGACATGTTTGTTTTGTTGTAGTACGGAGTTAGACTGATGGCCTTAATCTAAGTTGTTGTTTTTACATTATGAGACCTCCTTTGCCAGTAACAAGATATATGAATAGGTTTTACCCTTTTAACTGGCACAAAAACTGACACCTTTATTCAAGGCATCATGTTTGCAATAACCACAACACAAGCAGTCAAAATGCAAACAAAAAAGACAACTCTGATAATAATATAGACGCCAAAATGCTTACCCCGAGCTCTCATACTCTGATGGTGCATTGTCTTTGAGTTGTGCGCCTTTTGGCATCTTCTGGTCCAACACCAGTGGAGACTAGGCTCTAAGAAAAGCCGTCTCGGGTGTGAACCAATCTAATTCAAGGACAGTGCATATCATTATCAGAGTTGTCTCTTGTTTGCATTTTGACTGCTTGTGTTGTGGTTATTGCAAACATGATGCCTTGAATAAAGGTGTCAGTGTTTGTGCCAGTTAAAAGGGTAAAACCTATTCCTAAGATGTTGTTGTTGTTGACTTGCATCCCACTGGGATTTTTTGCACACAGCGTTGGTGTTGTACGGTGCTTTTTTCAGGAATATTTTGCTGTTTTTTCATGGATTTTCTGTTTGCACAGTCAACACATGTTTTCTTGTTCGTGTTTTAGTTTTTTTTGTTGTGGTTGCACCCGATTCAAGAGCCGAATGGCTCACAGGGCTATACGAAAATAAATAAACTGAAACTGGCGTGCGCTCGGTTGGCTACGTACGGCGCGAAAGAAGTTCAACATCCATAGCACGCATCGAGTTGGTGGACACGCGCGGCGTGACCCCGAGTTCAAACAAAGACAAAGATCTCCCCGATAGCCCGGACAGACTGCTGGGGCAAGTGCTGTTAGCGAGCAGCACCTACAAAGGCCGGCAGGGCACGCGAGGGGGTAGGTGACCAGCACCACGTGGGCCCGATCCCCCTTTGTCTCCCCGGTGGCGATGATTACTCCACACCGCACCGGGTACTCATTTGAGGCCGAGTCGACCGAGGGGGAGCCCCCAGGACCGGCTCGGATGAATCGTCGCTGGTGGTGGCCGCCCGGGTTCGGAGCGCGGCGCGCTAACTGCTGCACCACCGCTCCCCTTGACGCGGCAACTCAGCCCGAACTGGTGCCCGGGGTCAGTGAGGCTACACGGTACAAAGATAAAGGTCCCCCAGCCACGGGAGAGGCTGCTGCTGCTGCTGGGGCAAGTGCTGTCAAGAGAGGAGCGCGCAGCTGTGAAGGCCGCGAGGGCGATCGAGCGCCCACGCGGCGCGGTGCCGGCCACACCGCGCTGACACACCGGGTGCCACAAGCGCTGACATCATCAATCAGCGACATCATCAATCAATCAGCGACATCATAAACAACATCATCATCAACAACATCATCATCATCAACATCATCATCATAAACAACATCATCATCAACAACATCATGCCCCACCTCCCACGTGTTCCGGCACCGCGCGCGCCGGCACCTCCAGCCGCGTGACGTCACGCGGGAGAGCGGCTTGCGGATGACGTCACGCCGCCCGTTGTGATGACGTCACTCGCGTATTTCGTTGACGTGACGTCATAGCGCTTATCGATACCCGTCTTTTATAATTAACGATTCGATTACGGATAGGTTCAAGAATGTCACTTTTTAAATCGGTGTTAATGTCGAGTTAGGAAGAGTTGTTTCGTGTGCCTCGTTCCGCCTTCACTTTACTAAAGTTTTATATTTCAGTTCCAATTAAAATGTTCCTCAGTATTTAATGATAATCGATCGATTCCCACATTTCTATGTATACCACGCACCATTTCCTCTCTCATCGGAGACAAAAAACGACTCTCAAAGTCAAAGCTCCCCCGTGTAGCCTCTACCTGACAGTCGGGGCAAGTGCTGTGAGCGAGCAGCAGCGCCTACGAAGACCGCCGCTGCGGCACACGAGGGGCTGGGTGGCCAACGCCCGCCCGCCTCCCCAGTGCTGGCGATGTTTACTACGCCAACGCACCGGGTACTCCTTTGAGGCTGAGTCGACCTAGGGGACGCCCAGGACCGGTTCAGATAATCGCCGTCACTGGCGTTGGTGGCCGTGAGCATGTGCGTGGTGACGTCACCCCGTGCGTTTTGACGCGCGCCGTGCGTGGTGACGTCACCCCATGCGTGGTGACGTACCCCGTGCGTGGTGACGTAACCCCGTGCGTGGTGACTTCACCACGTGCGTGGTGATGTGCTTCCGTGCGTGGTGACATACGCCGTGCGTGGTGACGTCACCCCGTGCGTGGTGACCTAACCCGTGCGTGGTGACCTAACCCGTGCGTGGTGACGTAACCCCGTGCGTGGTGACGTAACCCGTGCGTGGTGACGTCGCGCACTGTACCGGCTGTGGAGTCGCGAGGCAGGAGCTCCTGTTTGTCATCAAGGTAACGGCGCGCGCCATGAACACAACAACAACAACAGAGTCATTACCATGTAACACAAAGACGCCCCCCGTGCAGCCTTGACAGGCTGTTGGGGCCAGTGCGGTGAGCGAGCCCCGCTTGTGGCGAGACGCCACCCACGTGATTGGGTAGCCAACACCAAGCGCTGGGCCGCCTTTGTCTCCCCAGTGACGATGTCGTCGTGGTTACATATCAGCACCAGGCAGTCGTTCGAGGCTGAGTCGACCTAGGGGGGAGGAGGCCCAGGACCGGTTCAGAATAATCGCCGCTGGTCGTGTTGGCGACCGCGTGCGGCAATCCGAACTCGCTCACAGCTAGGTTCGTTGCGCCTCCCGCTAGCACCACCACCACACCAGCACCACCACACCACCACTCTACCACCACTCTACCACTCTACCACCACACCAGCACCACCACACTACCACTCCACCACCACTCTACCACCACACTACCACCACACCAGCACCACCACACTACCACCACCACACCACCACACTACCACCACCACACCACCACTCTACCACCACACCACCACTCTACCACCACACCTCCACTCTACCACCACACCACCACTCTACCACCACACCAGCACCACCACACCACCACCACTCTACCACCACACCAGCACCACCACACCACCACTCTACCACCACTCTACCACCACTCTGCCACCACCACACTGCCACCACCACTCTACCACCACTCTGCCACCACCACACTGCCACCACCACACTACCACTCTACCACCACACCACCACCACACTACCACTCTACCACCACACCAGCACCACCACACTACCACCACCACACCACCACCACACTACCACCACACCACCACTCTACCACCACCACACCACCACTCTACCACCACACCAGCACCACCACACTACCACCACCACCACACCACCACCACACTACCACCACCACACCACCACTCTACCACCACCACACTACCACCACCACACCACCACTCTACCACCACCCAGCACCACCACACTACCACCACCACACTACCACTCTACCACCACCCCAGCACCACCACACTACCACCACCACACTACCACTCTACCACCACTCTACCACCACACTACCACCGCCACACTGCCACCACCACACTACCACTCTACCACTACTCTACCACCACACCAGCACCACCACACTACCACCACCACACCAGCACCACCACACTACCACTCTACCACCACACTACCACACCACCACCACACCAGCACCACCACACTACCACCACCACACTACCACCACCACACTACCACCACCACACCAGCTACCACCACACTACCACTCCACCACACTACCACCACCACACTACCACTCTACCACCACACTACCACTCTACCACCACTCTACCACCACCACACCAGCACCACCACACTACCACCACACTACCACCACCACCACGCCGCTACTACCACCACACTACCACCACCACACTACCACCACCACCACGCCGCTACTACCACCACGCTAGCACCACCACCACGCTAGCACCACCACCACGCTAGCACCACCACCACGCTAGCACCACCACCACGCTAGCACCACCACCACGCTAGCACCACCACCACGCTAGCACCACCACACCACCACACTACCACTACTACTACCACCACGCCAGCACCACCACGCCACCGCCGCTCCCCCATGATGTGCAGTCCCTTCTTCTCATAGCCACTCCGCTGCTGTACGCGCGAGACTTTGGTTTCGACTTCAGACCGCGCGGCACGGCGCTGTGGGCTGTGAAGGCGATGCGGCAGCCCCATCGAGCGACTGTCACCTGACGCATTAAACCCCTCATCATCAGCATCATCACCACCACCACAATCACGCCCGTCTATCCCGGGACGTATACAACTAGTACACATGCTTGCCAGTGCGTAATGCGCATGCACAATGTGCGTTGAGTACCATATAAATAATCCAAGCGGCAATGAACAGCCCAGAGTCATCATTTCTATGCACTCATTAATCTCTCTCCCCCCCCACCACCACTTCGCTCAAGAAGAGCTCACAAGGGACGTCATCACGTCTCTCCCTCTGCTTAAGGAACGAAACGGGAGGATTTCTGCACAAATCTGGCTGTCGCCTGATGAAGCTGCTTGTAATTACTGCGGAAACGTCGTGCTCGGATCGTGAATGTTGTGGCCCGGTTCTCCAACACACAACCGGCGGTGCTGTGCTAGTGACGAATTGGCAACGTTCTGTTCACGTGACGCAAACCTTACTGAACTGGCTGTGTCGGGTGGTGGCGGGTTTAACGACACATATTGACGCGATCAAACACAACAAGCACCTCGACTACGCATGCTCCTCCTCTTCTTGTTAGTTGGGTTTTGCCGACCACCTGGCGTGTCTCTCCAACAGCCATGCGTCCAGTCAATTCATTCATTGCCCCTGGACGCTACAATTAACTGTGTGATGCCGACAACATCTGAGCAATATATATTCACGCCTCTGTTTCTCCAATCCCAATTTATTTGCAGGGAAATTTTACCCCCAGGACACGAGGCATTGGCTCTACCCCATCACCCCTCGCACCACCACCAGCAGCCACCACTCTCTGCACCACCACCGCCGCCTCCACTGAAAAATCCACCACCGCACCCTCCACCAGCATCAGCACCGCCGCCACCAAAGTCATCGGCGCACCACCACCGTCACCACCACCGACCTCGCCACCCGCTATCGCCAGCGCCGCCGCCATGCTGTTCACGGTGCAGGAGCTGGTGCAGTGGCTGGGCTTCGCGACGTTCGAGATGGCGCTGCAGCTGCTGGGCGCGCTTGTCTTCTCCGTGCTGCTCGCCTTCAAGGCGGAGCGCCTGCTGCCGCTCGACTGGTGGAAGGTGTTCGTGCCGGTGTTCGTGGCCGACGGCCTCACGGCGTACTTCACCGTCATCGTCTTCATCCGGCTCTACCAGGACGGCGAGGTGCGCGTCGCCTGCATGCGCACCCTCTGGGTGGCCACCGTGCTCAGCCTCAAGTTCGTCTTCGAGATGCTCCTCTGCCAGAAGCTGGTGCAGCCGGTCACCGACCTCTCCTTCGGCCTCATCATGTCGCCGCTCTTCTTCCTGCTGCAGCTGCTGCTGGTGCGGGCCTGCAGGGTCTCGTGACGGGCGCCAGTTGACGGGGCCGCCCACGCAGAGAGAGAGAGAGAGAGACCACTGGAACCACTTGACTAGAGAGCCAGACCCCCCCCTATCCGAGCCAAGCCAGTGCCGGTGTCTACTCCGGTACGGGCGTTTCATTTTATTTTGCCGAGCCGGAACCGAACCGTCATTCCCGCCGCTCGCCTTCGCAAGAAGACGGCCGAAGCCGGCTTGGGGCCAAGCGGGGCCAGGGGCTGGGGCTGAGGACGCGTGACCTCAGTACGCGGTGAGGACGCGGCCTCGACTTGAGCGAACGAGGGAGAATCGCCGGTGTCTGTGTGTGTCTTGTGTGTGTCAGTCTGGGGAGCGGTGGCGCAGCGGTGAGCGCGCTTGCGCGACCCGAGTTTGATCCCTGGCGTCGCCTGCGCTCGTCTTGTTCGTTCACCGCTTGTGACGTCGGTGACCGCGCCGGTTGTGCACCAAATGTCTAAATTCCAGCTCTCGGGAATCGGCTTGTGCGACGAAAATTTACTCTGTTCCAACGCGTGGCCGATCGCGGTTGTGCTGCTGCTGTTACGTAGATCTGCTGTGTTCTGGGTGTGCCACGGTGTGCTATTCAGCACGTCCTTCCCCCGCACCTTCATTTAGCACGGTTGGCTAAGTACGGTGCGAAAGAAGTTCAACGCAACATGTCCAACGTTGCACTCCCGCGTGCTGGGGGCTTCTTCGGCAACTTGAATTCAAGCGACACGTTTTTTTTCTCCCAGTGTGTAACACGTCAGCACATACGGTGAGCCGAGCTGCTTGACATTGCGAGTTGATGTGTGCAGAGACGGACCAACACCTGTGGGAGTATCTATTTGGAGAGCGGAGGCGCCGTGGTTAGCGCGCTGTGCCCCGAACCGGTGACGAACGCCCGGACCGGCCCTGGGCCTCCCTGACGCTGACTCAGCCTTACGAGCACCTGGTACAGTCTGTGAACATCAGCATTGGGGAGACAAAGGCAGCCGGGCGTGGTGCTGGCCACCCACCCCCACGTGTTCCGTGCCGGCCTTCACAGGTGCCTGCTAACACTTGCCGCAAGTTTGTTAAAGGCTACACGGGGGATCTTTGTGTTAGTGTATATATAAAGATTTTACTGCTTAAGCTCTGATACAAGTATTTTTGGGTTCGATCGCGTAAATATACATGTGCAACGAACATGTGGCTGCCACCTGATGATGCTAGTTGTAATTATTGGAGAAACGTCTTACTTGTTGTGGATTTAGTAACGTATTCATTTGAAGCTTTCGTGACTGCAGGAATCCATGCTATCTGGTTCTTTCGGTAAAGTCACGTAGGTAGAAAAAAATAATAAAAGAAAACACGACGTTTCGGTCGCAACACAAGCGACGGAAACGTGAGTTTACCGAAAACCAGATAGTATAGTAACGTATTGGCACGTTCTGTTCACGTGACAAACCTTACTAATTCGCTGTGGCGAAATTTTGATTTAAAGCTTTCGTGACTGCAGGGATTCATATTCTTGGTTCTTTCGGTAAAGTCACGTAGAAGGGAAACAATAAAATAATAAAAATATAAAACAATACAATTCTCACGACGTTTCGACTGCAACACAAGCAATCATCATCAGGTGTGAAATTTTCTTGCTGTCGAAACGACGTGAGAATTTTATTGTTTAATATTTTTATTATTTTATTGTTTCCCTTCTACGTGACTTTACCAAAAGAACCAAGAATATAGCTGTGGCGAGTTTAGCGACACATTTATGTTTATGGATTATTTTGATCACGAAAGCCTACTTTGTGTTAAACTGTTTAAGCTGTCACAGCGCGTGGTACCTGCCGTTCATGGTGTGAAGTGTCCGTGGTCATCCCCGTTGAGTCGTCGTCACCAACGGGAGATATTTAATAAAGCACGATGATGAAGGCTGCTGCTCTTCACCGGGTCTCAATTGCACGCTCGACGAAGGAATCTCGGATCTAGCTCCGTGATGTCCGTGTCCACGGGCCATTCTCTAACAACAACAACAACAACGGCGACGCGTGGCACCGCTCTGCCGAGACCTCCCGAGTGGATTCCGTTGGGGGCGCTCGGGGTGGTGGAGGCTCGGTGGTGACGCTCGCACCGCAACGATGTAACCTCATCGACATCGGCCGAAGGAAAGCAGAAGAAGATGACGACGTGTCATCGCGACCCCGCGTTGCGCACAGCGCTCGCGCTTTCGGCACACGGCCGGATAACGTTCAGAAAACGTCTGCACCTGGAGGTGGCCAGGAGGAGGAGAGATGAACTAAACGCCAACCGTGTGAGGCTCACCGAGTTATGCCGCAGCTCTTTGTCAGAAGCGACCTGGCCACAGATGATAGCTCGCCGAAGTGGCTCGTCACACGCAAATGTCTTGCAGTGGCCAAATACTCCCAACGCGTGATGTCGGTTCTCAATACGTAAGAAGACCATGGGGGGGAGAGAGAGACACCGCAAACTCCAAATATACAGCAGCAGCAGGCGTCAGAGTTGGGATATAACCCACGACCTGTACACCAGGCGAGGTAGTTAACATCTAGCCACCGTGATGATGATGAGAGAGAGACACCGCAAACTCCAAATACACAGCAGCAGGCGTCAGGGTCGGGATCGAACCCACGACCTCCTGTATACCGGGCGAGGTAGTTAACATCTTAAAGCCACCGCGGTGTCCACACAGCCCTGGATGACCTCACTGACGAGCGAGTAGGGGAAAGCCAATCTCTGAAGGGGGAGACGCAGGCCCCGACTTCGTCTTTGCACAGCAGTGGTGGCACGAGGCACACACCGAGGTGGTAAAGACAAAGATCCCCCGTGTAGCCTCGTTAACAGGCTTAGGCCGCCCAGTTCGTAGCACAGCGCGCTAACCACTGCGCCACCGCTCCCAACAGTTGCCGTGGTGATGTCACCACGGAGGCCACATGAAGTGTCGAACCCCCGCTGACAAGAGGTCACGGGGCAGACCCAGCAGGTGCCGTGGGTCGACAGACTGAGATGACTGGCTGATGCACCACCTGTGCCCCCTACTGTGCCAACTTGCAGTGCTTTAGCCACCCGGCGCTCCGCTCGTTGTTGTGAGCGTCGCTCCTCTGACCTCCGTTGTTGTTGGAGGGCGACTGCCTCCAACTGCCCAGTAGCGTCCTTCACGAGCCTCCTCCACAGAGGCCGATCTTGACACCGCTGGTACCACTCATCGGCAAGTCCACTCAGCTCCACGTCCTCCTGTACCACATCACTCCATCTCTTCTCTAGCCCGTGCCGCGCCCGTTTAGCCCCCTGGATCCGGTCGAACAAAAGCTGTTTCGGCATGCGGTGGCTGGGCATACGGGCTACATGACCCAGCCAACACAGCCTTACCTGCCGGAGGTGCTCACCGATGGGACCTTGCCCAGATCTTTAGAGGATTTGTGAGCTCCTCACAATCCAGCCTGGTTAAACCCAGGATTGATCGTAGGCAGGCCAGCCTAAATGTTTCTAACCGGCGAAGATGTTCCATTAGGGGGATCCACGTTTCGCAAGCGTAGATTAACACACAGAGACACACACACACGAGGTGACACAGACGGTGGCACACACACACACAATGGGCACACACACACAATGGGCGCACACACACAATGGGTACACACACAATGGGTACACACACACAATGGGTGCACACACACAATGGGCACACACACAATGGGCGCACACACAATGGGTACACACACAATGGGTACACACACACAATGGGCACACACACGCAATGGGCACACACACACAATGGGTACACACACACAATAGGTACACACACAATGGGTGTACACAATGGGTACACACACACAATGGGTACACACACACAATGGGTACACACACACAATGGGTACACACAATGGGTACACACACAATGGGCACACACACAATGAGTACACACACACACAATGGGTGTACACACAGTGGGTACACACACAGTGGGTACACACACAATGGGTACACGCACACAATGGGTGTACACACAGTGGGTACACACACACACAATGGGCACACACACAATGGGTACACACACACAATGGGTACACACACACAATGGACACACACACACAATGGGTACACACACACAATAGACACACACATACACACAATGGGTGTACACACACACAATGGGTACACACACACAATGGGTACACACACACAATGGACACACATATACACACAATGGGTGTACACACACACAATGGGTACACACACACAATGGACACACACATACACACAATGGGTGTACACACACACAATGGGCACACACACACAATGGACACACACACAATGGACACACACACACAATGGGTACACACACACAATGGACACACACACAATGGGTGTACACACACACAATGGACACACACACAATGGGTACACACACACACATAATGGGCACCGCATGCCCGACACGGCCACTGGCTCGTCTTGAGTGGCAGGCAGCCACCGCCACCAGAACGTCCACGAGGAATCTGGCGAATCAGGGGAGTTTTGATTCCCCTTGTGACGTCACCCGAATGGAACAAAACCACGGGTTAAAAATGACGTCATGCGAGGCTGTCGCCGAAAGTGCGATGACGTAACGGCACGCGAGTGTGGTGACGTCACAACGACATTTGACCCGTTCGGCGTAATGACGCCATTAATAGTTTCGCGTGAGAGGACAACAGTATGACGTAATTTATGGTACGACGTAGAGAGGACAATCACATTTACGTACAGTATATGTAACGACGCAATTCATTACTAGTGTGAAATGATGTCACGAATGAATAGTATGACATTTAAAGGGAAGGCATGACGTTCAGGTGAATCGTTGGAACCTCATGACGCAAACACGTCAGCATCCGCGTCATGACGTAACGTCGATGACATCAGCGCGTGACATCGCGACCCTCGCACGGACCAGTGACGTCGAAATACTCTTGAGCGCGTGGACATGACGTCACTCCCGGGGCTCGTGACGTCATCTCGCCAGGAAGAAAGGCCGCACGTGTCCTGAGCTGTGCTGCTGGTGACTGACTCAGTGAGTCCGCGTGGGTGAGTCGGGGTGAGTGAGCGATGAAGTGAGTGAGAGGCGAAGTTTCTCTACGCGAGTGAAAATCCTCACTCGGGGAGACAAAGGCGGCCGCGCGTGATGCTCCCCGTATTACCCCGAGGATCCGTCCCCCGTTCCCCCAGCGGGGCCTTGGTGAAGCGCTCGCTAAAGCAGCCCTTGCCCCGTGAGGGCGTCTTCGTGAGGCTCCTCGCTTGTACACGCGTGCATGCACCTAGGCTGGTACGCGCGCTGCGGTGTGTACGGTCTCAGTTTGTGTGCACCTAGCCTGGCACAAGCGCCGTGGTGACGTCACCGCCACTCGGTGGCGAATGGCGGTGGTTGTTGTTGTTGTTTACACAACGGGGAGCCGTGGCACATCGGTCAGCGCTGCGCTACCAACGCCGGACACCCCAAGTTGGAGTCCCGCGCACGGCCAATTGCGGGGGCAGCGATTTGACTCGAACCTGGTCCTGGGCCTCCCCCGGATCAACTTGGCGGCCAACGAGAGGCTGACGGGCTGTGTCGAGAGCGGCGCTGGGGGAGACGCCGCTGCCGATCTCTCCCCTGCCGCGTCTCCCTCCCTCCCTCCCTCACCGTCTCCACACCCCCATCATCATCTCCTCTCTCCCGGCTCCCACCGTCTCCACCCTCCTGGCTCCCACCGTCTCCTCCCTCCTGGCTCCCACCGTCTCCTGGCTCCCACCGTCTCCTGCCCCTCCTGGCTCCCACTGTCTCCTGGCTCCCACTGTCTCCTCTCTCCTGGCTCCCACTGTCTCCTGGCTCCCACCGTCTCCTGCCCCTCCTGGCTCCCACCGTCTCCACCCTCCTGGCTCCCACCGTCTCCTGCCCCTCCTGGCTCCCACCGTCTCCTCTGCCTCCCCTGCCGTGTCTCCCCGCCTTCTCACGTCCCCCTCCCCCCGCGTGTCTCCCCGCGTGGCCTCCCCTGCAGGCCGAGCGAGGCCGCCTCCTGCCGCCGCTGGCGATGGAGGCTCTGCAGGAGTGGGTGGAGGAGCAGCTCCACGAGCTGCTGGGCCTCAGCGACCGCCACCTGGCGCGCTTCTTCCTGGAGCTGGCGCGGCGCAGCGACGGCGCCGGCGACTTCGAGCGCCGCCTGCGCGAGACGCGAACCATCGACGTGGACGGCCGCGTCTCCGCGTTCTGCGCGCGGCTCTGGGACCGGGTGAGGCCTCCGGCCCTGGGCCCGGGTGAGGCCTCCGGCCCTGGGCCCGGGTGAGGCCTCCGGCCCTGGGCCCGGGTGAGGCCTCCGGCCCTGGGCCCGGGTGAGGCCTCCGGCCCTGGGCCCGGGTGAGGCCTCCGGCCCTGGGCCCGGGTGAGGCCTCCGGCCCTGGGCCCGGGTGAGGCCTCCGGCCCTGGGCCCGGGTGAGGCCTCCGGCCCTGGGCCCGGGTGAGGCCTCCGGCCCTGGGCCCGGGTGAGGCCTCCGGCCCTGGGCCCGGGGCGGCCGCGTGTCTGTGGGGGGCCACCCCGGGCGTGGGTTCTACTCCCGGTTCGGGCGAGGGTTGTTTTCTTTCTCGGTGTGTTTGTGTTTGTGCGTGGAGTTTGTGTGCTCCGCCTGTGTAGAGTGCGAGCGAGTGCGTCGGTGAGTGAGAGTGAGTGTTTGGGATCGGGTGAGAGTGAGTGAGTGAATGCGTCAGTGAGTGAGTGAGGGTGAATGCGTGATGGGTGAGAGTGAATGCGTCAATGAGTGAGTGAGAGTGGATGGGTGAGGGTGAATGCGTGATGGGTGAGAGTGAATGCGTCAATGAGTGAGTGAGAGTGAATGCGTGATGGGTGAGAGTGAATGCGTCAGTGAGTGAATGCGTGATGGGTGAGAGTGAATGCGTGATGGGTGAGTGAGAGTGAATGTGTGATGGGTGAGAGTGAATGCATCAATGAGTGAGTGAGAGTGAATGCGTGATGGGTGAGAGTGAATGCGTGATGGATGAGAGTGAATGCGTGATGGGTGAGTGAGAGTGAATGCGTGATGGGTGAGAGTGAATGCGTCAATGAGTGAGTGAGAGTGAATGCGTGATGGGTGAGAGTGAATGGGTGATGGGTGAGAGTGAATGCATCAGTGAGTGAGTGAGAGTGAATGCGTGATGGATGAGTGAGAGTGAATGCGTGATGGGTGAGAGTGAATGCGTGATGGGTGAGAGTGAATGCGTCAATGAGTGAGTGAGAGTGAATGCGTGATGGGTGAGAGTGAATGCGTCAATGAGTGAGTGAGAGTGAATGCGTGATGGGTGAGAGTGAATGCGTGATGGGTGAGAGTGAATGCGTGATGGGTGAGAGTGAATGCGTGATGAGTGAGTGAGAGTGAATGCGTGATGGGTGAGAGTGTGAGAGTGAAGTGAATGCGTGATGGGTGAGTGAATGCGTGATGGGTGAGAGTGAATGCGTCAATGAGTGAGTGAGAGTGAATGCGTGATGGGTGAGAGTGTGAGAGTGAAGTGAATGCATGATGGGTGAGTGAATGCGTGATGGGTGAGAGTGTGAGAGTGAGTGAATGCGTGATAGGTGTGAGTGGATGTGTGGAGTGTGTGATCTGGGGAGAGCGGTGGTGCAGCGGTTAGCGCACTGCGCTCGATCCCAGCTTCCCGGTTTCGATTCCCACTCACGGCCACAGTCCGGTGACGATTTTCTCAACCGGTCCTGGTGCCTCCCCTAGGTCGACTCGGCCTCAAATGAGTACAAGGTGTGGTGAGTCGACCTACGGAAGGTTAGGGGGTCAGCACACGGAATTTACGCAGCAGCAGCAGATTCACCCCCCCCTTACCTCACAAACCCGGCAGTCTTTGAGTCCGCCACCATCATCGTTTACCACCACCGTCACTGTCACCGCGACCATCACCATCACCATCACCGTTTACCACCACCGCCACTTTCACCGCCACCATCACCGTCACCGCCACCACCACCACCGTCACCGCCACCATCACCACCACCATCACCGCCACCATCACCGTCGCCGTCACCGCCCGCAGGTGCCCAAGAAGCAGGTGCAGGAGAAGCCGCAGCGCACGGTGGAGCGGCAGGCGCGGGAGCTGCAGCAGAAGAACCGCTCCTACCGATTGCTCGACGAGCCTCCCGACGAGGTGGAGGAGGCGGAGGAGGTGAAGGAGGAGGAGGAGGAGGCGGGGGAGCGGGCGAGGAGGGGGGAGCGGGCAGGGGAGACGAAGGCGGCGGCCGCGGGGGAGAGGAGGCGCAAGGACAAGCACGGCAACATCCGCAAGAGGGAGCGGTCGCCGTCGGAGAGCGGGGGCGACGATGACGCGTGAGTTGGGTGGCGGGAGAGCGGAGCGGGGTGGGGGTGGCGGTGTGCGGGGGCAGAGTAGAGGGGGGTGTGAGGCGGGGGGCGCCCGGGGTGGGGGGGGGGGGCGACCGAGCGGAGCGACTGTGCGATGCAGAGTCGGCCACCACGGAGAGTCGGCCACTCGACAAGTCAACCGCAGAGGGCGAAGATCCCCCGTGCAGACTTGGCAGACTTTGTGGCCCAAGTGCCGTGAGGACGTAGCGCCTGTGAAGGCCGGCACGGCACACGAGGGGGTGGGTGGCCAGCACCACGGACGACCGCCTTTACGTAAGAGCAGCGGCGATGTTGACGCACCGCGCCGGCTGCTCGGGTGCGGCCGAGTCGACCGAGGGGAGGCCCGGAACCGATTCAGATCATCGTCACTGGTGGTGGCCGCGAGCGGGAATCGAACTCGGGCAGGCCGGGTTCGTAGCGCAGCGTAGCGCTAACCGCCCTCTGGCAAAGACAAATATCCCCCGTGTAGCCTTCAATGACTTTCGGGGCAAGTTCCGGCGCACCGTCATAGGGGATCGTGACGGTGCACCCTCGTCACGACCCACGTGGCTGCGATCGTGTCAGCCGTCGTCATCGTCGTCATCGTCATCGTTATTGTCATCGTGATCGATGTCGTCATTATCATCGTCTTCGTCATCGCCATCATCGTCGTCATAATAGTCATAGTCATCGCCATCATCATTGTCGTCATTACCATCATCATCATCATCGTCGTCATAGTCATCATTATTGTCATCCTGATTGTCGTCGTCATTGTGGCCATCATCGTCGCCATAATAGTCGTCATCGTACTCGTCATCGTGATCATCGTCGTCATAATAGTCGTCATCGTGATCATCGTCGTCATAATAGTCGTCATAGTCGTCATCATTGTCGTCATAGTCATCATTATTGTCATCCTGATTGTCGTCGTCATTGTGGCCATCATCGTCGCCATAATAGTCGTCATTGTACTCGTCATCGTGATCATCGTCGTCATTGTCGTCGTCATTGTCGTCGTCGCCACCGTCGCCACCGTGTCTCCCGTCGTTTCCGTCGCGAGCCAGGCGGGCGACGACCGCCACGGCGGGCGACGTGGACGACCCGGCGATGGGAGACTCGTCGGAGGACGAGTGGACGCGCGAGGAGCGCGAGCGCGTCGAGGACCTGGCGCAGCGCGACGCCTTCGCGCTGCGCGTGCGCCGCCGCGACGAGGACAAGACGCACCGCGTGGCGGGGCGCAGCGACCGCAAGGTGAGCCGCCATCGCCATCGCCATCGCCATCGCCATCGCCGCCGCCATCGCCGCCATCGCCGCCGGGCCGGGCCGGGCCGGGTGCCGCGGCCCGCGAGTGCCCCCGTGCCCCCGTGCCCCCGCGCCCCCGTGCCCCCGTGCCCCCGCGCCCCCGTGCGCCCATGCCCCCGTGCCCTTGCCCCTGCCCTTGTCCGCGCCCGTGCCCTTGCGCGGTCCGAGCCGTTCCGGCCAGGGCCTCGTGAACCTTGACCTCTGCGAGGGGGTCCGAGTTTGGCCGGCCGCCGCGTCGCCTTCTCTTCCGCACGGGGGACGACCGCCGCCACGGGGGAAGGGGGTGGGGGGGGAGCGGGGGTGGGGGGGAGCGGGGGTGGGGGGGGAGCGGGGGTGGGGGGGAGCGGGGGTGGGGGGGGAGCGGGGGTGGGGGGGAGCGGGGGTGGGGGGGGAGCGGGGGTGGGGGGGTAGCGGGGGTGCCGTCCAGGCTAGCTGCCCCACCGCGGTCATGGTAACGACTGGGAGCGGTACCGCCGTGCTGCGTTCGTTCTGCACGATGTCCGACGTTTCGCACCGCGTGCCGGGCGGGAGCGTCTTGTTTCGCACCGCACGTGGCCGACCGTGGTTAATCGGAGGTGCGACGGCGCTCCCACCCCTCAGGCCTACGAAGAGTCGCAGAAGAGGCTGAAGATGGAGCAGGAAGAGCAGCAGCAAATGGTGCGGCTCACCCACACCTCACCCACACCTCACCCACACCTCACCCACACCTCACCCACACCTCACCCACACCTCACCCGCACCTCACCCGCACCTCACCCACACCTCACCTCACTCGCACCTCACCCACACCTCACCCGCACCTCACCCACACCTCACCCGCACCTCACCCGCACCTCACCCGCACCTCACCCACACCTCACCTCACCCGCACCTCACCCACACCTCACCCGCACCTCACCCACACCTCACCCGCACCTCACCCACATCTCACTCACACCTCACCCACACCTCACCCGCACCTCACCCACACCTCACCCGCACCTCACCCACACCTCACCCACACCTCACCCACACCTCACCCACACCTCACCCACACCTCACCCGCACCTCACCCGCACCTCACCCACACCTCACCTCACTCGCACCTCACCCACACCTCACCCGCACCTCACCCACACCTCACCCGCACCTCACCCGCACCTCACCCACACCTCACCTCACCCACACCTCACCCGCACCTCACCCACACCTCACCCGCACCTCACCCACATCTCACTCACACCTCACCCACACCTCACCCGCACCTCACCCACATCTCACCCGCACCTCACCCACACCTCACCCACACCTCACCCACACCTCACCTCACCCGCACCTCACCCACACCTCACCCACACCTCACCTCACCCGCACCTCACCCGCACCTCACCTCACCCCGCCCACTGGCACCCAATCACAAAACGGTGACGACGCCACAGGATGTCCACTCTTGTAGAGAGGGGGGGGGGCGACCACAGACAAAGGCAGCAGCAGCAGCAGCCACACTTGAAGTGGGAGCTACCAACAATTTCCCAAGCTCTGCGGTCCTTTATATAAATCAAGAGAACCACACACACGCGCGCGCACACGTACATACACACGTACATACACACGTACATACACACGTACATACACACGTACCCACACGTACACACACACGTACATACACACGTACATACACACGTACATACACACGTACATACACACGTACATACACACGCGCGCACGTACATACACACGTACCCACACGTACCCACACGTACCCACACGTACACACACACGTACACACACGCGTACACACTCGTGTGTGTGTACGTGTGTGTGTACGTGTGTGTGTACGTGTGTGTGTACGTGTGTGTGTACGTGTGTGTGTGTACGTGTGTGTGTGTACGTGTGTGTGTGTACGTGTGTGTGTACGTGTGTGTGTGTACGTGTGTGTGTGTACGTGTGTGTGTGTACGTGTGTGTGTACGTGTGTGTGTACGTGTGTGTGTGTACGTGTGTGTGTACGTGTGGTCGTGAGAAGTGGTGGCACGGCGGTTAGCGCACCGCGCTGCGAACCCGGCCACCCGAGTTCGATTCCCGCTCGCGTGCCACCGGCACCGGCCGCCATTCATCCGGATCGGTTCTGGGCCTCCCCTAGGTCGACTCGGCCTCAAACGAGCACGCGGCGCGCGTGAACGTCGCGGCCGGGGTGACGAAGGCGGGCGGGCGGGCGGGCGGGCAGGCGGGCGGGCGGGCGGGCACGGGCTCCGCCCCCCCGTGCCGCCCTCGGCGAGCGCCGCTCGCGGTCGGCGCGGGTCGGGGCAGCGGGGGAACCTTGATCGTCGGCGTCGCGGGCGCAGGTGCCGGAGCTGCGCAAGCACTCGCGGCGCGAGTACCTGCAGAAGCGCGAGCGTGACAAGCTGGAGGACCTGGAGGCGGAGGTGAAGGACGAGGAGTACTTGTTCGCCGGCGTGAGCCTCACGGAGCGCGAGCGCCAGCGGCTGGACTACAAGCGCAGCGTGCTGAGCATCGCGCGCGAGTACCGGCGGGCCGGGGAGCGCGAGCGCGAGGAGCGCAGCAACCGCTACTGCATGCCGGAGGAGAGCCGCTCCAAGGTGAGCGGGCGAGCGTCGCGCGCGGGCGCGTGTGTGAGTGTGTGAGTGTGTGAGTGTGTGTGTGGGTGAGTGTGTGTGGGTGTGTGAGTGTGTGTGTGGGTGTGGGTGTGGGTGTGTGAGCGTGTGGGTGTGTGTGGGTGTGTGTGTGGGTGTGTGTGTGGGTGTGGGTGTGGGTGTGTGAGCGTGTGGGTGTGTGTGGGTGTGTGTGTGTGTGTGGGTGTGTGGGTGTGGGTGTGGGTGTGTGAGCGTGTGGGTGTGTGTGGGTGTGTGTGTGGGTGTGGGTGTGTGTGTGTGAGTGTGTGGGCGTGTGTGTGAGTGTGTGGGCGTGTGTGTGAGTGTGTGCAGGTGTGTGGGTGTGTGTGCAGGTGTGTGGGTGTGTGTGTGTGATTGTGTGGGTGTGTGCAGGTGTGTGTGAGTGTGTGTGGCTGTTGTGGGCGCGTGCGGGTGTGTGTTTGTGTGAGTGTGTGGGTGTGTGCAAGTGTGTGTGTGTGTGCGTGTGTGTCTGGGGAGTTGTAGTGCTACTCGCTCACAGCACTCTTCCCCCAACAGTGTGTTCAGGCTATACGGGGGTTCTTTGTCTTTGTGGGTAGTGGTGGTGTAGTGGCGTGTGCCCTGCGCTACGAACCCACCAACTTGGATCGGATTCCTGCTCATGGCCTCAAACGAGCACCTGGTGGTAGTGTGTGAACATCGCCACTGGGGAGACAAAGGCGGCCGGGCGTGGTGCTGGCCACCCACCCCCTCGCGTGCCGTTCCGGCCTTCATAGGTGCCTCTCGCTAACAACATCTCCCTCTCCATCTCCCTCTCTCTCCATCTCCCTCTCTCTCCATCTCCCTCCCTCTCCCTCCATCTCCCTCCCTCTCCCTCCATCTCCCTCCCTCTCCATCTCCCTCTCTCTCCATCTCCCTCCCTCTCCATCTCCCTCCCTCTCCATCTCCCTCCCTCTCCATCTCCCACCCTCTCCATCACCCTCTCTCTCCATCTTCCTCCCTCTCCCTCCATCTCCCACCCTCTCCATCTCCCTCTCCATCTCCCTCCCTCCCTCTCCATCTCCCTCCCTCTCCATCTCCCTCCCTCTCCCTCCATCTCCCACCCTCTCCCTCCATCTCCCACCCTCTCCATCTCCCTCCCTCTCCATCTCCCACCCTCTCCATCACCCTCTCTCTCCATCTCCCTCCCTCTCCATCTCCCTCCCTCTCCATCTCCCTCTCCATCTCCCTCCCTCTCCATCTCCCTCCCTCCCTCTCCATCTCCCTCCCTCTCCATCTCCCTCCCTCTCCCTCCATCTCCCACCCTCTCCATCTCCCTCCCTCTCCATCTCCCACCCTCTCCATCACCCTCTCTCTCCATCTCCCTCCCTCTCCATCTCCCTCCCTCTCCATCTCCATCTCCCTCCCTCTCCATCTCCCTCCCTCCCTCTCCATCTCCCACCCTCTCCATCACCCTCCCTCTCCATCTCCCTCCCTCCCTCCCTCTCCATCTCCCTCTCCATCTCCCTCCCTCTCCATCTCCCACCCTCTCCATCTCCCTCCCTCCCTCTCCATCTCCCACCCTCTCCATCACCCTCCCTCTCCATCTCCCTCCCTCCCTCCCTCTCCATCTCCCTCTCCATCTCCCTCCCTCTCCATCTCCCTCCCTCTCCATCTCCCTCCCTCTCCATCTCCCTCCCTCCCTCCCTCTCCATCTCTCTCTCCATCTCCCTCCCTCTCCATCTCCCTCCCTCTCCATCCCTCCTCCTCCTCCTCCTCCTCCGCCGTCGTGCACCACAAGAAAATCCCCGAGCGCTACGAGGAGCCCTCGTTCGGCGGCGTGGGCGGCACCGCGGCCGGCGAGGAGCGGTCGGCCCCCCGGGATGAGCAGCAGCGCTGGGAGGAGGCCCACCTGGGCGCCGCCACCATGCACTTCGGGGCACGCGACGCCGGCCAGAGGAACCGCCAGCCGCAGTACGAGCTGGTGCTGGAGGAGCACGAGACCATCGAGTTCGTCAGCTCCCTCACCATCAAGGGCAACGTCGAGAAGGTGGGAGGGGACGGGCGGGGAGGGAGGGGCGGGGAGGGAGGGGGGCCAGGAGACCATCCACGTGGTGGTGCAGCCACCACGAAGGGCTACGTGGAGGTGGGAGGTGGGAGGGGGTCTCAAGACTCTTTTCAGGAGGGTCCTGCCAAGTGTCCCCGGTGGAGGGGCGATGCTGCTGCTGAGTAAAACCTCGCCGAGTGACTTCTCCCTGTGTCTGCTTCGCCTCTGTCTCTCTGCCGCGTCTCTCCTCCGTACCCCTCTTCACGTCTCCCCGTGCGTATCTCCTCCTCCTCCTCCTCCGCCGCGTCTCTACCCCCCCTCCCCCTTCCAGGATGCCGAGGACGCCGACGCGGCGCTGTCGGAGCAGGAGCGCCGGCGCGTGTCCATGGCGGAGGTGCGGCGCAGCCTGCCGGTGTTCCCGTACCGCGAGGCGCTGGTGGCCGCCGTGGCCGAGCACCAGGTCCTCATCATCGAGGGCGAGACCGGCTCGGGAAAAACCACTCAGATCCCCCAGTACCTCTCCGACGCGGTGAGCCGGCGGGCGGGGGGGTACGTGGTGTGGTGTGGTGACACGCTGTGTATGTATGGTGGTGTGGTGTGGTGACACGCTGTGTATGTGTGGTGGTGTGGTGTGGTGACACACTACGTATGTATGGTGGTGCGGTGTGGTGACACGCTGTGTATGTATGGTGATGTGGTGTGGTGACACACTACGTATGTATGGTGTGGTGTGGTGACACGCTGTGTATGTGTGGTGGTGTGGTGTGGTGACACACTGTGTATGTGGTGTGGTGTGGTGACACGCTGTGTATGTGGTGTGGTGTGGTGTGGTGACACGCTGTGTATGTGTGGTGGTGTGGTGTGGTGACACGCTGTGTATGTGGTGTGGTGTGGTGACACACTACGTATGTGTGGTGGTGTGGTGTGGTGTGGTGACACGCTACGTATGTGTGGTGGTGTGGTGTGGTGTGGTGACACACTACGTATGTATGGTGGTGTGGTGTGGTGACACACTACGTATGTGTGGTGGTGTGGTGTGGTGACACGCTACGTATGTGTGGTGGTGTGGTGTGGTGTGGTGACACACTACGTATGTATGGTGGTGTGGTGTGGTGACACACTACGTATGTGTGGTGGTGTGGTGTGGTGTGGTGACACGCTACGTATGTGTGGTGGTGTGGTGTGGTGTGGTGACACGCTACGTATGTGTGGTGGTGTGGTGTGGTGTGGTGACACGCTGTGTATGTGGTGTGGTGTGGTGACACGCTGTGTATGTATGGTGGTGTGGTGTGGTGACACGCTGTGTATGTATGGTGGTGTGGTGTGGTGACACGCTGTGTATGTGTGGTGGTGTGGTGTGGGGTGGTGACACGCTGTGTATGTATGGTGGTGTGGTGTGGTGACACGCTGTGTATGTATGGTGGTGTGGTCTAGGAGTACACACTACGTATGTATGGTGGTGTGGTGTTGTGTGGTGGTGCGGTAACACACTACGTATGTGTGGTGGTGTGGTGTGGTGGTGTATGGTAACACACTACGTATGTGTGGTGGTGTGTTGTATGGTGACACACTACGTGTGTGTGGTGGTGTGGTGTGTTGTATGGTGACACACTACGTGTGTATGGTGTGACACTACGTGTGTGTGCGTGTATGGTGTGACACTACGTGTGTGTGTGTGTATGGTGTGACACTACGTGTGTGTGTTGTATGGTGTGACACTACGTGTGTGTGTGTGTATGGTGTGACACTACGTGTGTGTGTGTGTATGTTGTGACACTACCTGTGTGTGTGTTGGTGTGGTGTGACACTACGTGTGTATGGTGTGACACTACGTGTGTGTGTGTGTATGGTGTGACACTACGTGTGTGTGTTGTATGGTGTGACACTACGTGTGTGTGTTGTATGGTGTGACACTACGTGTGTGTGTGTGTATGGTGTGACACTACGTGTGTGTGTGTGTGTATGGTGTGACACTACGTGTGTATGGTGTGACACTACGTGTGTGTGTTGTATGGTGTGACACTACGTGTGTGTGTGTGTATGGTGTGACACTACGTGTGTGTGTGTGTATGTTGTGACACTACCTGTGTGTGTGTTGGTGTGGTGTGACACTACGTGTGTATGGTGTGACACTACGTGTGTGTGTGTGTATGGTGTGACACTACGTGTGTGTGTTGTATGGTGTGACACTACGTGTGTGTGTTGTATGGTGTGACACTACGTGTGTGTGTGTGTATGGTGTGACACTACGTGTGTGTGTGTGTGTATGGTGTGACACTACGTGTGTATGGTGTGACACTACGTGTGTGTGTGTGTTGTATGGTAACACACTACGTGTGTGTGTGTGTTGTATGGTAACACACTACGTGTGTGTGTGTGTTGTATGGTAACACACTACGTGTGTGTGTGTGTTGTATGGTAACACACTACGTGTGTGTGTGTGTTGGTGTGGCCTAGGGGTACACGCAGGGCGGGATGAAGATCGGCTGCACCCAGCCACGCCGCGTCGCCGCCATGAGCGTAGCGGCACGCGTTGCCGAGGAGACCGGCTGCAAGCTCGGCAACGAGGTGCCCCCCCCCACTCCCCCCCCACTCCCCCCTCACTCTCCCCCACTCCCCCTCACTCCCCCCCACTACCCCCCCACTCCCCCCTCACTCCCCCCCACTCCCCCCTCACTCCCCCTCACTCCCCCCCCACTACCCCTCACTCCCCCCACTACCCCCCACTCCCCCCTCACTCCCCCCCCACTCCCCCCTCACTCCCCCCCCACTCCCCCCTCACTCCCCCCCCACTCCCCCCCACTCCCCCTCACTCCCCCCCACTCCCCCCTCACTCCCCCCCACTACCCCTCACTCCCCCCCCACTCCCCCCTCACTCCCCCACTCACTCCCCCCCCACTACCCCTCACTCCCCCCCACTACCCCCCCACTCCCCCCTCACTCCCCCTCACTCCCCCCCCACTACCCCCCCACTCCCCCCCACTCCCCCCTCACCCCCCCCCCACCGAGACTGCTCCTTCACCAACACCTCCACCATCGCTCCACCACTGCTACCACTCCGCATCACCTCCTCTCACCCTCCCTCCCTCTTCTCTACCCACCACCACCAACCTCGTCATCCCCTCTTTGTCATCCTCTCCATCCCTCCCCTGCCTCCCCCCCTCTCCTTCCTCCCCCCCCTTCCTCGGACGCCACTCATCAATGGGATGGCCGCTCTTTGACGTGTTCCTGGCGTTGAAGTCTTTGATGTCTCCACTGGGCGGTGGCAGACACCGGGAGATGGTTGAGTTGTTTGTGGTGGTGGTGGTTGATTTGTGGTGGTGGTTGTGGTGGTGGTTTTGGTGGTTGATTTGTGGTGGTGGTTGTGGTGGTGGTTGATTTGTGATGGTGGTTGTGGTGGTGGTTGATTTGTGATGGTGGTTGTGGTGGTGGTGGTTGATTTGTGATGGTGGTTGTGGTGGTGGTGGTTTTGGTGGTTGATTTGTGGTGGTGGTTGTGGTGGTGGTGGTTGATTTGTGATGGTGGTTGTGGTGGTGGTGGTTTTGGTGGTTGTTTTGTGGTGGTGATGGTGGTGGTTGATTTGTGATGGTGGTTGTGGTGGTGGTGGTGGTTTTGGTGGTTGTTTTGTGGTGGTGATGGTGGTGGTTATGGTTGTGGTGGTCGCGGTCGTGGTGGTGGTGACGGTGGCGGCCGTGGGTGTTGATGTTACAGTTGAGGTTTTAGTGGAGGCGGTGGTGGTCCCGGGCCTCCCCTAGGTCGACTCGGCCTCAAACGAGTACCCGGCGCGCCGCGCGGTAAACCCGCCCCGCTTGCGTGCCGCCCGCCGACGGCACTTGTCCCCGACAGTCCGCTGATGCCGCACGGGGTGGGGCGGGGGTGGGGGGGGTCCGGACGTTTGTCTTCGGTGCAGGTGGGGTACAGCATCCGCTTCGAGGACTGCACGTCGGAGCGCACGGTGCTCAAGTACATGACGGACGGCATGCTGCTGCGCGAGTTCCTCGGGGAGCCCGACCTCGCCGCCTACAGGTAGGGCGCTAAAGAAGTTCCCCAACGGCGGCCGAGTGACAGCGTCGGGGCGCCCGCCGGCGGGAGGCCGCGGGACCCCGGCGGGTGCCGTGGGTTGACCGACCGAGATGACGGTGCACCGCCCTCCGATGCCAACGTCCACATACACACGCATACACACACGCGCACACACAAACACACACACACACAAACACACACACACACACGCGCACACACGCACACACAAACACACGCGCGCACGAGCACACGCACGCACACACGCACGCACACACGCACACACACACGAGTACACACACACACGAGCACACACACACACGCACACACACAAACACACACACACGCACACACAAACACACACGCACGCATGCACACACACACACACGCACACACACACACGAGCACACACACACACGCACACACGCGCACGCGCACGAGCACACACGCGTGCACACACCGTACAAATGAAGCACGGTACCTCGCTGATCTTGTCAAGGAGCATAAAACCATCATGACCCTGACGCCTGCTGCTGCTGCTGCTGTATATTTGGAGTTTGCGTCTCTCTCTCTCCCCGTGGTTCGCGTGGATTTGTCTCCGGGTCCTCCGGTTATTTCCCTCCACATTGAGAGTCGACGTCACGACGCGTTCAGAGTGTCTGGCCGCGAGTCCTCGCACGCGAGAGGCCTCGAGCCCAGATAGAAAGTCCCAGTGAAGAATCACTCCCCTCTCCCATCCCGTTTCCTAACACTGCCGCTATGCTGCCCTTACCCTGCCCCTCCACTCCCTCCACTCCCTCCACTCCACTCCCTCCACTCCCTCCCTCCACTCCACTCCCTCCACTCCCTCCACTCCCTCCACTCCACTTCCTCCACTCCCTCCACTCCACTCCCTCCACTCCCTCCACTCTCTCCCTCCACTCCCTCCACTCTCTCCCTCCACTCCCTCCACTCCCTCCCTCCACTCCCTCCACTCCCTCCACTCCCTCCCTCCACTCCCTCCACTCCCTCCACTCTCTCCCTCCACTCCCTCCACTCCCTCCACTCCCTCCCTCCACTCCATCCACTCCCTCACTCCACTCCCTCCACTCCCTCCACTCCCTCCACTCCACTCCCTCCACTCCCTCCCTCCACTCCACTCCCTCCACTCCCTCCACTCCCTCCACTCCACTTCCTCCACTCCCTCCACTCCACTCCCTCCACTCCCTCCACTCTCTCCCTCCACTCCCTCCACTCTCTCCCTCCACTCCCTCCACTCCCTCCCTCCACTCCCTCCACTCCCTCCACTCCCTCCCTCCACTCCCTCCACTCCCTCCACTCTCTCCCTCCACTCCCTCCACTCCCTCCCTCCACTCCATCCACTCCCTCACTCCACTCCCTCCACTCCCTCCACTCCCTCCACACCACTACCTCCACTCCCTCACTCCACTCCCTCCACTCCCTCACTCCACTCCCTCCACTCCCTCCACTCCCTCCACTCCACTCCCTCCACTCCCTCCACTCCCTCCACTTCACTCCCTCCCTCCACTCCCTCCACTCCCTCCCTCCACTCCCTCACTCCCCCCCCCCGTCCCCAGCGTGATCATCATAGACGAGGCCCATGAGCGCACGCTGCACACAGACATCCTGTTTGGCCTCATCAAGGACATCGCTCGCTTCCGCTCCGACCTCAAGGTGCTCATCTCGAGCGCCACCCTGGACACTGAGAAGTTCTCCACCTTCTTCGACGACGCCCCGATCTTCCGCATCCCCGGGCGCCGCTTCCCCGTCGACATCTACTACACCAAGGTGTGTGGTGTGTGTGGTGTGTATGGTGTGTGTGGTGTGTGTGTGTGGTGTGTGTAGTATGTGTGGTGTGTGTGTGTGGTGTGTGTGTGTGTGTGGTGGTGTGTGGGGTGTATGGTGTGTGTGTGTGTGGTGTGTGCGTGGTGTGTGTGTGTGGTGTGTGTAGTGTGTGTGTGGTGTGTGTAGTGTGGTGTGTGTGTGTGTGGTGTGTGTGTGGTGTGTAGTGTGGTGTGTGTGGTGTGTGTATGTGGTGTGTGTATGTGGTGTGTGTATGTGGTGTGTGTATGTGGTGTGTGTGGTGTGTGTGTGTGGTGGTGGTGTTGTCTGTGTGGTGTGTGTGGTGGTGGTGGTGTGTGTGTGGTTTGTGGTGTGTTTGTGGTGTGTTTGTGGTGTGGTGTGTGTGGTGGTGTGTGTGGTGTGTGTGTGTGGTGTGTGTGTGTGTGTGGTGTGGTGTGTGTGGTGTGTGTGGTGTGGTGTGTGTGGTTGGTGTGTGTGGTGTGTGTGGTTGGTGTGTGGTGTGTGGTTGGTTGGTGTGTGTGTGTGGTGTGTGTGTGGTGTGTGTGGTGGTGTGTGTGTGTGTGTGGTGTGTGTGGTGTGTGTGGTGGTGTGTGTGTGGTGTGTGGTGTGGTGTGTGTAGGTCGACTCAGCCTCAAATGAGTACCTGGTGTGGTGGATAAAAACATTGCCACTGGGGAGACAAAGACGGTCGGGCGTGGTTCTGGCCACCCACCCCCTCGTGTGCCGTGCCGGCCTTCATAGGTGCTGCTCGCTAACAGCACTTGCCCCAACAGTCTGTTAAGGCTATACGGGGGATCTTTGTCTTTGTGGTGTGTGTGTGGCGTGGGAGTGTGTGTGTGGTGGGTGTGTGTGTGTTTGGGGTGCGCGTGTGTGTGGTGTGTGTGTGGGGTGCGCGTGTGTGTGGTGTGTGTGTGTATAGAGTGTGTGTGTGTGGCGTGTGTGTGTGTCGTGGGGGTGTGTGTGTGGTGTGTGTGTATGGCATGTGTGTGACGTGTAGTGTGTGTGTGTGGTGTGTGTGTGGTGTGACGGCGGACGGGAGGTGCACCACCCACTCGTACCGCAACAGCTAGACCGAATTGTGACGGTGGACGGGAGGTGCGCGCCGCATATATAACACGAGTAATTACAGTGGCGACAACAGCAGCAGCAACGGCAGCAACAACGTCCTCGGCATTATGAATCGCTTCGTCGTGATCATCGTTCAGGCGTGATGGGGGTCGGGAGGTGCTTGCTGCTCCTACACTGAATTGTTGTGACGGGGGGCGGGAGGTGCGTACCGCCTATTTCAGGGGGCAAAAGTCCAGTAAATGAGCGTCAACAACAGCAGCAGGTGGGGAGACAAAGGCGGCCGGGCGTGGTGCTGGCCACCCACCCCCTCGTGCGCCGTGCCGGCCTTCGCAGGTGCCGCTGCTACTCGCTACTAGCAGCACTTGCCCCGGCGGTCTGTCGAGGCTACACTGCGGGTGACCTTTGTCTTTGCCGCGTGTTTCCCAGGCGCCGGAGGCGGACTACCTGGACGCCTGCGTGGTGTCCATCCTGCAGATCCACGTCACCCAGCCCACGGGCGACGTGCTGGTCTTCCTCACCGGGCAGGTGAGGGCTCGCACTCGCCACTCTCACCACGCTCACCACACTCACCACTCTCACCACACTCGCCACGCTCACCACACTCGCCACACTCGCCACGCTCGCCACACTCGCCACACTCGCCACGCTCACCACACTCGCCACACTCGCCACGCTCACCACACTCGCCACACTCGCCACGCTCACCACACTCGCCACGCTCGCCACACTCGCCACGCTCACCACGCTCACCACACTCACCACACTCACCACGCTCGCCACACTCGCCACGCTCGCCACACTCACCACACTCGCCACGCTCACCACGCTCACCACACTCACCACACTCGCCACGCTCACCACACTCACCACGCTCACCACTCTCACCACACTCACCACGCTCGCCACGCTCGCCACACTCACCACACTCGCCACGCTCACCACGCTCACCACACTCACCACACTCGCCACGCTCACCACACTCACCACGCTCACCACACTCACCACACTCACCACACTCACCACGCTCACCACGCTCGCCACACTCACCACGCTCACCTCGCGTGCGGCGAGCGTGCAGGGGGGGGCGGGGCGAGCGTGCAGGGGGGGCGGGGCGAGCGTGCAGGGGGGGCGGGGCGAGCGTGCAGGGGGGGCGGGGCGAGCGTGCAGGGGGGGCGGGGCGAGCGTGCAGGGGGGGCGGGGCGAGCGTGCAGGGGGGGCGGGGCGAGCGTGCAGGGGGGGCGGGGCGAGCGTGCAGGGGGGGCGGGGCGAGCTGTCAGCGCCACGAACCCGGCGAGCCGCCGTTCGACCTTCCCGCCCGCCGGTCCCGGGGCCTCCCCTAGGTCGACTCGGCCTCAAACGAGTACCCGGCGCGGTGCGTAATAAACTTCGCCGCCGGGGAGACAAAGGCGGCCGGAGGCGTGGTTCCAGCCAGCCCGCGCCCCCGCTCGTAGCGCGGCGGCCTTCGCGGGGGGGGGGTGGGGGGTGACACCCACCGTGTGTGACGCGGGGTGGGGTGGGGGTGACACCCACCGTGTGTGACGCAGGAGGAGATCGAGGCTTGCTGCGAGATGCTGCAGGAGAAGTGCCGCCGCCTGGGCTCCAAGATCGCCGAGCTGCTGGTGCTGCCCATCTACGCCAACCTGCCCTCCGACATGCAGGCCAAGATCTTCGAACCCACGCCAGTCGGGGCACGGAAGGTGTGGGGGGGGCGCGGGGGGGTGAGTCTGTGGGTCTCTGTGTGTGAGTCTGTGGGTCTCTGTGTGTGAGTCTGTGGGTCTCTGTGTGAGTCTGTGGGTCTCTGTGTGTGAGTCTGTGGGTCTCTGTGTGAGTCTGTGGGTCTCTGTGTGTGAGTCTGTGGGTCTCTGTGTGAGTCTGTGGGTCTCTGTGTGAGTCTGTGGGTCTCTGTGTGAATCTGTGGGTCTCTGTGTGAGTCTGTGGGTCTCTGTGTGAATCTGTGGGTCTCTGTGTGTGAGTCTGTGGGTCTCTGTGTGAGTCTGTGGGTCTCTGTGTGAGTCTGTGGGTCCCCATGGATCTCTGTGTGAGTCTATGGGTCTCTGTGTGAGTCTGTGGGTCTCTGTGTGAGTCTATGGGTCTCTGTGGGTCTCTGTGAGTCTCTGTGAGTCTATGGGTCTTTGTGGGTCTCTGTGTTAGTCTGTGGGTATCTGTGTGAGTCTATAGGTCTCTATGGGTCTCTGTGTGAGTCTATGGGTCTCTGTGGCAATCTGTGTGAGTCTATGGGTCTCTGTGGGTATCTGTGTGAGTCTATGGGTCTCTATGGGTCTCTGTGTGAGTCTATGGGTCTCCATGGGTCTCTGTGAGTCTATGGGTCTCTGTGGGTATCTGTGTGAGTCTTTGGGTCTCTGTGTGAGTCTATGGGTCTCTGTGGCTATCTGTGTGAGTTTATGGGTCTCCATGGGTCTCTGTGAGTCTATGGTTCTCTGTGGGTATCTGTGTGAGTCTATGGGTCTCTGTGGGTCTCTGTGAGTCTATGGGTCTCTGTGGGTCTCTGTGTGAGTCTGTGGGTATCTGTGTGAGTCTATAGGTCTCTCTGGGTCTCTGTGTGAGTCTTTGGGTCTCTGTGGCTATCTGTGTGAGTATATGGGTCTCCATGGGTCTCTGTGAGTCTATGGGTCTCTGTGGGTATCTGTGTGAGTCTATGGGTCTCCATGGGTCTCTGTGAGTCTATGGGTCTCTGTGGGTCTCTGTGAGTCTATGGGTCTCTGTGGGTATCTGTGTGAGTCTATGGGTCTCTGTGTGAGTCTATGGGTCTCTGTGGGTCTCTGTGAGTCTATGGGTCTCTGTGGCTATCTGTGTGAGTCTATGGGTCTCTGTGGGTATCTGTGTGAGTCTATGGGTCTCTGTGGGTATCTGTGTGAGTCTTTGGGTCTCTGTGGGTATCTGTGTGAGTTTATGGGTCTCTATGGGTCTCTGTGTGAGTCTATGGGTCTCCATGGGTCTCTGTGAGTCTATGGGTCTCTATGGGTCTCTGTGTGAGTCTATGGGTCTCCATGGGTCTCTGTGAGTATCTGTGTGAGTCTCTGGATGACCTCGCCGTGCCCCCAGGTGGTGGTGGCCACGAACATTGCGGAGACGTCGCTGACGATCGACGGCATCATCTACGTGATCGACCCGGGCTTCTGCAAACAGAAGAGCTACAACGCCCGGTCTGGCATGGAGTCACTCATCGTCACGCCCTGCTCCAAGGTGAGAGAGACACGGAGAGAGACACACGGACAGAGAGAGAGAGACACGGAGAGAGAGAGAGACACGAACAGAGAGAGAGAGAGAGAGAGACACGGAGAGAGAGACACGGACAGAGAGAGAGAGACACGGAGAGAGAGAGACACGGAGAGAGAGAGAGAGAGAGACACGGACAGAGAGAGAGAGAGACACGGAGAGAGAGAGACACGGAGTCTCCCAGAGTCACCTCCTCCTGCTCCTTTTCTCCTCTCTCTTTGTATCCTCTCTCTCCATCTCTCACTCACTCACCCTCTCCATCTCTCTCTCTCCATCTCTCTCCACCTCTCTCCACCTCTCTCCATCTCTCTCTCTCCACCACTCACTCACCCTCTCCATCTCTCTCCACCACTCACTCACCCTCTCCATCTCTCTCCACCTCTCTCCACCACTCACCCTCTCCATCTCTCTCCATCTCTCACTCACACGCTCCATCTCTCTCCATCTCTCTCCATCTCTCTCCACCTCTCTCCATCTCTCTCCACCTCTCTCCATTTCTCTCCACCTCTCTCCACCTCTCTCCACCTCTCACTTACCCTCTCCATCTCTCTCCACCACTCTCCATCTCTCACTCACCCTCTCCATCTCTCTCCATCTCTCTCCACCACTCACCCTCTCCATCTCTCTCCACCACTCACTCACCCTCTCCATCTCTCTCCACCACTCACTCACCCTCTCCATCTCTCTCCATCTCTCTCCATCTCTCTCCACCACTCACTCACCCTCTCCATCTCTCTCCACCACTCACTCACCCTCTCCATCTCTCTCCATCTCTCTCCATCTCTCTCCACCACTCACTCACCCTCTCCATCTCTCTCCACCTCTCTCCACCACTCACCCTCTCCATCTCTCTTTCCATCTCTCTCCATCTCTCTCCATCTCTCTCCACCTCTCTCCACCTCTCTCCACCTCTCTCCACCTCTCTCCACCTCTCACTCACCTCTCCATCTCTCTCCACCACTCTCCACCTCTCTCCACCTCTCCATCTCTCTCCATCTCTCTCCACCTCTCTCCATCTCTCTCCACCTCTCTCCATCTCTCTCCACCTCTCTCCACCTCTCACTTACCCTCTCCATCTCTCTCCACCACTCTCCACCTCTCTCCATCTCTCACTCACCCTCTCCATCTCTCTCTCCATCTCTCTCCATCTCTCTCCACCTTTCTCCACCTCTCTCCATCTCTCTCCACCTCTCTCCATCTCTCTCCACCTCTCTCCACCTCTCTCCACCTCTCACTCACCCTCTCCATCTCTCTCCATCTCTCTCCACCTCTCTCCATCTCTCTCCACCTCTCTCCACCTCTCACTTACCCTCTCCATCTCTCTCCATCACTCTCCACCTCTCTCCATCTCTCACGCACCCTCTCCATCTCTCTCTCCATCTCTCTCCATCTCTCTCCATCTCTCTCCACCACTCACTCACCCTCTCCATCTCTCTCCACCACTCACTCACCCTCTCCATCTCTCTCCATCTCTCTCCATCTCTCTCCACCACTCACTCACCCTCTCCATCTCTCTCCACCACTCACTCACCCTCTCCATCTCTCTCCATCTCTCTCCATCTCTCTCCACCACTCACTCACCCTCTCCATCTCTCTCTCTCTCCATCTCTCTCCATCTCTCTCCACCTCTCACTCACCCTTTCCATCTCTCTCCACCTCTCTCCACCTCTCACTCACCCTCTTCATCTCTCTCTCCATCTCTCTGCATCTCTCTCCACCTCTCACTCACCCTCTCCATCTCTCTCCATCTCTCTCCACCACTCACTCACCCTCTCCATCTCTCTCTCTCTCTCCATCTCTCTGCATCTCTCCATCTCTCTCCACCACTCACTCACCCTCTCCACCTCTCACTCTCCATCTTTCTCCATCTCTCTCCACTTCTCTCCACCACTCACTCACCCTCTCCATCTCCACTTCTCTCCATCACTCACCCTCTCCACCTCTCTCTCTCCATCTCTCTCCATCTCTCTCCACTTCTCTCCATCTCTCACTCACATGCTCCATCTCTCTCTCCACCACTCACTCACCCTCTCCACCTCTCACTCACCCTCTCCATCTCCATCTCTCTCCACCTCTCACTCACACTCTCCACCTCTCACTCACCCTCTCCATCTCTCTCCACCTCTCACTCACACTCTCCATCTCCACTTCTCTCCACCACTCACTCACACTCTTCATCTCTCTCTCTCTCTCCATCTCTCTCCACTTCTCTCCACCTCTCACTCACCCTCTCCATCTCTCACTCACCCTCTCAATCTCTCTCCACTTCTCTCCACCACTCACTCACCCTCTCCACCTCTCACTCACCCTCTCCATCTCCATCTCTCTCCACCACTCACTCACCCTCTCCACCTCACCCTCTACACCTCTCACTCACTCACCCTCTCCATCTCTCTCCACCTCTCACTCACCCTCTCCACCTCTCTCTCTCCATCTCTCTCCACCACTCACTCACCCTCTCCACCACTCACTCACCCTCTCCATCTCTCTCTCCATCTCTCTCCATCTCTCTCCACTTCTCTCCATCTCTCACTCACACTCTCCATCTCTCTCTCTCTCTCCATGTGCCGCCCAGGCCTCTGCGAACCAGCGTGCCGGGCGTGCCGGGAGGGTGGCGGCCGGCAAGTGCTTCCGCCTCTACACCGCCTGGGCCTTCAAGAACGAGATGGAGGAGACGTCCATTCCCGAGATCCAGAGGACCAACCTGGGCAACGTGGTGCTGCTGCTCAAGAGCCTGGGTGCGGGAGCCTGCCGCCTTGAGGCGGTGGCGGTGACGGTGGTGGTGGTGATGGTGGTGGTGGTGACGGTGGTGGCGGTGACAGTGACTGTGGTGGTGATGGTGGTGGTGACGGTGGTGGTGGTGACGGTGGTGGTGATGGTGGCGGTGACGGTGGTGACGACAGTGGTGACGGTGGTGGTGAGGGTGACCGTGGCTACGCTGCTGCTGCGGCACGTGGAGTGGCTGCACTGTGATCCAGCGCTTTGTGGAAACAGCAGCAGTGAGGGGTTGATGGATCACAGCACAGATGGCTGTGTGGAACTTCCTCGCTGCCCGTGGTGGGCGTTGAGGAGGAGTCGTCCTCTCTGAGTCGTCCTCTCTGAGTCGTCCTCTCTGAGTCGTCCTCTCTGAGTCGTCCTCTCTGAGTCGTCCTCTCTGAGTCGTCCTCTCTGTCTGAGTCCTCTCTCTCTCTCTCTTGAGTCGTCCTCTCTGTCTGAGTCCTCTCCCTCTCTCTCTCTCTGCGAGAGCCGGTGCTGCGTACCTGGCCGACGTCGTTACGATACCGGACCGGAGAAGGTGGCGTGGGGGGCGTGGGGCGTGGGGGGCGTGGGGGGGGGCGTGGGGGCGTGGGGGGCGTGGGGGGCGTGGGGGCGTGGGGGGGGCGTGGGGGGGGCGTGGGGGGCGTGGGGGGCGTGGGGGGGGCGTCCTCTAACGCGAAGTCCTCCTCCTCGGCCCCCTCGCTCCCCCCAGGGATCAACGACCTGATCCACTTTGACTTCATGGACCCCCCTCCGCACGAGACGCTGGTGCTGGCGCTGGAGCAGCTGTACGCCCTGGGCGCGCTGAACCACCTGGGGGAGCTCACCAAGGTGAGGCCGGCGGGAGCTGCTACGACGTTCAGGATCAGCTTCTTGTACCGCCGGAGGAATTTGCGCAGATGCGTTACAGCGACAAACGCAATTACACAAACACCACGGGAGTGCGAACTGCAGGGGAGGTAAACGAATCCCGCGGTAAACTCTCGATTTTCCGCGTGCGGTTTATCCGATTTGCGGATTTGTTCACGGACCGCTCTGACCGGTAGGCGGAGCCGGTTTTTTCTTCCGGTTCGGCTCCGCTGACGTACACCGAGATACAATAACGTCGTCGGTACCGAGGCTCCCCGGCACGCGGGGGGAGGGGTTGCGTGGCACAGTGCCGGCGGCGGCGGCGGTCGCCACGGTTCACCACGGCGAAGAACGGCGTCTTTGTAGAGACAACGGCGCTGTCGCTACGCCTCTAGAACCAACGCCGAGCCGGCTCGGCGTTGCCGAGATTCGCCGGCGAACGCCCTTCAGACGTCTCAGAGCGGGAAAGGTGGCTGGGGGGAGCGGGGGGAGGGGTAGCGGGGGGAGCGGGGGGAGGGGTGGCGGGGGGGAGGGGTGGCGGGGGGGAGGGGGCCTCGTGGGGGTCGGGGGTCAGGGGTCGCTCGTGCCACGTCGCCGGCTCCTCCGGCGGAGGCTCCACTTCTTCTTCCCTGTTCCCTGCAGCTTGGCAGGCGCATGGCGGAGTTTCCCGTGGACCCCATGCTGTCCAAGATGATCCTGGCCTCGGAGAAGTACGCAGCTCACCGCCCCCACCGCACCCACCACGACCCAAACAAAGACAAAGATCCCACCCCCCCCCCCCCCCCCCCCGTATAGCCTGCTACAGACTGCCGGGGCAAGTGCCGTTAGCGAGTAACGGCACCAATGAAGACCGCCACCGCGGCACGCGAGGGGGGTGGGTGGCCAGCACCACCCCCGGCCGCCTTTGTCTCCCCATTGCTGGCGGTGTTCACTGCACACCGCACCGGCTACTCGTTTGAGGCTGAGTCGACCTAGGGGAGGCCCAGGACCGGTTCAGATAATCGTCACCGGCGTTGGTGGCCGTGAGCGAGAATTGAACCCGGGTCGTCGGGTTCGTGGCGCAGCGTAGCGCTCACCGCTGCACCACCGCTCCCCACACCACCACCTCCTCCTCGGAGGTCGTGGAGAGGTCGTGGAGAGGTCGTGGAGAGGTCGAACGTCGCGGAGAGGTCGAGGAGAGGTCGTGGAGAGGTCGTGGAGAGGTCAAACGTTGCGGAGAGGTCGAGGAGAGGTCGAACGTGGCGGTGCCCCCCCCCGCTGACCCCCCATGTTCCCCCCCCCCCCCCAGGTACAAAGTGCTCACAGGAGGTGCTGACGGTGACGGCGATGTTGTCGGTGAACAACGCCATCTTCTACCGGCCCAAGGACAAGGTGGTGCACGCCGACAACGCACGTGTCAACTTCTTTGTGCCGGGCGGCGACCACCTGGTGCTGCTCAACGTCTACACGCAGGTGCGCGGGGGTCGCGGGGGTCATCGTGCCGCACGCAGGGTCAGTGGGTCACAGGGTCACGCCGCTACACTGCGTCCATCGTCAGCAGGTCACACGCTGCACACTTAGACGGTTGCTGCGTCGTCTGTTCACTGCGCCTAGGTCGTGTTGTTGTGTCTGTGTTGTTGTGTCTGTGTTGTTGTGTCTGTGGTGTTGTGTCTGTGTTGTTGTGTCTGTGTTGTTGTGTCTGTGTTGTTGTGTCTGTGTTGTTGTGTCTGTGTGGTTGTGTCTGTGTTGTTGTGTCTGTGTTGTTGTGTCTGTGTTGTGTCTGTGTTGTTGTGTCTGTGTTGTGTCTGTGGTGACGTGTCTGTGGTGTGTCTGTGTTGTTGTGTCTGTGTTGTTGTGTCTGTGTGGTTGTGTCTGTGTTGTTGTGTCTGTGTTGTTGTGTCTGTGTGGTTGTGTCTGTGTTGTTGTGTCTGTGGTGACGTGTCTGTGTGGTTGTGTCTGTGTTGTTGTGTCTGTGTGGTTGTGTCTGTGTGGTTGTGTCTGTGTTGTTGTGTCTGTGTTGTGTCTGTGTTGTTGTGTGTGTGTTGTTGTGTCTGTGTTGTTGTGTCTGTGTTGTTGTGTCTGTGTTGTGTCTGTGTTGTTGTGTCTGTGTTGTTGTGTCTGTGTTGTTGTGTCTGTGTTGTTGTGTCTGTGTTGTGTCTGTGTTGTTGTGTCTGTGGTGTTGTTGTGTCTGTGTTGTGTCTGTGGTGACGTGTCTGTGTTGTTGTGTCTGTGGTGACGTGTCTGTGTTGTTGTGTCTGTGTTGTTGTGTCTGTGTTGTTGTGTCTGTGTGGTTGTGTCTGTTGTTGTGTCTGTGTGGTTGTGTCTGTGGTGACATGTCTGTGTTGTGTCTGTGTTGTTGTGTCTGTGTTGTTGTGTCTGTGTTGTTGTGTCTGTGTTGTTGTGTCTGTGTTGTTGTGTCTGTGTTGTTGTGTCTGTGTTGTTGTGTCTGTGTTGTTGTGTCTGTGTTGTTGTGTCTGTGTGGTGACGTGTCTGTGTTGTTGTGTCTGTGTTGTTGTGTCTGTGTTGTTGTGTCTGTGTTGTTGTGTCTGTGTGGTTGTGTCTGTTGTTGTGTCTGTGTGGTTGTGTCTGTGGTGACATGTCTGTGTTGTGTCTGTGTTGTTGTGTCTGTGTTGTTGTGTCTGTGTTGTTGTGTCTGTGTTGTTGTGTCTGTGTTGTTGTGTCTGTGTTGTTGTGTCTGTGTTGTTGTGTCTGTGGTGTTGTGTCTGTGTTGTTGTGTCTGTGGTGTTGTGTCTGTGTTGTTGTGTCTGTGTTGTTGTGTCTGTGTTGTTGTGTCTGTGTTGTTGTGTCTGTGGTGTTGTGTCTGTGTTGTTGTGTCTGTGTTGTTGTGTCTGTGTTGTTGTGTCTGTGTTGTTGTGTCTGTGTTGTTGTGTCTGTGTTGTTGTGTCTGTGTTGTTGTGTCTGTGTTGTTGTGTCTGTGTTGTTGTGTCTGTGTTGTTGTGTCTGTGTTGTTGTGTCTGTGTTGTTGTGTCTGTGTTGTTGTGTCTGTGTTGTTGTGTCTGTGTTGTTGTGTGTGTGTTGTTGTGTGTGTGTTGTTGTGTGTGTGTTGTTGTGTGTGTGTTGTTGTGTGTGTGTTGTTGTGTGTGTGTTGTTGTGTCTGTGTTGTTGTGTCTGTGTTGTTGTGTCTGTGTTGTTGTGTCTGTGTTGTGTCTGTGTTGTTGTGTCTGTGTTGTTGTGTGTGTGTTGTTGTGTCTGTGTGGTTGTGTCTGTGTTGTTGTGTCTGTGTTGTTGTGTCTGTGTTGTTGTGTCTGTGTGGTTGTGTCTGTGTTGTTGTGTCTGTGTTGTGTCTGTGTTGTTGTGTCTGTGTTGTGTCTGTGGTGACGTGTCTGTGGTGTGTCTGTGTTGTTGTGTCTGTGTGGTTGTGTCTGTGTGGTTGTGTCTGTGTTGTTGTGTCTGTGTTGTTGTGTCTGTGTTGTTGTGTCTGTGGTGACGTGTCTGTGTGGTTGTGTCTGTGTTGTTGTGTCTGTGTGGTTGTGTCTGTGTTGTTGTGTCTGTGTTGTGTCTGTGTTGTTGTGTGTGTGTTGTTGTGTCTGTGTTGTTGTGTCTGTGTTGTTGTGTCTGTGTTGTGTCTGTGTTGTTGTGTCTGTGTTGTTGTGTCTGTGTTGTTGTGTCTGTGTTGTTGTGTCTGTGTTGTGTCTGTGTTGTTGTGTCTGTGGTGTTGTTGTGTCTGTGTTGTGTCTGTGGTGACGTGTCTGTGTTGTTGTGTCTGTGTTGTTGTGTCTGTGTTGTTGTGTCTGTGTGGTTGTGTCTGTTGTTGTGTCTGTGTGGTTGTGTCTGTGGTGACATGTCTGTGTTGTGTCTGTGTTGTTGTGTCTGTGTTGTTGTGTCTGTGTTGTTGTGTCTGTGTTGTTGTGTCTGTGTTGTTGTGTCTGTGTTGTTGTGTCTGTGTTGTTGTGTCTGTGTTGTTGTGTCTGTGTTGTTGTGTCTGTGTTGTTGTGTCTGTGTGGTGACGTGTCTGTGTGGTGACGTGTCTGTGTTGTTGTGTCTGTGTTGTTGTGTCTGTGTTGTTGTGTCTGTGTGGTTGTGTCTGTTGTTGTGTCTGTGTGGTTGTGTCTGTGGTGACATGTCTGTGTTGTTGTGTCTGTGTTGTTGTGTCTGTGTTGTTGTGTCTGTGTTGTTGTGTCTGTGTTGTTGTGTCTGTGTTGTTGTGTCTGTGTTGTTGTGTCTGTGTGTTGTGTCTGTGTTGTTGTGTCTGTGGTGTTGTGTCTGTGGTGTTGTGTCTGTGTTGTTGTGTCTGTGTTGTTGTGTCTGTGTTGTTGTGTCTGTGTTGTTGTGTCTGTGGTGTTGTGTCTGTGTTGTTGTGTCTGTGTTGTTGTGTCTGTGTTGTTGTGTCTGTGTTGTTGTGTCTGTGTTGTTGTGTCTGTGTTGTTGTGTCTGTGTTGTTGTGTCTGTGTTGTTGTGTCTGTGTTGTTGTGTCTGTGTTGTTGTGTGTGTGTTGTTGTGTCTGTGTTGTTGTGTCTGTGTTGTTGTGTCTGTGTTGTTGTGTCTGTGTTGTTGTGTGTGTGTTGTTGTGTGTGTGTTGTTGTGTGTGTGTTGTTGTGTGTGTGTTGTTGTGTGTGTGTTGTTGTGTGTGTGTTGTTGTGTCTGTGTTGTTGTGTCTGTGTTGTTGTGTCTGTGTTGTTGTGTCTGTGTTGTTGTGTCTGTGTTGTTGTGTCTGTGTTGTTGTGTCTGTGTTGTTGTGTGTGTGTTGTTGTGTGTGTGTTGTTGTGTCTGTGTTGTTGTGTCTGTGTTGTGTCTGTGGTGTCGTGTGTGTGTTGTTGTGTCTGTGTTGTTGTGTCTGTGGTGTCGTGTCTGTGTTGTTGTGTCTGTGGTGTCTGTGGTGACGTGTCTGTGTTGTTGTGTCTGTGGTGTCTGTGGTGACGTGTCTGTGGTGTCTGTGGTGACGTGTCTATGTTGTGTCTGTGTTGTTGTGTCTGTGTTGACGTGTCTGTGTTGTTGTGTCTGTGGTTGTTGTGTCTGTGTTTGTTGTGTCTGTGTTGTTGTGTCTGTGTTGTTGTGTCTGCGGTGACGTGTCTGTGTTGTTGTGTCTGTGTTGTTGTGTCTGTGTTGTTGTGTCTGTGTTGTTGTGTCTGTGTTGTTGTGTCTGTGTTGTTGTGTCTGTGGTGACGTGTCTATGTTGTGTCTGTGTTGTTGTGTCTGTGGTGACGTGTCTATGTTGTGTCTGTGTTGTTGTGTCTGTGGTGACGTGTCTGTGTTGTTGTGTCTGTGTGGTTGTGTCTGTGGTGACGTGTCTGTGGTGACGTGTCTGTGTTGTTGTGTCTGTGTGGTTGTGTCTGTGGTGACGTGTCTGTGGTGACGTGTCTGTGTTGTTGTGTCTGTGTTGTTGTGTCTGTGTTGTTGTGTCTGTGGTGACGTGTCTGTGTTGTTGTGTCTGTGGTGACATGTCTGTGTTGTTGTGTCTGTGTTGTTGTGTCTGTGTTGTTGTGTCTGTGGTGTTGTGTCTGTGTTGTTGTGTCTGTGTTGTTGTGTCTGTGTTGTTGTGTCTGTGTTGTTGTGTCTGTGGTGACGTGTCTATGTTGTGTCTGTGTTGTTGTGTCTGTGGTGACGTGTCTATGTTGTGTCTGTGTTGTTGTGTCTGTGGTGACGTGTCTGTGTTGTTGTGTCTGTGTGGTTGTGTCTGTGGTGACGTGTCTGTGGTGACGTGTCTGTGTTGTTGTGTCTGTGTGGTTGTGTCTGTGGTGACGTGTCTGTGGTGACGTGTCTGTGTTGTTGTGTCTGTGTTGTTGTGTCTGTGTTGTTGTGTCTGTGGTGACGTGTCTGTGTTGTTGTGTCTGTGGTGACATGTCTGTGTTGTTGTGTCTGTGTTGTTGTGTCTGTGTTGTTGTGTCTGTGTTGTTGTGTCTGTGTTGTTGTGTCTGTGTTGTTGTGTCTGTGTTGTTGTGTCTGTGTTGTTGTGTCTGTTGTTTGCGGGTGTCTTTGCTGCTGTGTCTGTGTTGTCTGCGGTGACGTGTCTGTGTTGTGTCTGTGTTGTTATGTCTGTTGTTGTGTCTGTGTTGTTGTGTCTGTGGTGACGTGTCTGTGCTGCTGTGTCTGTGTTGTTGTGTCTGTGTTGTCTGCGGGTGTCTGTGCTGCTGTGTCTGTGTTGTCTGCGGGTGTCTGTACCGTGTCGCGTCTCTGCGGCGCTGCCAGTGGGTGGACGCCGGCTACTCCACCCAGTGGTGCTACGAGAACTTCATCCAGTTCCGCTCGATGCGGCGAGCACGCGACATCCGCGAGCAGCTCGAGGGGTTGATGGATCGCGTCGAGATGGAGCTCTCCTCCTCCAACGACACCGTCGTCATCCGCAAGGTGCCCACGACGCTGCCGCATCTCCCTGTTCTTACGCACGACGGCGTCGGCCGTGGTCTCTCCGCTGCTGGATGAATGGCTGTGAGTGTTGTCGCCGTGAATTTGCTCTTCATTGGCGACACACGACATCGTCATCATCATCGCCGTCGTCGTCGTCATCATCAGCCGTGATCTACCCGCCGCTGGATGAAGGCGACCCCATGTCGTATCTCTGCAAGCTCGCGTGGTGTGTGCCGCCCTTTGCGAGATGTTAACTCCCTCGCCTGGTACACAGGAGGTCGTGGGTTCGATCCCAGCCCTGATGCCTGCTGCTGTATATTTGGAGTTTGCGTGTCTCTCTCTCATCATCATCATCATCATCACGGTGGCTATGAGATGTTAACTCCCTCGCCTGGTGTACAGGAGGTCGTGGGTTCGATCCCGACCCTGACGCCTGCTGCTGTATATTTGGAGTTTGCGGTGTCTCTCTCTCTCTCATCATCACGGTGGCTAGGAGATGTTAACTACCTCGCCTGGTGTACAGGAGGTCGTGGGTTCGATCCCGACCCTGACGCCTGCTGCTGCTGCTGTGTATTTAGAGTTTGCGTGTTCTCCTGGATTTTTATTCAGGTCCTCCGTTTCTTTCTCTCCACATTTCGAATGGACGTCACGCGTTTAGAGCGTGTGGCTGTCGATTTCCACGCGACGACGATGATAAGCCGCTTCGCTGAGCTATCATTTGTAATAGCCAGGTCGCTTCTGAAACAGAGCTACACGGCTCAGCGGGGGCCTTAACTGGTAAAATAATAAAATAGTTGAGTTGTCTCTCGGTCATGTGACCGCCGCTGCTGGGCGTCTGTGAAAAAGAGCTTTAGAGCTCATCGGATTCCTCCAGTGTGTGCTGCCACCAAACATCGACGGGGCCTGCTACGTGACAGCCCGCTGTGTGAGTGCGGGGAGACAGGAGGGGAGACCGTGGGGCGTGCATCGTCTTCGGCTGTGCAGCGCGTCGGGGCGTGCCGGGCGTGCCGGGCCGGGCGTGCCGGGCCGGGCGTGCCGGGCCGGGCGTGCCGGGCCGGGCGTGCCGGGCCGGGCGTGCCGGGCCGGGCGTGCCGGGCCGGGCGTGCCGGGCCGGGCGTGCCGGGCCGGGCGTGCCGGGCCGGTTGTCCTGCTGCACGTGCTGGAGGCTTGACAAGCGACTCCGTGGCTCTGTGTGTGGGGGGGGGGGGGCTGACGTTCACTCGAAGAACATTGATTCATCTATCGATCTCATTTATTTTGTCAAATGTATCCGGTGTTTTGACTACGGGAAGTCGCGTGGAATAGCATTCGCTAAATGCATCGATATTCCGTGTAACACGAAGACTTTCGCTATTCCCTGAACCCCCCACGGAGTTGTGCCGGGCCCAGCGATAGAGCCGCGTCACGAGAGGACGCTGCAGCGCCACTCCCCTCGCACTCAGCCCCAGGCAAACCTTAACCATGAACTATAAACACACGTGTTCATTCTTTAGCAGCTGAGGCCCATTGAGACACGTGTTCATTCTTTAGCAGCTGAGGCCCACTGAGACACGTGCTCATTCTTTACCAGCTGAGGCCCATGGAGACACGTGCTCATTCTTTACCAGCTGAGGCCCATTGAGACACGTGCTCATTCTTTAGCAGCTGAGGCCCATTGAGACACGTGCTCATTCTTTACCAGCTGAGGCCCACTGAGACAAGTGTTCATTCTTTACCAGCTGAGGCCCACTGAGACACGTGTTCATTCTTTACCAGCTGAGGCCCATTGAGACACGTGCTCATTCTTTACCAGCTGAGGCCCATTGAGACACGTGCTTATTCTTTACCAGCTGAGGCCCATTGAGACACGTGCTCATTCTTTACCAGCTGAGGCACACTGAGACACGTGCTCATTCTTTACCAGCTGAGGCCCACTGAGACACGTGCTCATTCTTTACCAGCTGAGGCCCATTGAGACACGTGCTCATTCTTTACCAGCTGAGGCCCACTGAGACACGTGCTCATTCTTTACCAGCTGAGGCCCATTGAGACACGTGCTCATTCTTTACCAGCTGAGGCCCATTGAGACACGTGCTCATTCTTTACCAGCTGAGGCCCACTGAGACAAGTGCTCATTCTTTACCAGCTGAGGCACATTGAGACACGTGCTCATTCTTTACCAGCTGAGGCCCATGGATATGTTTTGCTCTTTTTGTCATTGTTGTGTTGTGTCTCAGAGGGCTCCTGTTGGTGGAGTTTCTGTTGTTGTAGTGTGTTGTTGTTTTATAGTTGTTGTTATAGTTTGGTGTGTCTCTCCCAGAGGGCTCCTGTTGGTGTAATGTAGTTGTTATAGTTTGCTGTTATGGTTATAGTTGGTTGTTGTTATTGTGTATTATTGTTATAGTGTCGTAGTTTGTTGTTGTAGTTTAATGTTGTAGTTTGATGCTGTAGATTGTTGTTTGTTGTCGTTGTGCGTCAGGCGATCACCGCAGGTTTCTTCTACAACACGTCGCGCCTCACCAAGGGCGGCTACAAGACGGTGAAGCACCAGCAGCAGGTTCACGTGCACCCCAACAGCTGCCTCTTCGACGAGCAACCCCGCTGGCTGCTCTACCACGAGTTGGTGTTCACCACCAAGGAGTACATGAGACAGGTGACCTCTCTCTCACGTCTCTCTCTCACGTCTCTCTCACGTCTCTCTCACGTCTCTCGCGTCTCTCTCTCACGTCTCTCTCTCACGTCTCTCTCTCACGTCTCTCTCTCACGTCTCTCTCACGTCTCTCTCTCGTCTCTCTCGTCTCTCTCTCGTCTCTCTCACTCACGTCTCTCTCTCACGTCTCTCTCTCACGTCTCTCTCTCACGTCTCTCTCTCACGTCTCTCTCACGTCTCTCTCACGTCTCTCGCGTCTCTCTCTCACGTCTCTCTCTCACGTCTCTCTCTCACGTCTCTCTCTCACGTCTCTCTCACGTCTCTCTCTCGTCTCTCTCTCGTCTCTCTCACTCACGTCTCTCTCTCACGTCTCTCTCTCTCACGTCTCTCTCTCGCGTCTCTCTCACATCTCTCTCTCGTCTCTCTCGTCTCTCTCTCGTCTCTCTCTCTCACGTCTCTCTCTCTCACGTCTCTCTCTCTCACGTCTCTCTCTCTCGTCTCTCTCTCGTCTCTCTCACTCACGTCTCTCTCGCGTCTCTCTCTCACGTCTCTCTCTCACGTCTCTCTCTCTCGTCTCTCTCGTCTCTCTCTCGTCTCTCTCACTCACGTCTCTCTCTCACGTCTCTCTCTCACGTCTCTCTCTCGCGTCTCTCTCACGTCTCTCTCACGTCTCTCTCTCGTCTCTCTCGTCTCTCTCTCATCTCTCTCTCGTCTCTCTCTCTCACGTCTCTCTCACTCACGTCTCTCTCTCACGTCTCTCTCTCACGTCTCTCTCTCACGTCTCTCTCTCTCGTCTCTCTCGTCTCTCTCTCGTCTCTCTCACTCACGTCTCTCTCTCACGTCTCTCTCTCACGTCTCTCTCTCGCGTCTCTCTCACGTCTCTCTCACGTCTCTCTCTCGTCTCTCTCGTCTCTCTCTCGTCTCTCTCTCGTCTCTCTCTCTCACGTCTCTCTCTCTCACGTCTCTCTCACGTCTCTCTCTCTCACGTCTCTCTCACTCACGTCTCTCTCTCACGTCTCTCTCTCACGTCTCTCTCTCTCACGTCTCTCTCTCGCGTCTCTCTCTCATCTCTCTCTCACGTCTCTCTCACGTCTCTCTCTCTCGCGTCTCTCTCTCACATCTCTCTCACGTCTCTTTCTCACGTCTCTCTCTCACGTCTCTCTCTCACATCTCTCTCACGTCTCTCTCTCACGTCTCTCTCTCACGTCTCTCTCTCTCACGTCTCTCTCTCACGTCTCTCTCTCACGTCTCTCTCTCACGTCTCTCTCTCACGTCTCCCTCTCACGTCTCTCTCACGTCTCTCTCTCACGTCTCTCTCTCACGTCTCTCTCACGTCTCTCTCTCTCGCGTCTCTCTATCACATCTCTCTCACGTCTCTCTCTCACGTCTCTCTCTCACATCTCTCTCACGTCTCACTCTCTCGCGTCTCTCTCTCACGTCTCTCTCTCACGTCTCCCTCTCACGTCTCTCTCACGTCTCTCTCTCACGGCTCTCTCTCACGTCTCCTCTCACGTCTCTCTCTCTCGCGTCTCTCTATCACATCTCTCTCACGTCTCTCTCTCACGTCTCTCTCTCACGTCTCTCTCTCACGTCTCTCTCTCACGTCTCTCTCTCACGTCTCTCTCTCACGTTTTTCTCTCACGTCTCTCTCTCTCACATCTCTCTCACGTCTCTCTCTCTCACGTCTCTCTCGTCTCTCTCTCACGTCTCTCTCTCACGTCTCTCTCACGTCTCTCTCACGTCTCTCTCACGTCTCTCTCTCACGTCTCTCTCTCACGTCTCTCTCTCACGTCTCTCTCTCACGTCTCTCTCTCACGTCTCTCTCTCACGTCTCTCTCTCACGTCTCTCTCTCTCACGTCTCTCTCTCACGTCTCTCTCTCACGTCTCTCTCACGTCTCTCTCTCACGTCTCTCTCTCACGTCTCTCTCTCACGTCTCTCTCTCACGTCTCTCTCACGTCTCTCTCTCACGTCTCTCTCTCACGTCTCTCTCTCACGTCTCTCTCTCACGTCTCTCTCTCACGTCTCTCTCTCACATCTCTCTCTCGTCTCTTTCTCACGTCTCCCTCTCACATCTCTCTCTTGGGTCTCTCTCTCGCGTCTCTCTCTCTCGTCTCTCTCTCACGTCTCTCTCTCACGTCTCTCTCTCACGTCTCTCTCTCACGTCTCTCTCTCGGGTCTCTCTCTCACGTCTCTCTCACGTCTCTCTCTCTCACGTCTCTCTCTCTCACGTCTCTCTCTCACGTCTCTCTCTCACGTCTCTCTCTCACGTCTCTCTCTCACGTCTCTCTCTCACGTCTCTCTCTCACGTCTCTCTCTCTCACATCTCTCTCTCTCGTCTCTCTCTCACGTCTCTCTCTCACGTCTCTCTCTCTCACGTCTCTCTCTCACGTCTCTCTCTCACGTCTCTCTCTCACGTCTCTCTCATCGCCTCCTCGCTTGGTTCTTTACAGCACTAATCGGAGGTTGCAGTGTTGAGTCTATGGGCAGTGTTGAGTTTATGGGCAGTGTTGAGTTTATGGGCAGTGTTGAGTCTATGGGCAGTGTTGAGTCTATGGGCAGTGTTGAGTCTATGGGCAGTGTTGAGTTTATGGGCAGTGTTGAGTCTGTGGGTAGTGTTGAGTCTATGGGTAGTGTTAGTCTATGGGCAGTGTTGAGTCTGTGGGCAGTGTTGAGTCTGTGGGCAGTGTTGAGTCTATGGGCAGTGTTGAGTCTATGGGTAGTGTTGAGTCGCTGGGCAGTGTTGAGTCTGTGGGCAGTGTTGAGTCTATGGGCAGTGTTGAGTCTATGGGTAGTGTTGAGTCTATGGCCAGTGTTGAGTCTATGGGTAGTGTTGAGTCTATGGGCAGTGTTGAGTCTATGGGCAGTGTTGAGTCTATGGGCAGTGTTGAGTCTGTGGGCAGTGTTGAGTCTGTGGGCAGTGTTGAGTCTATGGGTAGTGTTGAGTCTATGGGCAGTGTTGAGTCTATGGGCAGTGTTGAGTCTATGGGCAGTGTTGAGTCTATGGTGCAGTGTTGAGTCTATGGGCAGTGTTGAGTCTATGGGCAGTGTTGAGTCTATGGGCAGTGTTGAGTCTATGGGCAGTGTTGAGTCTATGGGCAGTGTTGAGTCTATGGTGCAGTGTTAGTCTATGGGCAGTGTTAGTCTATGGGTAGTGTTGAGTCTATGGGCAGTGCTTCTTTTAATGTACAGCGCAAGTTGATTCCAGTGGGAGGGGTGCAAGGAGCAGGGACAGGGAGAGAGACGGAGGAGATTTGAGAGGTTGTGGAGTCTGGTGGTGGGGCCTGCCAACCCGAGTTGAGTACCGCTCACGGCCAACGCCGGTGACTTATATCCGAAACGGGTCCTGAGCATCCCCTAGTCGACTCAAGTGAGTACCTGCTGTGGTGTGTAAACATCGCCGCTGGGGAGACAAAGGCGGCCGGGCGTGGTATTGGCTTTGCCGGCCTTTATAGGTGCTCGCTAACAACACTTGCCCCTACGGTCTGTTAAGGCTACACGGGGGATCTTTGTGGGCGAGTCTGTGTGTGTGTGTAGGCGAATACGAGTGTGTGTGTGTGCGCGAGCGAGTGTCTGTGTGTGGGTGCGAGCGAGTGTGTGTGGGTGCGAGCGAGAGTGTGTGTGGGTGCGAGCGAGTGTGTGTGTGTGTGTGCGAGCGAGTGTGTGTGCAAGTGTGTGTGCGAGTGTGTGTGCGAGCGTGCGTGCGAGCGAGCGTGTGTGCGAGCGAGCGTGTGTGTGTGTGTGTGCGCGAGCGAGTGTGTGTGTGTGCAGACGAGCGAGTGTGTGGGTGCGAGCGAGTGTGTGGGTGCGAGCGAGTGTGTGTGCACGAGCGAGTGTGTGGGTGCGAGCGAGTGTGTGTGTGTGCGAGCGAGTGTGTGTGTGGGTGCGAGCGAGTGTGTGTGCACGAGCGAGTGGGTGTGCGAGCGAGTGGGTGTGTGTGCGAAGAGATCGCCCCGTGGTGAGACTTGCTCTCTCTCCCTCGCTCTCTCCGCCGCCGCTTGGCCAGGTGATTGAGATTGAGAGCGGCTGGCTGCTGGAGGTGGCGCCCCACTACTACAAGACCAAGGAGCTCGAGGACTCCACCAAGAAGATGCCCAAGAACACGGGCAAGGCGCTGGAGGAGCTTGGGTAGAGGAGGAGCTTGGGTAGAGGAGGAGGCGTCCCTACCGCCGGCTCAGGCCGGCGATGGCGGCAGAGCAACGACGAAACGCCACCGGCTCCTCGGATTGTAAAGCCGTTGTGGGTTTACTCCGCCAACACGCAACCGGTTAGTGCTGAACCAGGAACTAATCGGCCCGTCTTGTTATCCGTGAGACAAACCGTGCGAAATTGGCTGTGTCGGCTGGTGGCGGCGGGCTTGACGACATTCATATTCCCGCGATATAACCCCAAAAAAAACCCTCTTGAGGGATAGTGTCGGTCGTGAAAGCCTCCTCCTACTACTACTAGGTGTTAAATCCCACCTGTTGCGGCTGGACGGGGATCGAGCGTTCCCTCCTCACTCCGAGACGTCTGTCGCGTTGTGGTCGCGACGTCAACTTTGGAACGCTGCGAGCAGTGTCCGCTTCCTCGCTCGCGTGGAGAGACGACGGCTCTGCCGGGTGACTGTTGCCGCGTGTGTGACTTGTGTTGATTGAGACTGTTGCGTGAGACTGTTGATTGAGACTGTTGATTGAGACTGTTGCGTGTGACCTCACTGTACATAACGCTTCGCCGCGTGTGTACAGGATTACCGACGCGTTCCTATCGCGAATAAACGCGCCGTTTTTTCATCCGCGTTGAAGGTTGTTGTTGTTCTTCTTGTGTCGTTGTTAATGCCGTGTGTCCTCCTGCGTTAGGGTTAGGGCGTGGAACGTTCCGCCTGTCCCTAGCGAAGGGACGGATTTGGTGTTGTTGGGTTCGTTTAGGAGGCCGGGTGGGAGCGGCTCACGAGGTCGGAGGTCAGAGACGCTGAGCCGGCACCGCTGAGAGTCGGGGTCCAATCCGGGTGTCGCCCGCCCCAACCACGGCGATTAGCGGGGGGGGGGGGGTCTCACGTTCAGCGAGTTGGTGGTGTCAGCCCGGTCACCGGCGACTCGCACAGAGACCCATAGACTCGCACAGAGACACATAGACTCGCACAGAGACCCATAGACTCGCATAGAGACACATAGACTCGCACAGAGACCCATAGACTCACACAGACTCACACAGACTCACACAGAGACGCATAGACTCGGACAGAGACACATAGACTCACACAGAGACCCATAGACTCGCATAGAGACCCATAGACTCGCACAGAGACCCATAGACTCGCATAGAGACCCATAGACTCGCACAGAGACACATAGACTCGCACAGAGACATATACTCGCACAGAGACCCATAGACTCGCACAGAAACCCATAGACTCACAGGTTTTATTGACAGAGATTCATAGACTCACATAGAAACCCATATATTCACAACACATAGAGACCCACAGACTCACACATAACCATATATATGCACATAGAGACCCACACGCAAACTCCAAATATACAGCAGCAGCAGCAGCAGGCGTCAGGGTCGGGATGGAACCCACGACCTCCTGCACACCGGGCGAGGCAGTTAACATCTCCTCGGTGCAACCCGAGCCGTTTGGTGCACCTTCCCCGGCACCTTCCCCGGCACCTTCCCCGGCACCTTCCCCGGCACCTTCCCCGACACCTTCCCCGGCACCTTCCCCGACACCTTCCCCGGCACCTTCCCCGGCACCTTCCCCGGCACCTTCCCCGGCACCTTCCCCGGCACCTTCCCCGGCACCTTCCCCGGCACCTTCCCCGGCACCTTCCCCGGCACCTTCCCCGGCACGGGCCACGGCCTCCGTGGCGGCGGGGGCGGCGGGGGCGGGGGCGAGCCGCTAGCCCCTGGCGGTGGCGGCTCCGTAGAGCTCGACGAGCAGCGTGAGGGCGTTCTTGCAGGTGAAGAAGATGGTCGTCTGGTTCACGACGCCCACCTGCGCCAGCAGGTAGAGGCGGAACGCCAGGAACGGCGCGTCCTGCATGAGCACGCTCGACAGCAGCCGCAGCGACTCCATGGGGCAGCGGCACGGGTGGCGGCGGGCGGAGGAGGAGGAGGTCCGACGTTTCGCGCCGGCGCCGGCGTCGTCGTCGTCGGGCGTAGTTTTGGAGAGGGAGAAGGGTGACGAGGAGGTGGTGGTGGAGGAGGAGGTGGTGGTGGAGGAGGAGGAGGTGGTGATGGAGGAGAGGTGACTTGCGCTGGGAGCGTGGGAAACCTGGAGCCGACGGAACGAGAGGCGACCGTGACGGTGGAACTCGCCGGTCGATGGGGGGGAGGGGTGGGGGGGTGGGGGGGAGCCGGAGGGTTCTGGGGGGGGGGGGGTGTGGGGGGGACGTGGGAGGGGGGGGGGTGTACCGTGGTTGTAACTGTGGTTGCGTTGTGAACCCCACGTATAGTTTGTTCCACTAAAGATAACTTTTATTTGCGACAAAACTCTCTCCAGTACTTCCTCCCGCGAGGCGCTGATTGATTTGTGGCCCCGAGGGGGGGGGGGAGGGGGGGGAGGTGGGGGAGGGGGGGAGGGCGCCCTCCTTTTGACTCGGTTCACGATTGCCGTGCTCAACCTCGTGACATTTCACTTGCACAGCATCTCCCATCATCAACATCACCGTCGTGGGTGGTGGTGATGGTGGTGATGGTGGTGATGGTGGTGATGGTGGTGGTGGTGATGGTGGTGGTGGTGATGGTGGTGATGGTGGTGATGGTGGTGGTGATGGTGGTGATGGTGGTGATGGTGGTGGTGGTGATGGTGGTGGTGATGGTGGTGGTGATGGTGGTGATGATGGTGATGGTGGTGATGGTGGTGGTGATGGTGGTGATGGTGTGATGGTGGTGGTGATGATGGTGATGGTGGTGATGGTGGTGGTGATGGTGGTGATGGTGACCATCGCTTGGTGGTTTGAGGAGAACGTGACGACAACGATGGAGGGATGACAACTGTGACGACAGAGCCTCGCCTGTGACCATGCAACACAGTGATGACGACGATGACGATGACGACGAGGACGACGACGATGATGATGACGAAGACGATGACGACGATGATAATGACGATGACGGGCCTCACCTGTGTCCGTGCGACAACAACGATGCATGACGACGGAGAGAGGAGACAACAACAAACTACAACAACAACAAACTACAACAACAACAACAAACTACAACAACAACAAACTACAACAACAACAACAAACTACAACAACAACAAACTACAACAACAACCTACAACAACAACAAACTACAACAACAACAAACTACAACAACAACAAACTACAACAACAACAAACTACAACAACAACAAACTACAACAACAACAAACTATAACAACAAACTACAACAACAACAAACTACAACAACAAACTACAACAACAACAAACTACAACAACAAACTACAACAACAACAAACTACAACAACAACAAACTACAACAACAACAAACTACAACAACAACAACAAACTACAACAACAACAACAAACTACAACAAACAACAACAAACTACAACAACAACAAACTACAACAACAAACTACAACAACAACAAACTACAACAACAACAACAAACAACAACAAACTACAACAACAAACTACAAACAACAAACTACAACAACAAACTACAACAACAACAAACTACAACAACAAACTACAACAACAAACTACACCAACAACAAACTACAACAACACAACAACAACAACTACAACAACAAACTACAACAACAAACTACAACAACAACAACAAACTACAACAACAAACTACAACAACAAACTACAACAACAACAAACTACAACAACAACAACAAACTACAACACCACAACAACAACAAACTACAACAACAAACTACAACAACAACAAACTACAACAACATACAAACTACAACAACAACAACAAACTACAACAACAAACTACAACAACAAACAACAAACTACAAACAACAAACTACAACAACAACAAACTACAACAACAACAACAAACTACAACAACAACAAACTACAACAACAACAACAACAACTACAACAACAAACTACAACAACAAACTACAACAACAACAACAAACTACAACAACAACAACAAACTACAACAACAATAAACTACAACAACAACAAACTACAACAACAACAAACTACAACAACAAACAAACTACAACAACAACAAAACTACAAACAACAACAACAACAAAACTACAACAACCAACAAACTACAACAACAAACTACAACAACAAACTACAACAACAACAAACTACAACAACAACAAACTACAACAACAACAACAAACTACAACAACAAACTACAACAACAACAAACTACAACAACAAAAAACTACAACAACAACAAACTACAACTACAACAACAAACTACAACAACAAACTACAACAACAAACTACAACAACAAACTACAACAACAACAACAAACTACAACAACAAACTACAACAACAACAACAAACTACAACAACAACACAAACTACAACAACAAACTACAACAACAAACTACAACAACAACAACAAACTACAACAACAACAACAAACTACAACAACAATAAACTACAACAACAACAAACTACAACAACAACAAACTACAACAACAACAACAAACTACAACAACAACAACAAACTACAACAACAACAACAAACTACAACAACAACAACAAACTACAACAACAACAAACTACAACAACAACAAACTACAACAACAACAAACTACAACAACAACAAACTACAACAACAAACTACAACAACAACAACAAACTACAACAACAACCTACAACAACAACAACAAACTACAACAAACTACAACAACAACAAACTACAACAACAACAAACTACAACAACAAACACCAACAACAACAATCGACGACAGCCGGGGGGTGGTGGTGGTGGTGGTGGGGGGGGGTCCTCGCCTGTGCCGACGCGGCTCCACCGGCGGCCTCCCTGGCCGTGCCGGCCTCCTCGGCCTGCAAGAGCGCCACGCAGAACTGCAGCGAGGCCCAGGAGAAGAGGGCCAGGCCGGCGAGTCGCACGGCGCGGTCGGCGCGCACCTCGGGCTGCTTGAAGGCGTCGAGGAGGTCCAGGACGTCGGCCGCCACCCCGGTCTGGGCGAGCAGCAGGCGCGAGGAGGGCGGGCGCGCGACACGCCGAGCGCCGGCGTGAGCCAGCGCGCCAGCACCAGGGCCACCAGCATGAGTTGCTGCAGGGCGAGCACCCACGCCTCGGACAGAGCCGTCGACGCGTCGACGCCGTTGACGCCGCCGCTCGGCACCTGGGAGGGAGAGGTTCAGCGGGGGACGAAGTGGATCGGAGGGGGGAGGGGGGGGAGGGGGGGGAGGAGGAGGTGGGAGGAGGAGGTGGAGGAGGAGGGGGGAGGAGGTGGGAGGAGGTGGGAGGAGGAGAGGTGGGAGGAGGAGGAGGTGGGAGGAGGAGGAGGTGAGGGGAGGAGGAAGGTGGGAGGAGGAGGAGGTGGGAGGAGGAGGAAGGAGGAGGTGGGGGAGGAGGAGGGGGGAGGAGGAGGTGGGGGGAGTGAGCGGGGGAGGAGGAGGTGGGGGGAGGAGGAGGAAGGGGGAGGAGGGGGAGGAGGAGGTGGGGGGAGGAGGAGGGGGGGGGAGGAGGAGGGGGGAGGAGAGGAGGGGGGAGGAGGAGGAGGAAGGGGAAGGAGGAGGTGGGGGGAGGAGGAGGTGGGAGGAGGAGGTGGGGGGAGGAGGAGGTGGGAGGAGGAGGAGTGATGAGGGGGGCGGAGTGAGGAGGAGGAGTGAGGGAGACTCGGGATAGAAGACGACCCCCACCCCCACGCCCTGTTCACGACCATTCACGAAGTCGACGGGACATGTGTGAAGAAGAGCTTTACAGCTCATCGGATTCCTCCAGTGTCAATACCACATCATGGTTTGGCTCAGGCACGCCGCGTCGGTGTCACCGCGTCGTCGCTCTCGGAGAGAGAGACGACGGCCACTGGGAGACACCGCCGTGGCTAGGAGATGTTGACTACCTCGCCCGGTATGCAGGAGGTCGTGGGTTCAATCCCGACCTGACGCCTGCTGTGTATTTGGAGTTTCTAACTTTCTCATCATCATCACGGTGGCTCTGAGATCTCTCGTATTCTCTCTCACAATATCTCACATTATCTCTCGTATTCTCTCTCTCACTATCTCTCACATTATCTCTCGTATTCTCTCTCACAATATCTCTCGTATTCTCTCTCACAGTCTCTCTCCCAGTATCTTCAGCATCTCTCGTAATCTCTGTCACTATCTCTCACAGTATCTCCACAGTATCTCCCACAGTATCTCTCGTATTCTCTCTCTCAGTATCTCTCACAATATCTCGCGTATCTCTGTCACTATCTTCACAGTATCCCTCACAGTATCTCTCACATTATCTCTCGTATTCTCTCTCTCAGTATCTCTGACATTATCTCGCGTATCTCTGTCACTATCTCTCACAGTATCTCTCACAATATCTCGCGTCTTCTCTCTAGTATCTCCTTCTCACAATCTCTCGCCCGAGTGGAGATCCGTGATTAAACAAAAAAGCGCTAAGGGGACATCCATTGAGTCCGTACGCATGAAGGTTGGGAGGGGGGAGGTTAACCCAAATGCGTAGCTTGCGTTTGGGGGGTCTACTGACAATGTACGCATCGGAAATGGGGGGGGGGGTGAAGCCTCGATAATAATTTGTCTACGTTGACCTTCAAATGAGCCACAGTTCAGTGTCTTCAGCTGTGAGACAACAAGTCCTGTCGGGAGAGGCGGGCCGTGGAGAGGAGGGGCCGTGGGAGAGGAGGGGCCGTGGGAGAGGCGGGGCATTGGAGAGGCGGGGCCATTGGAGAGGTGGGGCCGTGGGATGAGGA